GGAAGAGGATGTAATTGATTGCGATCAAGGCCGCATTTGGAGAGAGCATTTGGAATTAGTGAGCAAGTTAAGCGAGCGAATCGGAGGCTCCGTAGAAATGCTCCGAGCCAATTAGAAGGTGGTGAAGCGCCAAGAGGGGAGGGGGTGTGCGTGGAGGGATTAGGGGGTGTGAGATTATCAACCCCCTTATTATTATCTAAGAGTATTATAAACTTTTAATTCGGAAGGTGTTGTAATTAAGTGGTAACGCTGCCGCGCACGGTGCAACAAACCGGACGTTTTTTCCTCGGACGTAGAGCCTGCATCAGATCTTTGCAAGGGGGCGGGAGATGTGCGTCAGCCCTCAGAATGGATCGCTCCAGCTGAGACGCGGGGCGCTAAGGCTGATTGCCTTCCACGACGACGACACTGAAGCATTGAAGCGTTGAGCATTACTTCACACTGTCTATGGAACTAGCTCGACAGACGCCCGGCTTGTGAGAATGTCGAATTACAACGACGACAACCTCGCCTACGGCGATTACCACGATGAAGGGCAGCAAGGCGAAGGAGAGAGGGGCATCATCGGGGACGTCACGAAGCGCTTCTTTGGCAGAAAGCCTCAAGCTCAGCAATCGGTAAGATATCCACACTTTTAGAAGGATTATGAGTCTTGGGTCCTCTATTTTACATCACTTCTGAGCTCCCTGACTTTAAGGTTTTCCAGTGAAGCTAGGTTATATTCTCTCAATCCGAGCATTCGCCGTCAATCTTCCATATGTTGATCTTACTTTGCTAGACTCATCCTGAAAACTCCCCTAAACTGACACAACAACTACAGGACGTCACTCAAACCTATCAACCTCATCTCCAAGGTCAATCGCCTCAAGGCCAGCCACCACCTACCTCAGGGTCCTCTGCCGGCGGAATGTCATTCGTATTCGATAAATTGCACTCCTCGATACATGCCATCGGCAAAGAAGTCAAGAACCGAATGTCTGCTCCCGGGGACAGTCATAGTCACACCCACGAAGCCGGCGTCTGTAGCGAAGGCACACATGATGAACATCAAGACCATCGGTTCCTGAGCTTTGCACCGCAACGAGCAATTGGAAATGATATAAAGTGGTATGTGGATGCCTGTGGGTATATGTGGGCAGTGTCAATCGCCCTAGAGCGGGCAAAGGAATCTATCTGGATTCTTGACTGGTGGCTGTCGCCAGAATTGTATCTTCGAAGACCTCCTGCCGCGCATGAGCAATATCGTCTCGACCGGATGCTGGGAGCTGCAGCTGCACGAGGCGTCAAAGTCAACATTATTGTGTACAAAGAGGTCACACAAGCCCTTACTCGTAAGTTGATAAATCCAACAATACCCGATTACCTCCACTCCCTTCTCCCTGAGACAACCGATCCGATCACAAGGTTCCTCACAAGAGCGGGCCTACACGTTACATTCAAATCGCTCGAGAAAGTAGAAGAGGAGAGTCCACTAATCGCGCCTCCTATATTAGTTTGTTCGGCACACACCAAGCATGCTTTGGAGGCTCTTCATCCCAATATTGCCGTCTTCCGCCATCCCGACCATCTACCTGACCGTCAGAATCTCACATCATCTTTCATTACATCCATGCAGAACATGAACTTCTCTACTGCATCCTTAGCGAAGCTGCCTGTGGATAGCTTAAAAGCCATATACGGTATGAACGACGATTCAGTTCTTTACTGGGCCCACCACGAAAAGCTTTGCCTAGTCGATGGACAGATCACCTTCATGGGCGGTCTAGATCTCTGCTACGGCCGATGGGATACCAATCAACATTCCATTGCCGATGCCCACCCAGGAAATCTGGACGACATCGTATTCCCCGGACAAGACTACAACAATGCGAGAATAATGGACTTCCAGGATGTCTATCACTGGCAGAATAACAAACTGGATAGGACGACGAGCTCTCGAATGGGTTGGTCAGACGTCTCGCTCTCACTTAGCGGCCCAGTAGTCAAGGACTTGCAGACTCATTTTACACAGCGGTGGAATTTCATCTACGACGAGAAGTACACTGTACGAAAAGACGTTAGATACTCCAAGTTCCCCATCACTGGAGATCTCTCAACCGCTGGATATCCATCTTCACAGCCATCAAGAGGCATCGAAGAGGGCGACCGTGGATTAGAGTATGGCAACGAGGGAGAACGAGGATTCTCCGGTGGCGATGACGGCGCTGAGTCGGGCAGGTTTCGACATCAATTCTTCGACAAGGTTGGAGAGGGAATGCGGCGGCTCGATCAACGATATGGTCAGCACGGCGGCTACCAAGGCCAACAAAGCTATCAGGGGTCACAACAAGGTGGCGTTTCTTGTCAGCTCACCAGAAGCTGTGCTAAGTGGAGTCATGGTGTTGCTGTTGAGGTAAGTACTCAAGCTTATCTAATATATTATAGAATGGTATTAAAATCTTCAGCACTCGATCGCCAACGCTTATATCGAGATCATAAGAAATAGCCAGCACTTCGTTTACATCGAGAACCAATTCTTCATTACCGCCACCGTCGATAATCAGAAGCCGATCAAGAACAAAATTGCCGCTGTCATTGTCGAGCGCATCATTCGTGCAGCAAGAAACGGCGAGAATTACAAGATGATGGTCATGATTCCAGCCATCCCAGCTTTTGCAGGCGATCTCAAGACAGAAGAAGCACTGAGCACTCGCGCGATCATGGAGTTCCAGTACGACTCTATCAACCGAGGTGGACACAGCATCTACGAGAGCATTGCTCGCGAAGGCATCAACCCCATGGACTACATCCGCTTCTACAATCTACGCAGCTACGATCGAATCAACGCTAGCGGGGCTATGCGCGAAGCAGAGAAGCAGAGTGGTGTGTCTTACGAAGAAGCCCGTAGTCAGCATGACGTCGCGGTTGGCGGTGTATATGATGGGGAGAAGGGTCAGGAATATCAGGCCTACCAACCCCCTGGATCCCAGCCCCCGCCATCATTGCCAGTCTACGAGATGGATGCTGGCTATGGCCAACCTCCAGCGCCAGTTCCCACAGGCGCCTACCAGCAATACCAGCAACAAGGAGCCGCCAAGGTCGGTGGGCCTATGGGAAGTGGTCGCTGGGACTCTGTCAGCGAATGCTATATGCTCGGCGGCGAAGACATCAGGAACGTCCCTTGGGAAGGCGGCGGGATGGACGAAATTGACGCCTTCGTCAGCGAAGAGCTCTACATCCACAGCAAAGTAAGCCTTTCCCCATACACCCACCCCCTACCCACCATCCCGCTAACATCCCCCAAGCTCCTCATCGCCGACGACCGTATCGTAATCTGCGGCTCCGCCAACCTAAACGACCGCTCCCAACTCGGCGACCACGACTCCGAAATCGCCCTCATCATCGAAGACCCCGCGCCCGTCGACTCCTACATGGGCGGCCAGCCCTTCCGCGCCTCCAAATTCGCCTCCTCGCTCCGCCGCCAGCTCTTCCGCAAGCACCTCGGCCTCCTGAGACCCCAGGTCATCGACCGCCCCGACGCGAACTTCGAGCCCATCGGCGTCCCGAACGCTTACGACTGGGGCTCGCCCGAGGACATCCAGGTTATCGACCCTATCTCGGAGGATTTCCAGGCGACCTGGAACTACCGCGCGAAGACGAACACGGACGCGTTTGCGCGGCTGTTCCACCCGGTGCCGTTTGATGGGGTGAAGAACTGGAAGCAGTACGATGACTACTACGAGCGATTCTTTGCACAGGACGTGAAGGAGAAGGAGAACAAGAAGCCATCGCTGTACAAGTGGGGGCATGTGGTTGCGGAGGAGTTTTCCGCTGGGGAGCAAGGGCTGCGGGAGGTAAAGGAGGTACTGAGTACGATTAAGGGGACGTTGGTGGAGATGCCGTTGTTGTTTTTGAAGGAAGAGGATATTGCGAAGGAGGGGTTGGGCCTGAATGCTTTTACAGAGGAAGTGTATACTTAATGCTTCAGTTGGGGTCCTGAGCGGGGCTTTCGAAGACCTTAAGTGTAGACAACAGGATGCCACATGTTTTGGACCGGGGCGGCGGGATTTCTCGTGCTTCTTGGTTATGAGTTGATAGGATTGTGGAGTCGTGGCAGTTGTTTATAACTTCAAAGCAACAGGGTCATGCTGCAAATTCTCAGAATAAAGATATTGCTGGTGTTCTGCTGCATGGAAGTTCTCGGAGGCATTGTATGAATCGACAGAGAGTGCGTAGCTTATGGAACGCCTAGATGCGAGATGATGTGGATATTCAATAGCTCCTTTCGGGCTTCAAAGGTATTCGTGCTCAGCCACTGTAGTACGAACTCATCTCCAACAACACCAGAAGCCGGTCAATCGTGTTCTCCTCACTCGTGCCTTTCCCTTTCCCATACCCCCGCTTCCCGGTCAGTCCTCTACACACGCTAATGAAGACTCGGACTTTTCCTTTGAAGAGGGCATACAGGTCCTCGGGACCTGCTTCGGTCATCTCCGGTTTCGTGTTCTTCTCCAACGTAATATACCGGTTATCAGTATTGAGCTTCGAGAACGATAGAATAGCATCAAAGGTTTCCTCTAGTAGCGTCAAAACCTGTTTCTGCCTCCGCCTCAGCAGCAACGAGAACATGATGCGATCCAAGCACTGGTCATGAGCCTTCTTCAAGCTCTCAAGCCCTTCCCTGACGAGAACGCCTATAGTGCCGACCTTATCTTCATTCTCTAGCCGAGCTTCGACAGAGTCGAGGAAGTCTTCAAAAGCAGTCCAGTGATCGCTTATGCCTGTCTGGAAAATGTAAAAGCTCACCGCCGAAACGAAATGATGCGCCTCGTTTCTGAAGCGTCGAGATGCGGGAGTCGTGTATGTGCGTGGAAGATGCGAGACCACAAACATCATGCGAGTAAGTCGAAGGAGAAATTTGAATATCAGGTCGTATTTTTCCAGAGCCGCGGATGTGATGACGAGATGGAGAGGGGAGGGTGGAATGTATTGTAGACGGAGAAAATCGAGCGCGTAGAGGGACTGCGGGTCCATGATCTTTTCCATCTCAGATTCAGGGAGGGTTCGGATTGCGAAATTGAGCTGTCCGGGAAGCTCTTCGCGGTCTTTCTTCAGACGGTAATCTAGCTTCGCTTTTTGTTTGACAGAGGACTGGTAGAGACGGGAAGAATGGAAGCTTTCACTCAAAACACCCATTAGAGCTAGTCTTAGCTCTGAGCTTGCAGGTGGCCACGTTGTGCGGGAACCTAGTTTCAGGCCCATTTGAATGCCACTGCGAACGGTGCCCTTCTGGCGTTCCGCTGCTTCTAATTCAGGGCTGAACAGAGCGGAGGAAAGGCGTGATAAGAATACGCCGTCGCCTAGTAAGTGGTATTGTCGTTGAAGTGAGAAATGTAGGCGCAGTTGATGTGATCGGAAGAACAGCCGGAGAGTTGTGGCGTTAATCATGCGCGCTTGCGCAGCTAGGATTGGAATAAAGGAGAGGTATGGGGTCAAAGACAGTGGGGGTGCGAATTCCGAATCATTCGGGCTTTCAATCCGAGAGTTTGACGATATAGTTCTCAATACTAGCTCCTGAAGTTCGTCTGGCAATGTATTAGAATCCTGCGTGGGAAGTGCGTCGAACGTCCGAGCAGACTCTAAAAGGTATTGTTCAAAATTTTGATCCAGCATCCCATCTGAAGCTCGATGATCGATGGTGTCGGCCCCTAAATGAGATGCAGAAGCATTTGGAGCTCCTCTGAGCTCTTGAATAGCACTCATGACTTCCATCTCGTACGTCTTAGCCTTCTCCGATACTAGCTCAAGATCTGCCCACGAGAACTTCCACTCTAGAATCGGAGCTATAATGTCGAACTTTCCGGGTATAGCTAGTGGATGTTCAGGATGATGTGACTTCAAAAAGCGAAGGCTGTTCCCCGTCTCAAAAATCGCTGCTCCATCTTCGTCTGTAATGAAATCGGGCATCATGTCGGAGTTGTAAACGAACTCGGGTACCGCTGAGTCTTCTGCGCCGTCCACAATTTCAACAAAACTCTTCTCAGCACTAAAGCTTGTGACAAGCTCTGTGTGAGTGCCCGTCCACTCCCCAACTAGTTCAAGAAATGGACGAGCAACAGTGGACAAGATCTGGGCAGCAATTTGACGGACCCCATCGTCCCCTTGATCTGAGGACTGGATTCTATGGTACAACATTGATACCACCTCTTCATTCGTCCGACCAGTTGTTATAGTGTCTACCATGCTTTTGAGATGCATCAGTATTTCCTGTGGCTTTTCGAATACCTGCTGCAGTTGCAGCATAGACTTAATGTTGTTTGATTGCTTCCCAAGATAAGTCTCGAATGTCGTAAGGATAGTCGAAACCGCGTTCGCCAAAGCTACTCGTGCAGGAAGAGCATTACTAGATGCGTAGGTGTGCTCCGTGAAAGACCTTAGCTGTCGAAAAGTGGTACCGTTGGTCAAAAAGCGGTTTATGAAGTTTTGAGATGAAACAAGACTACAGCCTGGTATTCGACCGTCTTCGAGAGCCTGGATGCAGCGATTGGGGTCCTCTCCGCCGAAGGTGAACAACACTGAAGACCGGCCGAGTCCAAGACTCACTAGAGATTGGAGAAGTACAATGGGTTTTACGACTCTCTCTGCGCCTTTATGACCTCCATTTTCCTGTGACAACTCTTGAAGTGCCGCATCGAACGCATCTGTGCTGGCCTCTGAAATATAGGCTGAACGAGGCTCATTGCTTCCGGGGTTCTCAAAGGACTCCCATGTATAGAAAGCAATATCCTTGTCTGCGGGTCCCAAATCGAACGCGATCTTCCATATGTCCTCCTTCTCCTCTTGCAGCTCGGTATCAGGTTGAGTTGTGGATTCATCGGGTATACTGGGGTCTGAGAGGGATCCAAATTGGAAAGTCTCAAGATCTGGAAGATGAAGGGCTTGATCGAGGGTCCCCTTGGGCGCATATGGGTTTTCTAACTGCAAAGATGGAACTATCATGTGGTAAGATATTGTACGACGCGTAGTTGAAATGACGCGACAAACTCACTATCCAGTTCTATAGCTGAAAACAACGAGGACTTATAGGTCAACTCCTTCTCGAAATACGTGGAGGGCTTCCAGAGGTTGACAGATGTGAAGACATCCTCCAGGTGGTCGTGGGCGTCCATGGCAGATTGTGTGGTGTTGAGTTTTGAAGACGTCCCCTGGTCCCCACTTCCGACGCCAGGAACGCGATGACATCTGCACAATTTCTCAGCCCTACGCTGCACCTCACTCCCGCATCCAACCACACCAACTCCACCATTCACCAAGAATCCACACTATACACTTGGTACCGCCTCTTCAGTCTCTGCCCACAATGCCTCCCCGGAAACGCGCCAAAATCAGCGCCGCCTCCACTCCCCTCGCCGAATCCCAACCCAAGACCCCCGTAGAGAGCGGACCAACAGCTGCATCGCAAGACCGCTCCCCCCAAAACGAGAACCTCCTAAACGACCCATGGACAGACGGGCAAGAAACTCAGCTCTTCAAGAGCATGATTAGATGGAAGCCCACCGGTACGCCCATCTCCATCAACTCCAGCTCGTGGTCAAACTTATCTCCACGATTATACAAGGCTAACGCATATCTTATATTTCATCTAGGCATGCACAAACACTTCCGCATGCTCAGCATCCATAATTCCCTCTCCACCCACGGCTTCGCCTCCCCCAATGCCCCCCACACGCGCATTCCAGGCATCTGGACCAAACTGCACACCCTCTACGACCTTGCCGCCCTCGACGAGCGCGAGAACGCGTATACATTCAATACATACCGGGACAGTCCTGGTAGCACTGAGGAATCCATCCCTTCCTTTCAGCTTCCCGAAGACGAATTCGGCGAAGAGATGTGGGGCCGGAGATTCGCGGGTCCCGACGACGAGGGCGCTGAATCGCCCCCAGAGTTCTTGCCGATTGAGGACGACAGGAAGCTATACCGGCCTGGGATAGGGCTACTGAGCGACTTACATGATTCCGTAAGGGAGCGGGAGAAAGAGGAGAGTCAAGCAAGCCCGTCGACGCGGCCAAGAGCGGGCACGAGGGGCGGGCGTGGCGCGGCGAAGGGCCGGGCGGGGAAGGCGGTGCAGGTGGCGAAGAGTGCAAAGGCGCAGAGTGCGGTGTCGGAGAGTGCGGAGGATGAAGAAGAGGAGGAAGAGAGTAGTGAGGAGGCTAGCGAGGAGTCGGAGTCGGAGGAGGCGGCGCCGGCGAAGGGGGCGAGAGGGGGACGGAGAGGGAGGCCGAGTAGGCGGGGGAGGAAGAGATGAGGAATCCTAGGGATATCTTGGCTCCTTTCTTGTGGTGTGCGAGTCCTATATACCCATATACCTTCTTTTGAGAGCAAGAGCTATCTCCTTGAAAGGGGTTTGATTTCATAAAACATACCAAGCTCATATCTCATGTATTCTTGGTTTAACCAGTGTATTAGCCTCATTTTCCCATCAATCCCCACACAAAACTACATCGTTTCTGGACACCCGGTTACATACTCCCATCCTCCGATCCATTAAGTACGCCAAAATCCCTGTCAATCCTCCTCGCAATCAGAATCTCTATCCTTGAAGAATACACCACGATCTTCTTTCCATCCCCTCTTTTCCTGAAGTGGAGAGCCGGAACACCCGACCTTGGGTTTTTCCTTCCCCTTCTCTCTCAAACCGGCCGCCTTTCGCGATTCGCTAGTAGATTCCACTTTCTGGAAGGGAAGCGGCGGCAGGACTGGTGCGGCGCCCACAGCCCCTGACACTTTGATTGCTGACGCGACACTGTGTGGTGCCCTACTATCTGCGGATGCCGCTGATGGGGGTTCATCTGCTTCGGGCTTATTGAGAAGTTTGGAAGATTTCAAGTCGCCAACAGCTTTGATAACCATGACTTTTCCAGGATATCTAGACGCTCGTGTGCCGTCGCTGATCATATTCGTATGGTAGTTCAGAAGGCTCTTGAGCGATGACATGTTGAGGTGGTTCTTTGGGTCTTTGGTTGTTGTTTGCTCGTCGTTGATGGATTCGGTATGGATCTTGGATCCCTTGCTCGAGGATTCCGAAAAACTCGAGTTCCCTTGGTCGGCTGAGGAGGAGGAGGAGGAGGAGGAGGAGGAGGATGAGGATGAGTAAGAGGTCGACTTGTGGCAGGGCCGTCCGTCAACTTTCGAAGATGCGCATTGAGGCATGTTGATGTTTTGTGAGTGATGGAGACGGGTAATGGTTTGATTGGTAGATATTGTGAAGCGTTGGTTTTAAGATGAAGAAGTGCTGGTCGGTCTCTGCTTGGGGTTTGTTGAAGGTAGCAGAGGCAGGGAAAGTTGTATATTTATACTGCCATGGGGAGCCCGAACTGACTCAAGCGGTCACGATTCCTAAAGAAGTGGTCATCGAAATTGACGACTCGGGAAGTCTTCGTCAAGGGATAGAGTCAACATGATCAAAAGTGAGTCACTTCAATAGACAACGGTTTGATGACATGAAAGTAAGAGAATACATGTGTTGCTCATTTATCTGGGACTCTAACCTGCTGCCCCCCGAAGAATCCAATTTCCACTTGACAACAGCACCTTGTAAGCAATTCAATACCTAACATGGTTCAGAAATAATTTAACAAAAACTAAAACACGCAAAGGACATCCCGTCAGAACAAGAAACCATGTCTCTCTAAACTGAATCCAAAACTACATTGCCAGATTTCCCCAAATCTCTCCCTTTAGACCCCTGACTAACATGCATCCTATCCAGGACTTTCTTTAACAAATGGTATTTCCTAGAAAGCATCCGTTTTTCCGCGTCTCGATCAACCTGACACTAGGAATTTTCAATGCCCTCTTTCGTCTCCGTCGAATCTTCCGACCTTCTGCGGCCTCGCTCTGTCTTCAGTGTGCTCCTCTCTTCTTCAATCACGGGATCTCGTATAACCTCGATTATCGTCTCGTCGCTTTGTTTGAGAGTGGGCTCTTGGGAGCCGCTCGGATTGCTAGAAATCGCTTGAGCGTGGTTGTCGATGTCTTCGCCAGCTAGAACTTTTTTTTTGCCGTCCGGGGCCTGAAGATGAAGTTTGGGGATCTTGCTCGGAGAGTTTACAAGGTTGATGTATGAGGAGCCGCTGGAGGCCTCTGAGCTGTGGGATGGCCGTTCTTCGGACTGAGATTCGTCGGAGGCTCCTTGGATTTTGAGTTCTCGACGCCGCTTTTGATAACCCTCTGTCAGAGTACCGTAAACATCCCAGTAATGGTCCAAGCTCATGGTTGCGTGATAGGTGGAGCTATAAAGTGGTGCAATTGATATGGATATGTAAACAATCGAGTATTGAAGAAGTGTAAGCCTATCTTTGCTTTGAGGTTTGTTGAAGATTTGTATAGGTAGAATGATACTTCGTTGAGGAGGACGAAGTGACTCAAGAGAGTCTAAATTGCCCATGACTAGTCATCGGTCCTTAAACAAGAAATTCATTCAAAACGGAGAAAATCGAGTCAACGATCTGTGATTTAAAAATCACTTTTCAGAGTCTTACGCACCTCTCTGAGTCCGCACAAATGCTGCTGTATGTACTGTATATTATGCAAAGGGAACTCCGAGCAGCCGCCCGCTGGAGAATTCAATATCTACCCGGCATCCTCGCCTTTACAAATAACCGGACCTCCAACACAGTCTTACTCGCAAGTATTGTATTCACGATAAGAAAGTGCATCCCTCTACATCACCTCCATAAACCACAGTAGCATATTCACATAGCTCTTCCATATAAAACCTAAAAAGAACCCCATTTGCCTGAATTTCAAATAACTCCGTCTAAACATTTCCCTTCCTCGGAAGCCTATACTTCTTCGCCTCACGATCTACTCCAAAATCAGAATCTCCATCGTCATCTTTCATCCCCTTCCAAATCATTTCGGCGGCGCCAGATGTGCTCTCTTCTTTTCATCCTCTTTGCCAATTTCCCTCGCTATCCACACAACGCTGACAGCTCTTTCAAGATTGGGATTTGGGGGCTTTTCGGCACTCCGGTGTTTGCTAGATGCTAGAGCGACGCGAAGGTCGAACTCTTCGATGGATTCTTGTTTGCCGTTCGGGACTTGAATCGTGATCTTAGGTATCTCGATCGACGATGCCGCATCGTTGGGGCTTGTTTGGTCCTCTGGGCGGCTGCTGGAATACTCTGAGCTGTGGGAAGGGCCTTCTCCGTGTTGAGGCTCTGGGAAGACCTCGTGGTTTTCGAGGCGTTGAGAATTTTCTCTTTGATCCATGGTAGGGTTATGGTGAGAGATAAAAGAGGGATGATATGGTTGATATGGGTATGTAAAGATTCGCTCAGGTGTTGATAAAATAATAAGATTGCATTTAAATGGGGTTCGTCTGAAAGTTTTAGAAGCAGAGCAAGGTATTTATGCTACGATGGGGAGCTCGAACTGACTTAAGCGATTGCGAGTCTCCAGAAGTGGTCATTGAAATGAAGACTCAGGAAGTCTTCAACAAGAGGTAGAGTCAATATAATCAAGGGGAGTCACTGCAATACCTTATCACTACAATACCTCATCACTACAATGCCTCGTCATTAAAATCCGTACATTTTTTTACCGCTAAGTGAGGAGCTTCATAGTATTTGCGCATTCCAAATAAGAGAGGAATCCGGCATTTTGGGCGATTGCTAAACTTGCGAGGCTACCTCAAACAGCGTCAATAGGGTATACGCAGATTGGAAGTGTATCCGTTGCCCCTATGGAGGCCCATAGACAGTGTCGAGAAGTGTACAAACATCTATGGCAAGGCACTGTATAATCGAAATGGTTTGATTACATGAAAGTAAGAGAGAGCATGTCATGCCCTTCTATCTGGGACCCCAAACCGCTGCCCGCCGAAGAAATCTAATCTCCACCTAGCAACCGCACTTCACAAAAAGTATAATTGCACATAATTCCACATACAGTTTAACAGAACCCAAAACAGAAACCTGAAAGAAACCAAAACAAGAAAGCCTTACTCTCTAAAATGAAACAAAAGACCACAGTGCCGAATTCCCCCTACTCTCCCACATCAGACTCCTAACCAACACGCTTTCCGTTACAAAGCATTTTCTTGACCGCCATCATTCCTAGGATGCATCCGTTTCCTCCTCAAGAAGATCCACTTGGACTTCAGTCTCGCCAGTGTTACTATTTTTCTTCTCCACCAAGAGATTCGATGTCTCGGGGGCTAGCTGTGCGTTGCTAGTCCGCCCTTTCTTGATTATAAAGGCCGCAGCCATCGCAACGTTTTCGAACCTCAAGGTTCCAATTTTGCTGGTCGTGGGTTTGTTGGACGGTCCATTTTCGCCAACTCTTTCCTCTTCATCCACTGTCTGGAGATGAACCTTGGGGGTGTTGCTCGATGAATCCGACATGTTGATCTTTGAGTGGCTGCCGTAGGACCGAGTGGTGGTATGATCGTTCGTGGGGTTGATGTTCTTTAGAAACTTCGAAGTGTGCAAGGTGTCATGGCTTTGGTCTTTGTTGACTTCGTGGGAAGAGGTCGAGAATGAATGATCTGGTTGGCATAGGTATGTGAAGAGTTGATCGGGTGTCAACGAAGAGTGAATCCGTGTTTGCTTTGAGAGTTGCTTTGAGATTTGCTTTAAGGTTTGTTAAAGGTGTGTATGTGTAGAATGAGAGGTGTTTATACTACGGTAGGGAAGACCGAGTGACTCAATAAATTGCGAATTATGCGCGTGCGGTTGTGCAACCTCAAGACTTGAAACAACTCCATCATGAAACAGAGTCAAAACGAAAAGTCAAAACTAAGAGTCAGACCCCATAAAGGACGATTCAAAACTATGACCTTTTCTGTTCTACGAACCTTCTATAGCCGGCACGATCTTCGGTATAACCTACGAAGGTACTTCGAACAACTTTCCACCGAAGTCTCACTCTCCACCCGGTGTCCTCGCCTTTACAAAGTCGACCAAATCAAAGAAACTCTTCTTATACCTCCTTTCCTGCGTCGTGCGATTCACGGTTTGCAAGCCAAACCGTGCGTCATAATCTCCAAATTCCCAGTTGTCAGCGAAGGACCATGCGAGCGCGCCAATGACATGAACACCATCCTATGAATCAGTTAGCGTCATACTCTTCCCCATGGACCAGCCCTTCCGAGTCCTCATGATGAATAAAGGAGTCAACTCACCTCCCAGATACTCTTCAAAATCTCACTCATAAATGACTGGTAATACACGCTTCTCGGCGAGTCAAACAACATATCCTCAAGCACGGCCTTCTCTGCTTCCGCAAAAACCGGGAATCCGAATTCTGTAACAAATACGGGAGTGCGCCAGGTGTTGTACAGGTAGCTAAGATACTCGCGGAGATAAGTCGGCGTGATGTAGACGTATGAGTAGCTGCGGTAGCCGATGTTCCAGCCATTCGTTGTGATGGTTGATTGGTTGACGCAGTAGGGGAAGAAGGGGTCGGATGTGTTGGCGGCACATTCTTGGATGCCGTAGCTGGGTGCCGAAACTACGGTCGCTGTGTACGGATGGACACCTAAGAAATCGGCAGTACCGTTGAGGTAGGCGAGGTCGTCAGCTGAAAGTGGAACATAGTCGGGGATCGTGGTTTTGTAGGCTTCAGGATAGTCGATACCAAGCATTAGTGGGTTGCAGAATGTACCGAGCCTATGATTATTAGCTAATTTTCTGGCGATAGAAGATCAATCGGAAAGCTTACTGGAACTCATTGAACCAAGTTGTAGCATAGACATCATTCTTATTCTTGGGATCCCGAGGCACGCCGAAGTTGTCGTTAAACTTGATGCCAAACTTCCCCGTTCCTCGCAGTTCTTCGTGATAGAAGTGCTACAGTCGAGCGTGAGCTTTGACGACCGAGTCGATGCTTTTGCCGTCATCGGAATAGAGAAGAGGTTCGTTGAAGCTAGTGGTGTCAGTTCTAAAAGCGCGAGTCGTCTCAGGCTTACATACCTCATCCAGAAAGGAACCCGATCGGCATAGTGAGTAAGGACAATCTTTCCATAGTTCACGAAGGCGTCCTGGAAGGTCTCGTTCTGATAGCCACCATTGACATAGCCGATGAGGGCATCATCATAGACGGTAGTCAGGTTACCAAAGAATTGCAATGGAGTATCGAAATGGAACAGTGTCACTATAGGGATCATCCCTTTTTCTAGAATGAAGTCGATCAGGTCGTTGTAGTGCTGGATGCCTTCCTGATTGACTGGCGTCCCGGGGAGGGCGAATGGGAGAATCCGAGTCCAAGCAACGGAGAAGGAGTAGTACTTGACTCCCATACTTGCAATCCTTTCAATATCTTGTTTGTACAGGTAGTAGTTCTCGTTCGTGATCTGTTGGCATCAATTCGTCAGAAATTGATACTGAAAGAGGTAGAGTAACACACACATAATCACGAGCTTTGTCTCCAGTTTCAAGAACTTCCATCAAAGTCGGACCTCGACCTTCTTGCGCGACCGCCCCTAGAACTAGTTAGCCTAAGTACTTTGCGATCTGTAAGGCACCACGCGAGGCATTGAAAAGAAGGCACCACGCGGGGCATTGAAAAGATGGCACACTGATGCCAGAACAAGCTGTCTCATGTGGACATCTGTCTGCCACTGCTTGGGGTACCTTAGAGAATTTTCAGGAATTGGAACAAGATAAAAGCCCTTCACTTCAGACTATGTGGAAACTTGTTGAAGCACTTCATGCAGTGGCAGACAGGTGTACACATGGGGCAAAGTACTTGATGAATATGCCATTTTTTTCGTGCCCAGCGTGGGTACTCACCCTCGATCTGAGAAGCCGACCCTGCAACGCCGAACACGAAGTCTTCTGGAAAATTGTAGCAATCCGTGGGTCCAAAGTACTCTGGTGGGGGCAGGACAAGCTCGCTAGACGCTACCGGCGTAGGGCTGACTGTAGTGGTGTAGATACCGGTCTGCATCCGATTAGTTGTTGTATATTGATTTGATATATCAGGGATAACGTGACATTCACTTACCGCAGTGAAGTTTGTGACGTTCGCTGCATCCCACAATGCACTCCATGCCGCGTTGCCATATGCATCGGCTGTATCAGTAGCGGTTGCTGTGTCATTAGGATTCCAGCTTCCCCATGTTGTCGTAGAGACATTTGGGATTAAATGACTGAGAGATTGATATGGCTGTGCATATGTCGAGGTAGTGGTGGGCTTCGCTACAGAAGTAGCAGTCCTCAATGTCTCATTCAGCGTAAAGGAAAAGGATGAGAATCGATACGTGGGCTCGGCTGAAGCTGTTTTTGACGGACAAAAGGGTCGAGTCGTGGGACTTTGCACTGGGATGTAGATCTGCTGAGCACATACGCTATTCAGTGTCCAGAAAACGACGCATAACCGCAAAACCGTGGTAAACATGATGAAAACTAATATGATTTTCTTTTGCAGTGCGTCCTACATCTTGTATTGTCCTATTTATACTCGTATGACCAGTGAAAACTTGGATTCATCACAGGAACGAAGCGTGACCACAGTCAAGCTCAAACGAGCAATTGTACCCGCAAATATGGGTACCGCGGCCTGGAGTTCTTTCTCCTAAAGCCCTGGACGTCATATTGTGGGGAACACGATCGGATTGAGATGTGTTCCTGGAAGAAGTTGGCTGCGGGGAAGCTTGGCCTTGCTTGGCGGTCGTTGTTTTCTTCGTCCTTCGGGACAAATTCGGCCCGAAGCAACGACATTTCTCACAGCGATTGCGAATAGCGCTCTGCTCACCGCATATATACTTCTAACTCCCGCTGACGCTGTCCTACATCATCTTCTGTGTGAGACTGTTTCTTCACGAAATCCGGATGGAAATCCGAATACCTTTCTTGTGACGACTTGTAGTAGCATTTCCACACCCCTTAAGACATTGATGCATTCTCTGCTCGGCTTCCTGACTAATCTTCGTAAAACCGTCTTCGATGACTGGATCATGTTCTCGGCGGCGGTCTTGACAGTCTCTTCTTCGACGCCGAAGAACCGCTATGGTGTCCGGATTGAGGCAATGTGTAAAGAGCACCTGTTGATTAATCATCATGCGAGTGCCACTCACCGCTTGTGTCACAAAGGCTCAGCTCGGACCTACGTAAACGGGACGATAGGGCTATTTGTGTGACGAGATTGGGCCTTTTTGTAAGGCGTACCTAGGTTGGACACATTGCTGATCAGACAGCCTACTCCTGCAGTTGTAGAGGCATGGACCAGTGGCATGATCCAAGTATACGAAACACGCTCGCATTCAATAGCAACAACCCGGCGTTATGGGTAGTACTACCTGCAGGTGAGTATAGCCTCAGGATTCTATTGGGTGTTCCCCGTCACTGCGCTGCCAGCCACTTGTGTTGGCTCAAGGGTGATTACAAACCCAATGCGCGTATCCTGGCCTTGTGGAATCCGAGAGACTAAGCTGCATATAAAAGAAGCACATATTCATCTTGTAGAAGCCCGACTTCAAACACCAAATCTCGCAAAAGCATTTTCTTCTAGTACCTTCAATTCTTCAGAAGTCCCCTCAGAAAACCTTCTATCAACTCCCAACCCTAACCGCAACCATGGGTGTTCCCTTCTACAGACTCACCGTCCCCGTCTTCGTCCGCGCCCTTACAAACCTCTCCGCAATCCTCAAAGTCGCCGAAGCCCACGCCAAAACCAACAATATCGACCCCGCGACGCTTCTTGAAGCCCGCCTGTACCCCGATATGGGCTCGCTGCCCTTCCAAATCCAACGCTGCAGCGACTCAGCCAAGTTCGCCGCAGTGCACCTCGCAGGTGCCGAGAACTTGTCCATGCCCGACACCGAAACCACGTTCGAGCAGCTGCATGAGCGCATCCAGAAGACAGTGGGCTTTCTAAACGCTACCGATGAGAAGGCGTGGGAGGGGAAGGAGACGCTCGTAGTGAAGTACAGGATGGGGCCGATCGAGCGGTCTGACCCGGGAGAGAAGTATTTGCTAGAGTTTACTCTTCCGAACTTTTTCTTCCATGTGGCGACGGCGCATGATATTTTGAGGAACCAGGGGGTGCCAATTGGGAAGATGAACTATCTGGCCGGAGGATTCATGTGAGGTGATTACCCAGCATGAGTGTGATGGACAAGGGGTCAGAATTTTACCACTAAAAATAAGCGAGTTGCCTGTGTTATTCTTTCGAAGTAGTAGAGCATGGAAATCCTTCAAATTTACCGTTTTTGACCGTCTGAGCAATCGAAAAGTGCCATTCATGCAGGAGGAGACGTCAACCAAAACAGGCTGTCAGTACCCTGGCCTCAATCTCTACGGTCATTCAAATCTTCGAAGGTACTGCTTTCGACCGTCTGAGCATTTGGGAAATACTAATTCCATTGATGCGAACCAAAACCACCGCGCTAACCAAAATAGGCTTCCAGTACCCTTGCCCTCCCTTTGCCACGATAAGCAATCCTAAACCCCCTGACTCAATGCACAACAACCGCAGCGACAAGGGCATCCATGGCCGAACAATGCGTCGACGCATTAGCAGGATTCAGGAAAGGGCCTGCCCAGTCTACACTCAGCATGTTTCCCTCGTCCCGATCATTCCTCCATATGCTATTCGCAGACGCCTGAATCACCCTGACATACGCCTTCTGCGGCGCAACAATATGCAGCGCCTGCAGATTCCTGACAAATATCCCCTTGAATTGCGTCCCATCTGGCGCGCAATTGGGCTCGCACCCATAGTCATGAAGGACGCCGTTCGTGTCTGTTAAGGCGGAAATCGCGGCCGCGGCGATTTTTGCAGCGGCAGGCAGGTAGCTGGAGTCCGGGGCGGCTTTGTTGAGCTCGACGAGGCCGCCGAGGACGACGCCCTGGTTGTATGTCCACACGGTCTGGCCGTTGTTCTTGCAATCGAGGGTGAGGCCGTCGTTGACAGTGTTGTTGGCGTTTATCATGCCGCTGGCTTGGAACCATTTCCACTCCTTCTGCGCCCAGTTCACGTAGTAGGCTTTGTTGGGCACACGGTTGGCTAAATGAGCGGCTACACTGAGGAAGAGCTCGTTGGCGATGGCGTTGGCGTAGTCATGTTTGTAGGACCACCAGATGCCCCCGTTGCTGCAATTCGTGGGCCAACCAGCTGTCATGCCTTCGAAGATGCCGATGGCTGTCTGCAGATAATCCTGGTTCTTGGTAATATCGTACGCGGCGATCCACGCGAGCGCCCACCAGCCGCCGTCGTCGTAGTAGCCGTCTAGCCAGGCTGAAGCGTTGACTTGGCCCGGGTGCCCGTGGTATCCAGGCCAGTGGTGCGGCCATGTTTGGGGATAACTCGTATGGGGCTCGCCATTGGTGTTCATTTTCTCGATTCCTGGGGCTGGATTTACGGCCGGTGCCACAACGTAGGTGTTATTGAAGACATGCGTAACTATGGGGATGGCTGATTTATCGATCGCTGCGAAGTCTGCAAGCATAGTCATGCAGTTTGCTCCATTCCACCAACCGCAAGTGTCCCAGATGCCGCTAGTCTCATTGTACCATGCATCTTGTAGAGTGTTGAGGGCAGTAGTTGCCTTGGACTCGGCGGACTGAGCAGAGACTTGTGTGTTGTTTACAAGCAATAAAAAGAAGGAAGCGGATACAGTGGTCAAGAAATGAAGAAGCATGTTGGTCCAGGGCTCAGGCTGCTGGACACAGGTCTGGGGTATCGTGCCGTCTAATAGGCATGATGGAACCATTCTGTGACACTGTAGCATTCTATATTCGGTAAGAAGACGCCAAAATAGTTCCTGCTGTACCTAGTCGGGCGGGGAAAGGACATGGGGAGATGGGGTACTCGGCACTAGTTGTCACGAGAATCAAAGTCGTGTCTCTCCGACCGGGGAGCAGCAGGATATGAGAACCAATCGTCAGCTTGCCGTTTCCGAGGCCGGTAATATTCATGTGCTTGAGTGGGAATCGTCGGGATTGGAATCAGGCCGTCAGCTGCAGATCATCCTAGAGGTGATCCTGGGAAGACTGGGCATTACTATTGGGAGGGGCGTCATGAACTCGAGTCGGATTACGACAGTTGGTGCTACAAAAATTAAAATCCAATGAAGAATGCGTACTCACCCTGCTGAAGCATTGAACTTGTCTTGGGAAGAATTGGAAGAAGTTCTGTTGTCTGAATATGCGCGTGCTGAATTGCACGCCCGGGATGTGGTGTTCACGCAAAGCCTCCACATGCTTGGATATTTAGATCTAGCAGATTGGTATGTGCAATAATGTCCCTCTTAAGGGATAGAAATTAGATAAAAAAAAAGGGATGGTCCGTCATGTTTGGATTTGTGAAAGCGTAGCGAGACGTCTCGAGCAGTGGTAGACAAGTTATAGACCTTCGAGGTACTTCAATCACTTTGCAAGGCGAAGGTAAGCGCTAGACTGATATACTGCAAGTCAGGAATCATGCTAATGTTTTGTGAAGGATGATTTCTTATATTGTGGTAATCTCTACCCAAACATACACATATCCTCCGTGATTTTTTAAGCGCAGCCATGTGGTACAAATACTTGTAACATCCAAGGCTTTTCGAAAGACCGTTCCAGTGCCCTCCCTTCTATTTTACAAATTACCTTCATCTTTCATTTTTTGCATCCGCAAAATCGGGTATATCCAAGGGTATCATCTACGACATTTATCTTCCCTCACATAACCACACAGCATCCTCGCAGGGCCCTTATGCAACCAGGAAGGACCTTCTTGACCACTTGTTCAATCTCCTCGTTTTGGTTCTGTTGCTGGTTCTGGTTCTGGTGTTGACCGCCATGCTGCTGCTGTTGTCCACCATGGTATTGTCCCTGTCCGCCATGCTGTTGCTGGTGTCCACCGCCGTAATGTGGTGCAGGAGGCATCACGGCAGGTCCGCCTTGCAAGTTGATGTACATGCGACCCTCGTTCTCCTCCGTGGCATATTGAAGACCCAACTCTTGGCAGACTTGTTCAACGCGCGGCTTTATCTTCTGGACGTGGTTTCGAGAGTGGTTTCCTTTGCCTACGATTCTGCATCTCGCATTAGCATCAGAGTCCCCTACGAGAGCTAGGCTGTAGCGTGTAGGTACTCACACATGCAAATGCGATTGCCCGTTTTGTCGGGCATATCGAATCCTTTGCTCCAATATCTCTTCTGCCTCCTCTACAAACTGTCCGTGGAGGTCAATAGTATCACCATCGACTCTTCCAACAGCATTGTTTTCCCTAAATATATAGTCTGAGGCCTGTTTATTGTACTGGTCCATCCGCGCCGCATGTTGTTTCCCTTCCTCGGACAGTTGATGGGCTAGAGCGCCATTCCCAGATTCGTACGCTTGATGCGCGCGGTCGAAGCATGAGCTGCGTTGCGCGGCCTCTTGACGCGCCGCATCGCGGAGGCGATCATATTCGGCTTCTGCGCCAGAATTGTCGTGGTTGAGGGCTGTCATTGAGGTGAGTGGCTGGGAGATCGCGTCGAGGCAGGATTTAGAGCTTACCACGACCGCCCAGTCTATTCATTGGAATTGCCATATGGAGATACTTGAGGAAATATCACTATTAAGGAGAGGTTGGCGACGCAGGTACAATGTTGATTTGAGACCAGGGTGTTATTGTGAAGTGTGAGGCTGGGATGCGGGCGCGGGCCGAGGATCGAGATCGCCGCTAGGAGATCTGGCCGTAGAATCTATCCCACTCCGCACGTAGACGTCGCACGCTGGCCGACCTCGACAAGATTGATTCCATCACGACCGGCTTTGATAGTAGCTCCCTAAATCCTATTCTAACTAAGCTTGTGACATACGAGTACCTTCCTATGAAATCTTTTTGCCCATAGGATAAAGTCCAAGAACAGCAGCTAAGTTTTCATGTCACTCCGCACCTAGAAGTCTCAAACCTCCACTTCACGCGGACGCGTCTCACTACGGAGATCTGACTGAGAGTGTCACTCGTAGGAGACGTCGGATGATCCAGAACGACCACATCAAGCTGTTCCAGCTTGTCAGCAAGAAATGCACGAAATTCGGGGTACGGCGCAAGCATCCTCAATGAACTTGATTCCATCACGGCTGGGCTTGGTAACGGATCTCGAAGTCACAATTCCACTTAAACAGGCTACATTTGGTTGTCTCAATTGACGCTTGTTTGCTTAGGGAAGAATGCCGGAGAACAGCAATTCTCTGCGATAACCACATCTACAAAAATGTCCTCTTACTCACAAAAAAGTCATGATTTACGTGGTTACTATGCATGCAAGGGTCCTGATCCATTCAAGCCCGATTCTACTGCCTAGGGCAATTGATACACGAAGACGTCCGGGGCTGTTCTTCACGATTTAGTGTGCGGGAAGCTCGTGCAATCTACCCTTTAGCACGATTGCAGTACCGGAAAGCCATATATCTTTGCAAGTAGGACATCTCATCGAACTTCGTTGTTATTTAGTTTAAGTTATATCCGTTCGGAAAAAATCCTCGAATCTGGTGGGATATTATGTACTTAAGGATACCCGAAATACGCGACACGGCTTTAAATTATGTCGGAAGTTTCCAAGTTTCTCCAGGTTGTCAACCAATAAGACTCGATGAGGCTTGCCAACTAAGCTGCTGTCAGGGCCTGAAATCTCTTCGCTGATCCCCGTCCTCGAACCATCACACACCTGTCTTCTTTCACACAACTCCGTTCACACGTTCAAAACTTCATTTATACTTTTCTAAGACCCTTCACGCATTTTCACCAACGTGCCCACAGGCTCATTGACGCGTGCCGCCCCACTAGCCGTATTTGAACATTCCTGTCGCTATCAAGGTTATTCGAAATTGCGATACCCAACCGGGACTTCTCGTCAACACTGTCATCATGGAACAACCAGCAGCCGACCTTTTGAAATACATTATCGATTCTCGAAGCCGACTCCCGCCCTAAAGGGCATCCGTGTAAAGTGCGACGGAGTCATCGTCCTGTCCACTTATGAGTCCTATATCAACGAAGGCCACAGATCCTTGGAAACCACTACGTAGACAAAGACCCTTAACCTGGAGGTGCCATATATCGGCAACAACGAAACCGCACTTGCACGGGCGGTTGGACGGGTTGCGTCCACAGCAAGTGAAATCGAGGTTCTTCAACTCCACTGGAGGGATGATTCGATGCCATTTCGATCCTATAGCTTGAATAGCCATGATCCCCTAAAATTCTTGGCAGACTCACCGTGTCCAAAGCTACGAGAGCTCTCGTTGATGAGAACAGTCATAGAAAGGCCGATACTACTGGACTTCTTGGAAGCGCACACGCGAAGTCTTCGTAGTGTGTCCTTGGTGGACGTTTTATCTCCAACCAACTAGGCGATGGAAGGAGATTATCCGACAAATACCGAGCATCTTGTCGTTAGAGACGATCCGCCTTTGCAATCTTTGGAACGTGGACACGGAAACCACTCAAGGGCCGTTATTGGACGGGTTTGACGACGTTTACGAGGCATCAACCATGGGCTTCTGTCTAGGCATAAGCAAATCTCTAGTACTGGACTACGAAGATTGGCTTCGAATTTGAGTGGCACCCATCTTTTTATGCATTACTGTCACCGTCGCTCGGCGCGCTTCAATGGATTCTCGAAAGCCTAGCTGCTGTCTCGATTTCGTCACGACAAAAGGTTCGAGTTGGCTTTGGGGCGCTCTTGATGAACAAGACCGACACGGAAGCAGGGGTGAACTATCGGTCAAGATCGCATAATCTATTATTGTAGGAGTATACATTCTAACCCGATGAACTAGTAACCGTTCTACGTCCATGGAGACGGATACCGAGCCGCAAGACGTCGATATGCATGATTCGCCCGCTGCTCGTACTACCTCGTCTTCGGTCAGATCGGTATCTCCTCCTGCTCGCCCGGGGAACGGCCAGATTAAGGTTGAGTCGGATTCGGATTTTCGGACATCTGGCATGCCAACCAGCGCTGCCCCTCTCCCGCTGTTAGCCCGGTACCGGGTCTTCCCTCTCGAAACCCAGGAGCAACTACGAGGTATTCGAATGTGCCGATCAATTTCGTATACCGTAGGTGTGGAATAATACCAAGTCGCGGGTGCCCTATGTCATGACCGGGGTCGGCAAATGGTGGTACTGCCCCCCAGACAGTGGGGGCCTTAAACTCAATAAGGCGGGGAACCATGGGGCATATTGCCCGTATAATGGAGACCGAACTTGGGGGACAGTTGCTTGGAGAAAAGAGGTGCACTCAGTGCAAGCTGAAAGGCTTTGAATGCTGGTCGTACTCCAAAGAGGCCCTAGGGCAGGTGAATCAACGTGGAGTGGCCTGCGCTCGTAGTTGTCACAGGCCCCCCCGTAAGTGCAGCCTCTCGCCTCATACTGGACGGAAAAAGAGAAGCGAACGGACACGGACCGAGGCATTGGCAGTTGTTGATCTGGGCAGTGGAAGTGTCGATGGGGTTTCTGACGAATGGGAAAACCCAGATGATGAGAGTGAGTGAGTCCAGTGAAGACTACTTATGCTAGGTAACAAAACCAGTGGGGTATAGTTACTAGTAGTCCGGGGAGTTCATTCAGCCACTGAGATAATGGTAAGATCCTAGGGGGTTTAAATAAGATGGCGAAATGTTGAAATCATCAGGTGCTAGTTCCTCCTATTCATTTTGGCTATCCAGGTCAACAACTGGAAAGAACTACGGGAGCTGTGGAAGGCCTAGCTAGCTGCAGCTCTTGCCGTCAGCCGAGTCAAGGTTTTTCGTACAAGCTGCTCAGTTAGATCTTCGACTTTCGGTCTCCACCGTTCATCGACACTCTCCTCTCGGTATCCACTATTCGCTGGTATTCTACTCTCAGTATCCATTACTCGTTCATACTTTACTATCGGCATTCGCGTCGACTTGATAAACGCCCTCTCCACGCTGCCAGATCGCGATGCAAGCCTTTCATCAAAACATGGATAGCACGAACCAGATAGCTCATCATCTGCGCAACCAGATCATCGCAATCTGCGGACTCCCAGCCATGCAGAGACTCCACCTAGCCTGCAATGATACATTCATCGTGCAAAAGTGCGGCGATTCGCCCTTTATCAGGGAGGACGAGAGATGGACAACCGCGATCACCCACATAAAAAGACTCGATATACGAGTGACATACTTTAGCGATCAAAACCCGGATGAGCTTGCGAAGGCAATCGCCCTCTTCATCTCCAGTGCAAACGAGCTCGAAGCTCTCCATCTTGAATGGAGTCAAGGTCTTGGCAATAGAGGCAGCCATGATCTCCTGCAGAATCTGAAGCGAAGAACGTTCCCACGCCTGCAAGAAGTCTCATTCGCAAAATCGTTTACTACGCACTGGAGTCTCTGCGGCTTTTTCATACGAAATACGTCGATTCGCAGCATCTCCTTGTGTGACATGGAAATGCGGCCATCGGAGGAGTGTGAAAATTGGCATTGGACTGTTCGGTCAATTCCACATATCCTAAATTTGTTGGAGAAGGTATCCCTTCGGAACCTATGGGAGCTCCGCATAGAAAACCGAGAAGGTGTGAACTGCTGGATATGGGTCCGGTCTGAAATGGAAGTTGACGAAGCTTGGATTCTTGCATCCTGTCGAAATTTAAGACAGAAGCTTCAAACGCCGGACTATTCGGAATGGCTCCAAAGGTAGGAGAACCCCGATTTCGCGTAGTAGTAGCCGGCGAACTGACATGACATAGTCATAGGGATGCTACTCACGCTGCCTCGAACCTTACTACTCCGACTACTCATCCAGCAGACTCTTGGGTGCTTGTAAGCCTCTTCTTATCCTAGGCTAGCAAAGGAGCACAGACTGACCCTTCATAAATTGCTTCTAGAACGGGTTTCTACCACGATAAGGCGGCAGTGGAACTATGTTGCCCGGCTAATGGAGACATTGCTAGAGGAGCACTTGTTTAGGACGGACAGATGTAAACTTTGTGTATGCGATAATTGAGAATGCTGGGCATACTCTAGCAGGGGCTAGAGGAAGTACATCTGGCGGGAGACGTGTGCTCGCTGTCGGGTCGCATAATTCAAGTGTAGCCTTGCAAAGATGCTTACCCACGCCTTCAAGTCTTGACCAGTGTCTAGACCGTCAAATGTCCCTTTGAAGAAATGTGACAAAGGGCAACATGGATGCAGACAAGCGACACCGTAAACAGGAGGCACAATCAACGCAATCCATATTGACAAGCTTGCTCGTGTGTACACCTATTCACTACTGCTTGAGATGCTTCAAGAGACTCACGAAAAACCAGATAAGATTTAACTGTCTTGATACTGGCGGTACCGGTAGCTTACAGACTGGTTAAATTAATACACTTTTGCCTCAAGTAACCTTTTCGAAAATGTGTTGAAGCACCCCTGGCAGTGGCAAGAAGGCCTGGTGCTATAATGTGGACGGATGCGAAGGCGAAAGGAGTGGGTGGTGAAGGAACGGGCAGTCGGGCCGATCGGAGTTAATTTATACAGGGCATTCATTTATTATGCATAACACCATCGTGACCATCTCCAGCTTCTTGGAGCAAACAACCACCCAACCTCACCACCATATACCATGGCGCTTCCAGATCCACCTTCTGTATCCTCTCATCCGCCAGACTTATCCGCAAAGCTTCCGCGTCTTGTACCTCGCTCGAAGCCAAAGTCACAGCCTGAACAGACAAGCCCGCCTCCAACAGCCCCGCCGCTCCCTCCACCACCTTCGCTCGAGAACTGGCAGTACATCCGCCCTAGCAGGCGCATACTGTCTCCTCAAGATCATGAAATCTTCCTAGCCTCGCCGACATACACACTACTCCTCTCCTTCGTATTCTCCCTCGCCGACTGCGTGCGCGACACACCCGTCTCCGCCGTCGACCAAACGAATCTCCCCTCCTCTATCACCAGCATCCTCCACATTCTCGACCTTGCCGAAGGCGTACTACAAAAATGCCCACCAGAAGATGCAGGTGGCTCGCGCTTCGGCAACCCAGCCTTCCGCGTCTTCCTGGATGAAATCGAGGCCGCACAACCGCTCTGGCACGAGAGTTTAGGCCTCAGTGACGAAGCAGCTATCAATGAGGTTTCCGTCTACCTCTCCAACAGCTTCGGCAACCGCACCCGTATCGACTATGGTTCTGGACACGAGCTCAATTTCTTCCTCTGGCTGCTATGCCTGAATCGCCTTGGCCATTTGCCTCCCGCCACCTTCCCCGCCGTCGTCCTCGTCGTCTTCCCACGCTACCTCCGGCTTATGCGCGCGGTGCAGTCTACATACTACCTTGAACCCGCTGGCTCGCATGGCGTCTGGGGCCTCGACGACTATCAGTTCCTGCCGTTCCTCTTCGGTTCCTCGCAGCTACTCCACCATCCCTACATCCGACCCAAATCGATTCACCAAGCTATAATACTCGAGGAGCATAGCAAGGACTACATATACTTAGACCAAGTTGCGTTTGTCAACAGCGTCAAGACGGTTGAGGGGCTGAGATGGCATTCGCCCATGTTGGATGACATCTCGGCAGCGAAGAACTGGGGGAAAGTGGAGGGAGGCATGCGGAAGATGCTGATCGCAGAGGTGTTGAAGAAGTTGCCTGTCATGCAGCATTTCCTCTTTGGCTCGCTGGTGCCAGCAGTGGAGGGCATGAGCACCGAAGAAGATTATGGTGTGGCATCTGAAGAGGACGAAGCTGAAGGCGGGGAGGTGGTGGTGGTGAAGGATGGGATGCGCCATGTGCACAGTCCAAGCTCTTGGGGAGACTGCTGTGGGATCAAGGTCCCAAGCAGTGTGGGATCTGCTCAGGAGATGAGGAAGAGGTTAGGCGTTGGTGGATTGCGGAGGGTGCCCTTCGATTAGGTATGATACTTGAGAATGAATCATAAACTGATATGTTCAAATACTTCGCCATGTATTCGTGTAATACTTATCTGCCACTGTCCGAAGTGCCTCGAGACGCTTTCACGACCTCGACCCTGATAAGAGGTTCTCGTTGAACAAGCGGTAAGCCTGTCTAACGTCCTCACACGGCGCCGTGTAGGTGGTCGCAGACCGGAAGTATGAGCTCCCGCTTCAGATTAATGCGTATCGTGAAAGCACCACAGAGCCAGTAGAGTATAAATTAGGTGGGTTACGAAGGTGCACAGCAACAAAGGCACATCTCACGGCCAAAACTTCATAAGAAATATCGGAAATTATAATCTGATCCAAATTGTTTAGGTATATAATAATACACACAGGCCGTACAATCGTGAAACAGCTTCATATAAACGAAGAGGCCGCAACTCGAATAACGCTGCTCTCAAATGCTATACATCTTTTTCAGACTTAGGTGTCATATAAATTACTTGCTCGACGTCGAAGCGTTCTTTGCATTTGACCCCGGCGTCTCCTTGACCATCGCCGTCGATCCTCGCGTCCAGCTGTTCCAAAGGTTTCCAATGACTCCCGGGCTGCCGATCTTATGGTCTGCCATACTGGCCCTGCGGGCAGCGGCTTCTTCGGTGTTTGGGTGCTTGAGGGCTTCTAGGTTTGCGAAGCGGGTGGTGACGGAGGACTGGGAAGTGTTAGTGGACACCAACGTGATGTTAGGGGGTAGGGGCGTGAACGTACCCGTCGACGGCCAGGTGGTGAGGATGTGGCCTCCATGGACCTTCTCGCCTCGGCGGGAGCAGCTGGTGTGTCGGGGGTGGCTGGGATCTCGGCGAAGATTTTGTGGCTTTGGGTGGAGTACTTTTGTTGGAAGGGGTTGTTAGGCATGTTGACTGATATTCTGGGGCTTTGGGGTTTGATTTTGGTAGATCTGAAGTTAAATTGAGAATGGAATGAGAATTTAGGGATTATGATAGCATATATAGAGGCTGACAAACGGAAGTATCCCGACATTATATCATAAGGGCACTCCAAAACCAATCACTAGGTTGATATGACGGATGGTCTACGAATCCTACCAATCAGAGACAAGTTCCCCGCATTTTGGGAGCTGGCTTGAACCCTCGCGTTTGTAAAGAAAGACTCTGTATGGAAAGGTGAGGGGAAGTCATGACATAGCACCCAGACAAAGCCAATGAGAGAATCGTGATTATGTATTCGAGATAGTGGGGTGATACTGTAAGCGGAGGGGCTTTGGGGTAGATCTCGCCGATCGTGGACAGCTACATATGTCAGGGTCATCGCCGGATGCTGGCCTCTACCGGAGTATCGAGATGGGCTGATACATGAATTTGGAGAAGTAGATACGTCTTATCTCTCTTGAATCATGAAAGCGTGTAATTCGTGATCTAATCGACAATGCTTCTTGATAGGCATTATTCGAACCAGGATGACGTAGTTGATGTGTAGGACATGAGAAGGATTGTATTGCGAGTCGATATTCTTAGGAGAATTTCCAGGTGGTATACGTAACTTCTGATGGGCCTGAGGCTGAGCACTGATATGAACGTTAATAATCATGCCGTCCAACACAGTAGAGAATGAAGATGATTCTCAATAAAGAATACAGAAGTTTGTGAAACGGAAACTCTTTTCAATAATGGAAATCCGATTTCGAAACACCAGGAGTAAGAGAACAGCCCGTATCCCTTCACGTGCTCGACACCACGATACCGAAGGATGGTGAAGTGATCTATTGTCACGTGCTCCTTAGCGCGCCAAGGGTTCACCGGGCTATTAGGCCTTCGAAATTGCCAGGATGCTAGTACGATTGTAACATCATTTCCAAATCATTCAGACTATACAACATGATCTAGAGATGAATCTGTCGTTAATGTCTTGAGCCCTCGGCTTTCTAAGGACCACTTACCTCTAAGTTATAGAATTCCCTCGAAAATGTTTGCTCTGTTTGGACCGCTTAGTCATTCAAGATTCTTCGACCTTGAAAAAATTGCGAAACTCTTTCCACCTCCCACTTCCACCTCCCACAACCACCTCATCACGCATATTTTTCCGGGGATCCATGAACGATCCGATGGCCAGACACGATCACGATCACGATTGACGATTGATGACCGCCTGCTGCTGCGATGATCCGGGATGCCTCACAAGAGGCAAGAAGGGAACGTGATTCGGGGCGTGCGGCTCTACGTTGGGCATCAACAGCACCCGGTCGAAAACCTTTGGGTGCCAGCAGCAAACAGGGATCGCCGCCTACGCAACTGGTACTCCGTACCATGTAACACTCGTCTCTCCTTTGCAGCCGCCGACTTCTACAACTTTTAGCTACCGCGATGGTTCCTGGAATATCACTTCGCGGATCTCGGGACCTCGAGGTGTTCGGTAAACTCAATTCCGACGATCTCAGGAGTGCTTTCCGAGTAGAGATGCAGCTCTCAGAAACTCACCACCACTTGTTACCTGGGATAGTCTGGCCTGCCTTTTTGCTGTCGTGATTGCCTCGTCACTAAGCGTCAGAGCAACCCTCGATATTGATCCATTTCAGCGTTTTGAACTCGACATCTCCGGGTTATTGTCCTGTCGCCAGAGATCACCAAATAGTATGCGTTGACGATGGCAGGAACTTGGAAGCTTCCTTATGCGACCTGGTCGTTAAGGTGAGCCCTTCTTTTCTCTGCACTCTCCGCGCCTCCTTCTATGATGATTCAAATTTCAAAGCATAGTTCAACCGATGGTCTAAGGACTACTGCGGAAACAAACTTTCGAATGTCTTTCGCTCCTATCTGATTCAACTTTTGTGTCCGTTTACCTTCTTCGACATAGTGAAGATATGGTTGCTAATCAGCATGTACTCACAGGTGCAATCCATTGGCTGCCAACTTTTTCGACGAAAGATTCTCGCGTTGTGTAACACTGTTGAGTCGTGGCTCCTATCCCGTGGTAACAGGTCAACCTTTTTTGATCAGAGGCGCCTACGCGTTACAGCCGCCTATGTCATCTTGTACAGCCTTCCTGATCATACTGTGCTTGCTCCGAAGCTGCCATGAAACCAGAAACATGCGTCGACCCTGGCCACCATGGGACGCCGGGTCGAATACGCAGCCTTCCAGTTGTGCGATGACACGCACAATTGCACTGTGTATGATTACCATCGAACTCAACGCGGGTGACGTGCGACCGACGAACGCGGATGAATGGAAAGACTGTCAACCAAATACTGCAAGCTTCAATAAACTCCTCACATGCCTGAATTCTGCGCCATGTATCCTGAATGAGATGAACTTGGATTGGGGTGCTCCAGCTGCGCACCCGTCCGCCGGCACTTCGCAGGACAGCAGGGGCTGCGCGGACAGCGCGAAATTGGCGCAGCCGGGTGTCCCAGGCGGCCAGGGAGCACCCGTAGGCGGCTTTTTCGAGCCGGAGGTCCCTCACCTCGTGGAGTGTGATCGACGGGGATCCGTCCTGCAACAGCCGCAGTGCAACACCAGCTGCCAGGCTCGTCCGGCGGACTGAGGCATGCATGGCGCCGAAGACTGTCGTATCGGCACTCTTGGCAGGGATGTTCAGAGCGCGAGTCAAGCGCTGAGCCGATGTGATTCGAAGGCGGCACGGCTCGCGCACTCCCATCACACTCGAAACCACCACTTAAAAACATGGCTGTCCCCGTCCAACCGGTCTGCCTTGCTCACCGCTGCTGATGCCATGGCCCCACCTGCATTGAACAACTCATCACTGCCACCCGCTAGCCTTGGCTGATTCTTCCACTTTTCCTCTCCCTCGCTCGCCCGCCCTCGCTCTCTTCTCCTCCACCTCGCACCATCGCCATCTCGTATCACACACGCTCGACGATAAACGTAGCACTACACATCAGACACATCAGACACGGTTTTCGCTGTGCGCATCTATCACCAACACTTCAGAATTTTGAGCCGTTAGCAAAGAGCAAGCCAGCTCAGGATGAAAAATCGCAGCCGCGACGAAGGAGCCCATGATAGCAGGTACTGCCCGACGGTCCATTTTCCACCGCTTTCTTACTGTCAATCTTGAAACCTTGCAATCTGCTATGTAGTTCGTCAAGCATGTATTCTCTTGTTCTCTTCTCTCTCTCTTTGTTGCCGCCATTTAGCTGCCGAGGCCACACATGGACTGGACTGCCGGACTTTCCCGCAATGGAGTAATTTTCAGCCGACCTTGAGGATTCAACCAGGACAGCGCTTGATTTTTCGTTTCTGTTTTACTATCCATGTGGACTTTCAATTCCGGACTTTCGAGCGCAAATTTCCAGAGCGCCCTGAGAGCTAATCCAGCTACCAACGATGATCACCGCATTCTCTGCTAGAATGTCGCAATGCGACCGAGGGTATTCGCCTGGTTTACGCGTACTCTTCAAGAGCGACCGTTTGCTACTATGAAAGCGATACGCCTTTTCAGGAATCGGACGTCTTCGTCGATTGCCACGCTGGGTCCTCTCGCCCAAGTAGGCTTCCAGAAACTCACAGTTGCACTAAAATGTGCCCCAAATACAACAATTTCACCAATGCCAGGATGTAGACTGGATCAACAAGCTGTAGCTATCTTTCTCACGCAATGGAATTGGTCGCCGTGTCAAGTGTTCTCCCAGGATGTTCTGTTGCCATGGATTTCTTTTTACCGTTTATTCGAATGGAGCCCTCTGCGTACTTGCCACTAGAGTCAGGACCTGGATGTTATTTCGTTCGAACCGCCCGGAATGCATGCCGCCCGCAATCTCCTGCCGATTGCTTGGTGTGAAATGGAATTTGGATGGACGATAATCGCTCCTAGTACGTACCCCAGGGCTTATGCATGCCTTCTCTCTAGTGAGAACTTGCGGGTGCGTGTACTGACTTATCGTATTCGTCTTGAAGTGTGCAGAAATTCGTAAGCTTTGTTTCCAGGATTTTGCTCGCTGGTAGCCGGTCTAGTGGATCCCATTCTGGATTTTCTTTTGCTCTATGGTGCCTACAACTCTTAGGATTCCGGACGAGTCTGTGGAGCTCCGCCACATGGATCTAAGATGCTTCGACCCCTGTTTCGTCACAAACCGGCGTTATGCCAAGAGACCAGTGTCCATAAAAGGCCTCTAAATTACCTCTTTTGGCTCCTCCCCTGGTTAGTGCTCATCAGCCACATTTGCTTTTTGCGAATCTAACATTACAAAACAGGGCTCGACACCGACCTAGGCTTGATGGCTGATACTAACAATGGCGTTTTTTTTTTCTGCTTTAACCTTCACGCATCATGTCATTTTTCCAGTTTTCATATCATTCGGCACGCCCTCAACATGCTTCAGGCACTAACCACCAATCTTCAGCGAGCTTCCTTTCGACGAATCCCCTGCTGGCACTTTTCATTTCTCAAATCCCTTAGACGTTGCCTTGTGGAGCCAGTCCGTTTCAGGAGCGCCCGTGACTGGAAAGGACATTTTTTTCTTTACTCCAGAGTGCCCAGACATGGCCGGACATATTTCAGAGACATTTACGCTAAAGGATGATGATGTTTCCGTTTCCAGTATGGGCGACAGTGCATATCAAAGCCAGCCAGACGCCAACCGGCGAGTGACGACAGTCACTGAAGGATTCCGATCCAGGAGCTCACAGGATTCCAAAGGCCATATGTTTGATCCCTACCTTGGGGGCAGCTTGTACTCACCTGCTTTGAGTTCAGATAGCCAAAGTGGATTCAATGCGCCCCAGTCCGATATGAGCCAAATGTTGCTACCACCGTCCGCCGGAGACTCGGACATGGGAAACGAAGTATTCAATTTCGCTAACTACTCCACCGGGCAGGGCTACGGTCCACACCAGAATTCCTCAGTCCCCCAATACTTCTCCTCGGCGAATGAGATGGATGCTGGCCACCAATGGGCGACGGCTGATCTTCCCTCCTTCACGACACCCTTCGCGGTAAGGAACGTGGATGCGAATGCACTTCTCCCTTTCCGCCAACAGCAGCAATCGAGCCGAGACAGCATGTCCCAGCACTTCTATCCACCGTTCATGTACGCAAACCAGGAAGGCACTAGCAATGCCTTTGGTATGTCCATGAATGCTCCACATTCCCGGCCTCGTGTGCGAAGGCCACAAGTTGACACCACGTCAACGTCTGATGCCGATGCGGTGCGAAGTTCGACCCCCCTTTCAGCGGGTAGGCGAGTGTCGATCACCGATCAGATGTTCCAAAGTTTCGTCATGTCGCCAACATCGAGCGTTTTGAGCATGCCGCAACGAGCAAGCATTGCCGAGAGCGATTTCACTGAGCAGTCATCCTTCAACAAGTATGTTTCATCCCGAGTTTCCAGTACTTGGCTCTAATACAAGCTGTAGAACTGAAAATAATGTATCCTTTGATGATTCTGTTACTGCTCCTTCAGTCAAAGATGACGACTTCGACGACGACATCTTCTCGCCTTCCCAGAGCTCGGCCGCTCAAGCTTCTCTTGAGGAGGCCGAAGGCAAATTGGCTCGCACCCATCCGCTCTACCAGGCGCAACCGAAGGAGGACGAGCTTTACCATTGTCCCAACGAAGGACAAGCTGGATGTACCCACAAGCCCACAAAGCTCAAGTGCAACTACGAGTAGGCTTTCCCGCATTTAGATTCTCGATTTGTTACTGACTGTATTCAAGCAAATACGTTGATTCGCACTTGAGGCCCTTCCGGTGCAAGGTCAAGACTTGCGTTGGCGTTCGATTCTCCTCGACGGCTTGCCTTCTTCGTCACGAGAGGGAGGCTCACGGTATGCATGGACATGGTTCCAAGCCCCACCTCTGCACATACCAAGATTGCGAGCGATCTGTGCCTGGCCATGGCTTCCCCAGACGCTACAATCTCTTCGACCATATGAAGCGGGTGCACGACTACACCGGGTCGACGTCCCCATCTGAGAATGTCTCTCCGCCTGTGCAGTCGGCTCATGCACCCCTGAAGCGCAAAAGCAGCAGCCGCAAGCGCAAAACTCTAACTCAAGTGGATGAGATGACGGAGAAGCGTCAGAAGACAGCCAACAGGATCTCATCGGCCGCCGCCGCTGCTGCCTCTGAGCAGAACCGCCTCAACCAAGAGCGGAAGAACCTCATGAATGAATGGACCAAGAGGAGAGCGACAGTCGTTCTCGATCTCCAGGGCCTGCAAGGCCCAAAGGACATGAACAGCCACTTCCAGGTCAGCGAGGATCTTGCTGCGCTTAGCAAGATCGCCTCTCGACTCAACGAGCTCGGTTGAAGCGCAAGATGCTCGCGATCAGTAGGTATCACACACTCGACACAACCAACTTGCCATGGATTGCCGGCATACCTTGGACTCTACCTCTGCCCCGGATTGCATGATTTCTGTCATGTCTTTTCTTCATACTTCAGCTGCCCGGATGAATGCCACTGAGCCCATGCCAAAGGATCTGCTACCGTGTTTCAATCCCGGATGCCCGCCCAGGACGGAGTCTCCTGAGGATGATTTCGCTGTAGATTAGGAAGTTGGCACAGCAGCCGTGCCATGGAGTAGAGCTCTTGCTGCACTAGACGTGCGTAGCGGTAGGATAGGCAGAGGAGGCATTTTGCGTTCGACGTTACATTTGTTATATAGACTGTTTGATTTGTGTAGTTTGTGCGATGGTAATTACCATGGAAAAATCGAACATTTGCGTTTATACTTTCGAGCACTGACTGCATCACGAACATGACATGAAATTGAGAACGCATCTGAGCGGGACAACCTTAACTTTAGGATTGTACGTTGCTCGAGCCGTGTACTGACAACCGTTGCTTCGAAATACTCAAACCGTGCTCGAATCTAGAATATCGTTCTTACCAAGAATCCCAGTCAGATGTTTCTCTCCTCATCCATCTCCTAGCCTCGGGCGAGAGGCGAGAACATTCTACAAATCTCCCAACACTAGGAGGTATGCCCCATCTCAATCTCATCGGCAAACTCGGTGGTCCTCGGAGTCGCCAACCTGACAAATTTCAGGCGTCGGATGGAAGCCTCGAACCACAGCGTATACATAGGGCCTAGCGTCCGATAATGCGATCCCAGCTAGTGTACGTCATTTGGCCCAAACGCCACCGCTCGCCGAGGTCCCAGAGCGACGGAAGCGTGTGTATCCGCTGCTAAAACGTGCCAGACCAAACGTATCCTGCAATGCAAGTCGGTTAGAAAGTCTCCAGGCTCTTTTTATGCCATGTGGCGCGGGGCTTTATTTAAGAGCGGGAGGGGGGGCGGAGTTGCCGGAGCTGGAAGGATCTCACCGCTGAAGAACCACAACAAACCTTACTTATTCCTTCCAACGTCTTCCATACCACATCGACAGTTTCACCCTTCACAGAACCGAAGAATACAGCAGACTGTGAGAATGGCGTCTGCCACTGCGTTCTACGACTTCAAGCCCAAGGATAGTAAGCGTGCCCATGAGATGAGCCGGTGGGGTGAGGGGCAAGAGCAAGACGCAGCCTCTTCTTGCTTCCCGCGCCATTCGCATATGCAGATACTGTACTAACACAGCGACTAGAAAAGGGCGCCGAGTACCCCCTCGATCAATACAAAGGCAAAGTCGTCCTGATCGTCAACACGGCCTCCAAATGCGGCTTCACGCCCCAATTCGAGGGTCTTGAGAAGCTCTACAAGGTATCCTACCCCCCTCCCCCCAATCCACATGCCCTCGCCCATCCAACCCACCCAGCCATGATACTAACTCCCTCTCCTCTTCTGTCTAGGAGCTCCACACCACCCACCCCGACTTCACGATCCTCGGCTTCCCGTGCAACCAGTTCGGGTCGCAGGACCCGGGCACCAACGACGAGATCGCCACCTTCTGCCAGGTCAACTACGGCGTGTCGTTCCCGGTGCTGGGCAAGACCGAGGTCAACGGCGATAAGGCGGAGCCGCTGTACGAGTGGCTGAAGAAGGAGAAGCCGGGCCTCCTGGGCATGAAGCGCATCAAGTGGAACTTTGAGAAGTTCTTGGTCGGCCGCGACGGCACCGTCAAGGCGCGCTGGGCCAGCACGACCAAGCCCGAGAGCTTGCGGCCCGAGATTGAGAAGGCGCTTGCGGAGAAGGTTTAGTCGGGTGGAGGGTGAGGGCGAGGGCGAGGGCGAGGGGATGGGGGGAGGGAGGGATGAATATGATACACCTGTTGAGCACGGCGAGCCAGCGAGCGGATACACTTTTCTCTATCGATGAATGATAGGTTCTGAATCTCTGCAGATATGCCCTCATCTTATGGCGAACTACTCGCGAGGAAAAGACCTAACTTTCACCCAGACTCAAAATGTCACCCCCATCCACCCCTTTTTACCACCTCTAACCCTCCCCCCTCCCTTCCCTTCTTCAAGGCTCCTCCGAAGTGCGCAAACGTTTGCCAACTTTGCACTTTTCCGTTTCTGATTCAGAGTCTCCAACATTTCGCCTCCTCTCAGCGCCCAAATCACACGCTCTTTCAGCATGCATTTTCCACAACACGCCAAATCAGACCAGAGACTTGAGGTAAATTACAGTGTTGCAAGATGTATGAAGTGGGGCCTGTCCGTGCGATTTGAACCTGATTTTGGCATGTTATTGGCGTTGACCGTAAATCAGAGCATGAGAGAAAGGTTGATTTCGATGGTGCGAGAAGTATGAACGGGAGCCAGTCCGTGCGATTTGAATGTGATTTGGACACATTATTGGCGTGGGCCTCAGATTAGGCCATGGATATTAGGTTGGTTTCGAAGTCGTGAGATGTATAAACGGGAGCCAGTCTGTGCGATTCCGAGTCGATTTGGGCATGTTATTGGCATGGACTGTAAATCAGGGCATAAGAAAGAGGTTGACTTCGATGCTGTGAAATGTATGAACGGGAGCCAGTCCGTGCGATTTGGAGTCGATTTTGGCATACTATTGGCATGGACTGCAAAATGGACTGCGGAAAATGGGTTGGAAGCTCCAAGAGCCTGAAGGCATTACTTTTGAAATACCCACGTCCATCATCCGTAATACAATATACGCATCGACGTACCTTGGAGCCTAATTCCACATCCCATCATACGCCTCATTCTCTATCATGCCCAATGCAGAACGCCAGACCTCTCAGCCCATCTATGTCTCAAACCTCAAACTTCGGCGTGTACTTCGTCTTCGCCGCCTCGAACGCTTCGCTTTTCGCCTTTAGATCCTCCAGAAACTGATGTTCCGGTGACACCCTCGCCAGCTTCCCTTTCAGCTCCTTAGTGTCCTGCCCCAGAATCGTATTCAGCACGATCAAGTTGGCTAACACGTCTGCGTTGTCACCGTCAATGGCTTCGGCTTGTTGGAGTGCGGCTTCGGCTTCTGGTAGGCGACCGAGATGGAGTTCAGAGACGGCTTGACCAAGGAGAGAGTGCACGGCTTGAGTCGCGGGAGCTTGGGCGAGCTCTTCGAAGACATAGAACGCCTGTTGGTATTTTTCGCCCCCCTATTTGCAGAACCCCGAATTAGCTTTCTCTGCGCTGGACCCGTATAAAAAAATTGAAAGAAAGTAAAACTCACCTCCCGTAACCCAACCCACGACTCCGCCAGATTGACCAGCAAACTATCCTGCGCCCACTTCCGCGCCCTCTGCGCCTCCTTCGCCGCAAGATCCGTCCGGTTCTGCAGCAGATGTATCTGCACGATCAGCGCAACCCTGCATACACCAAATTAGCCCAATCGCTCTCCCCCGGGTGAACACATGTCCACTCACGCATCCAAACTCCCCTGATGCCGCGCCAGCAGCGCCAACGCTTCCTCAAACTCCCCCGCCCGCGCCAGCACCGTCCCGCCCAGCAGCTGCACGCTCAGATTGTCCCCCTGCGCGCTCGCCAGCTTCCGCACGCGCTCCACCGCCTCGGCCTCCTTCCCGCCCTTCTCGTAAGCCGCTAGCGCCGCGACGGCGGCGAGGTCGGGCACGTTTTGCTCGCTCTTGACGGAGGAGAGCACGGCGTCGTATTCGCCGAGGGCGAGCTGCGCGCGCAGCTGCAGGATGCGCGCGGGCAGGGCGTTGGAGGCGGAGAAGGCGGACGTGTCGAAGGTGGTGCAGGCGGTGTATTGGCCGGCGTGGAAGGCGTTGTGGAGGTTGACGAGCTCTGTGGGTGGTGTTAGAAGGGGGAGCATATGGGGGGATAGAGGGGATGGAGGAGGGGAGATATGTACCTCCTTCGGCGGAGTATGGGTCCATGGTGGGTTGGTTGGCTGTGAGAGGTGTTGAGGGGAGGAAGGAGGTGGAATTGGGTGGATTGAGAGGGGTGTGGAGTATGGGAGCTGTCGTGGGGATTTGGTGCTGAGGCCACGATCGAAATCTTGGCGTGGAACAAGGGTTCTTATTAGTTGAACTATCATGCTTCACACCTGGGTAAGAATTGGTGATTTTTGATGAACAGATGGTTAACTACTGGTAGATGTTGCCGTCTAAAAGAGCCTTGCAAAGTTGCAAATGGTTCAAAATAGTCCGGCTCGGAGTTTTTTCAGTTCCCAAGACTATCCTCCAAGACAATATATCTTATTAGCAGATCAAAGAGACACTTCCAGTCGAAGCTCCATAGGCCACGCATTTGCCAACTTCTCCCAGGCCAAGATAAAATGGGGCATATTCCAACAAGTCCGCCGTTTCATTCTTGCATTGATCGTTATCGAAAAGAGCGTCCAACATAGCTATTAGAAACTGGCTTTTCGTAAAAGAGATTGAAATTTCTCACAAGTGCACTTTTTCTTCTAGGTAGGATATGTACACACTTTTAGGCTCAAGAAATTTACCCGTAATAGGTTCTTCTCTACAGAATAGCAGATTATTAGCAACTATCGGTCACTTTCCGAGGAGGCCCGAGGAGATTACTGACTGTTCACTATGATGCATCAAAGGGCGTGAAGCAGTAGCAGACAAGATATGGGCAGATCTGTGACTAAGAGTGTATAAGAGCTCTGAAAACCTTCCACCGCTTCAAGAACACGGAAGAGAGTATGTTCGAGAAGATAGCTGCAATGTCATGTTGAATGACTGGGCGCCGCTTTCAGACCTATACTCTCCTGACCGTCCATATAAGCACCCGCGTGTCATTCGGATGGTCCTCCATCTGACGCAAAAGTTTTCCCCCACGAGGAAATGGCTTTATGCCAACATCTACCTCCCAGTTTGATCCCGTCTCGTCGCCAGCGAGTTTCCACATCTTCTTAAAAGAGTCTGAGTTATGCCAGTACCTCGTCTTTTTGTCAATGATGGACAATCTATCTCCTGATTCGTCTGCGCCAAGATGTCGTCCGATGATTAGCGCCCCGGGCTCTTTCTTGAGAATTTCGACGATGCGTTTGGCGGCTTGGAATTGTTGCTTCCAGTCGAACAGATGGAAGAAGGACGAGGCATGGACGATGTCGATGCTGTTGTCCAGTTGCTTGATATCGGCTTCGGGATCGAAGATGTCGCTAGCGATAAACTTGGTCTTCAGCGTCTCTTTGTCTAGGAAAAGCTCATAGCCCAATTTCATGAAACGCATTTCGAGGTCTGCGCCGTAGAGATTCTCGGATGGAGCTCCATCGTAAACCTTGAAACTTTTGGTCAGCGTGTGTATCAGAAGCAGCTACATTCGATCTACCAGCTTGCGGATGTCCTGCCCAAAGCAACATCCTATGTCAAGAAACTTTTGACCGTCCTTGGTACGTTGAAGCACCTCAGAATACTGCGGGGAGTTGCGGATACTCAAATCGAGGAATCGGAAGAGGCCGATGCATGGATATGGAAACTAGTTCTACGTAAGTATGACAGTAGACTCTTAGGAATGCTTGGGAGTATCCTACGATATCAAAAGCTTTGTCCCTCTACGCACTTGTGAGCATTGATGTAACCGATCGAGTACTATTGAGGCCACGTACCACTTCCACAATATGCGGAATGACTTTCTCAGGGGCTATGCCACTGTACTTCTCGAGAAGCTCTCTGGAGGCGTCGTCGATGCTCTCCAGGTTTTCAACGTACCAGAGCGGCTTATGAGACTTGTCCTCACGCCACCTTTTGGGGTCCCATTTGGGGATGTCCTCAGATTCTGCCATGGCTAAGAGCTATTCACACGTGCCTTGATCTCGGGAGTGACTTGATCTCGGGAGTGACTTGATCTCGGGAGATGAAAGGCAAAGGATAGGAGTTGGCAAAAGACCGTGGATGGATTTAATGAAGGAGAAACTAGAAGGTTTTCCTCACGACCTTATATACTCCGATCAGCCCAACGCAACCCCTCACCTGCGCGCACGAGATACGAGAACAGCTCTACTAAATCAGGACTATCCCGACGATCTAACCGTACAACCCTCATGTTGCCAAGGCTACAACACCTCGCAACACCTCGCAACACCCTCAACATCAAATCGCTCCCTTCGACCCCTTGTCAAGCCGGCGCAGTCGGAGTCGGCATCGGTTCGCTGGAGACCGACGGCTTACTTGGGAAAGGCTTTCAATTGAGGGATGATGAGCTCGACTCGAGACCGAATAGATGAGCAATTAGAAGCAAGATAGACTGCGGATGCACGTATGCAATGGTGAAAGGAGAGGAGTTGTCGGAGCACCTGGAGGCAGATGTCAAGCCCTATAAGTATTTCCGCATTGATGCTAGCGCGGGACAGTGCCCAGGTGCATACCGTGGCCCAATGGCGGGGGAGCATGACGGAGGTGAAAAAGTTGCAGCTGCCCGACCGAAAAAGCCTCACAATTGCCTCCAAGCTGTCTTCCTTTTATTTGCTTCGGCGAACCCTCTTCTCTTCTCCTGCTCACTCTTTACTATACCCTCGAACTCACTTTCCACGCCTCAATTGCCTCTGCACACCCTCTAGACCATTCTATAACACCCCACGTAGCAAAATGGGCGAAATCGTTCACCCCACCATCCAAGGTACGAAATCTTCTTGATTGCGTGTTTTTTCAAACAATGTTTAGTCTCTCAATTACCTCCCACTTGGACTAACATATACACACTCAAGATGGCTGGTTCCGCGAGATCTCCGACATGTGGCCTGGGCAGGCCATGACCCTCAAGGTCAAGGAAGTCCTCCACCACGAGAAGAGCCAGTACCAGGACGTCCTCATCTTCGAATCCACCGACTACGGCACCGTCCTGGTGCTCGACAATGTCATCCAGTGCACAGAGAGAGACGAGTTTTCGTATGTGACAAACAGGCGGGCACGACGAAAAAGGACCGGCGACTGATAGCAAGGGACAGATACCAAGAGATGATCACCCACTTGGCCATGAACGCCCATCCCAACCCGGAGAAGGTGCTGGTCATTGGAGGCGGCGACGGTGGTGTGCTCCGCGAGGTTGTCAAGCACGAGTGCGTCAAGGAGGCCATCCTCTGCGACATCGACGAGGTACGAAGCCCGCATGCTTGAAGGCATTGCCCAGCTCTGACCCAGACCAGGCTGTCATCCGCCTCTCCAAGAAGTACCTCCCCGGCATGTCCGTCGGCTTCCAGCACCCCAAGGTGCAGACCATCGTCGGCGACGGCTTCAAGTTCCTCGCCGACCGCACCAACGAATTCGACGTCATCATCACCGACTCCAGCGACCCAGAGGGCCCGGCCGAGTCACTTTTCCAGAAGCCGTACTTTGAACTCCTCAATAACGCTCTTCGGGAGGGTGGTGTCATCACCACGCAAGGTTGTAAGCCCCCACCGCGCCCCTACCCTGTCTCTTCACGCATACCACCCAGCACCCGTAATGCGGTGATGGCTTCCGCACAAGCTAACTTATCACCCCTTCCCTAAAGCTGAGAACCAATGGCTGCACATGCCCTTGATCGCGAGCCTCAAGAAGTCCTGCAACGAGGTCTTCCCCGTCGTCGAGTACGCCTACACCACCATCCCGACCTACCCCTCCGGCCAGATTGGCTTCATGGTCTGCTGCAAGGACGCCACCCGCGACGTCAAGAAGCCACTGCGGGCGTGGTCCCAAGAAGAGGAGGAGAAGCTGTGCAAGTACTACAGCAAGGAGATCCACGAGGCTTCGTTCGTGCTTCCCACGTTCGCTCGCAAGGCTCTGCGGTAGGGATCACTATCTACAGGGCTGCCAAATGGCATTCCGAGCTTCATTTGCTTGGATACAGCTTCTCCCCTAGTGCTTGGAGCTGTGGCACGTACTCAGTTCTTCTGGCTATCTACTTTACGATTTATACCATATGGAGTTCTTTGGAAAAGACAAAAGTTTTTGATCTCATTTTACACTCTCATCTATGCATGCGCTGAATTGAAAACTCACACACTTCCTACAGAAGTCTCGCTCAGAGCTTTTTTCGCCAAGACCAAGTGGCCAGTTGAATCTACGTGCTGGAGACTAGGTTTTAGATACTGAGATCAGGAGTGCCTTCTATCCTTTACCCTACTTCAATTGGAGATAACATGGGAGCCCAGGCTGGATAGGCACGTCTTGCAGAACACTTGGCGTAGTTACATCCGCCCGACGTCTAACAGATTGAGTCTCGAGCGGTTCAAGCCGATGCTTTTACTTACATTATTGCAGAAGAGACGACGACTCTGTGTACACGCCTCGTCCGAATACTCAGCGTGATCACAATCACGCAGCGTCTAACACTTCAGAAATCGCGCGGTTGGATCCGATGCTTTTACTCACTTTAGTGCAGGACTAGCGGCCCTACAGTGTAAACGCCGCGTCCAACCACTCGGCGTCGTCACAACTACCCAGCGTCTTACAATCTTATGCTGATGCGGTTCGATTCGAGCCTTTTACTCGCATTTACAACACACACGCGCCCACAGCGTGCGGGGCGCTGGATTATCATGAACAGCAACTCCCGGTTTGAGATTCGAAAGTGAACCGTCCTGCTTTTTGTGCGAGCTGCTACATAGTATCCAGGTGCATCAATGGCATCATGCATACCCACCAATTCCTCTGAACTAATCACGCACTTGAACCCTCAGTGTCAAGACCCTAAACTCCTCGCCCGCCTTACGTCCCGCTGAGATTTTAGACTCCCTATCATCCTACCCACACCGCGACAACTCCCCTCACTCAAGCACTGCCTTGGATTCAGATTCGCCGCCCCGGACCCTCGACGCCTACACTACAGCTTCTCCCTGCTCTTCGCGATTCATTCCCTCATGTTGACCACGCACCTGATGCAGTCGCCAGCCTTCATGTCGCCAAAGGCTTGGTTGATCTTCTCTAGGGGCTGGCGATGGGTGATGAACTCATCAACCTTGAGCTTGCCGTCCATGTAATCCGCGACGAGGCCGGGGAGTTGCGTGCGGCCCTTGACGCCGCCGAAAGCGCAGCCTTTCCAGACGCGGCCAGTGACGAGTTGGAAGGCTATACAGGGTCAGTACCAGTTATTATCAAACCCGAAAATGGCAGGCAACTTACGCCTCGTGCTAATCTCCTGTCCCGCTGCCGCAACCCCGATAATGATGCTCTCGCCCCACCCCTTATGGCACGCCTCGAGCGCACTCCGCATCACATGCACATTGCCCGTGCAATCGAACGTGTAATCGCACCCGCCGTCCGTCATCTCGATCAGCTTCTCCTGGATGCTCTGGCCGCTCAGCTTGGTGGGGTTGACAAAGTCGGTGGCGCCGAACTTCTTGCTCCATGCCTCCTTGCTGTCGTTGACGTCGACGACGATGATCTTGCCGGCCTGCTGCTTGACGGCGCCCTGGATGACACTGAGCCCGACGCAGCCGGCGCCGAAGACGGCGACGTTGGCGCCCTTCTCGATGCCACCCTTGCCCGCTGTGATGACGGCGGCGCCGTAGCCCGTCGTGATGCCGCAGCCGAGCAGGCAGGTGCGGTCCATGGGCGCCTTGTCCGTGATGGCGACGACGGAGATGTCGGCGACGACGGTGTACTGCGAGAAGGTCGAGGTGCCCATGAAGTGGAGCAGGTCTTTGCCCTTGCACTTGAAGCGCGAGGTCCCGTCGGGCATGACGCCTTTGCCCTGGGTAGCGCGGATCTTGCCGCACAGGTTGGTCTTGCCCGAGACGCAGAACTTGCATTCGCCGCATTCGGGTGTGCTTTGGGGAATGTTAGCTTGATGGAAGATATACTCTGGTAACCGAATGGGTCTTGATATGAGGCTCTCAGGGAGAGGTGGCGTGCGAGACTTGTAAAGAGAGATTGGACGTACTATAGCGCCACGACGTTGTCTCCAGGCTTCACGGATGTGACACCCTCGCCCACGCTCTCTACTATTCCGGCTCCCTCATGGCCAAGCACGATTGGGAAAGCTCCCTCGGGGTCCTTGCCGGACAATGTGTACGCATCTGTCCGTTGGTTTAGCCGCTGTTGCTATCACGCTTCCGTCTCTTTCTGGGTCCCAATGGGGAAACAGCAAGTGTAGTCTAACCTGTATGGCACACGCCGGTGTAGTAGATCTGGATGCGGACCTCGTGGGCCTTTGGCGGCGCAACCTCGATGTCTTCGATGACGAGGTCCTTGCCGGCTTCCCATGCTACGGCCGCCTGGGCATGTCAAAAAAACGTCGGAGGGAGGAGATGAGGAGCGTGATGTGCGCACCTTGCACGTGATAGTCTGAGGAGAACATTGTATTAGCAGCTGTACATGACGTAGGAAGTTTTCGGGGGTGAGGATGAGGGGTATATCTACCTTTCCAACGGTGTCTGCGGGCATTGTGAAGTACTTGATAGAGTCTCAGATGGAAGGAAAGGTCTAGGGTAGATTCGAAGCTACAACGCACAGTTGACGCAGAAGCGGGCGACGCAGTGCTGCGTCGAGGTCTATATAGGGCGGGCGACGAGAGGGGCAATGTGGGGTTGGCGTCGATGATGTCGGGCTTGCTTCGCAGCAACTCTGCCCCTCACCGTCCAGCGGCCGCCCTCCCTCCAAGCATTCGCCGAACAAATTGCGGCTCCATGTGCGGCACCGAAACATGGCCGGCTGAAGCCCCAAGCTGAGTGTTTCTGACGAATGCATAGCGGGGTTGTGGGAGCTGCCCCTCGGGATGTTTTGCCGAAATCGGATTCCCTTCGCCGGGAGTGAACTGAGGTCTGTTTTGTCTGCATCGGGAAAGTTTTGGGCCTGTGGGGAGGGGAACACTCCTCGCCCGCCGTGCGCATGTCTAGAGAAGACCTGGAGATAGAAGTATATTGGCTAGCATACCCGCCGCGCAACGCCTGTCATGCATCGAACTGTACTCGTACAAGTCTGCTCCAATGCCAATGGGTACCCACGTCCCTCTTGACCCCGAGATGCCCCCTATAACAAGTGTCCACACGCGTAAATCCGAGAATGATCCCCCGAGACATCTCTCTCACGCTTTGGCAACGCCGTTCTCCGCTGGCGTTGTAGCGTCCGTCTGCTCTCCTACCTCTAGCCTCTCCTCTTCAATGCTCTTCTCATTTATCCGCCTTGCTATGCTCGCACTCCTCCTTCCATTCTTCTCCTCTAACTTCCCATCCTTGGGCCTCCCCCAGCTCCCACTGCGCCGCCCGACCCCCTTGATACCGTGGCTCCAACGCTTCCGCATCGGCGGCTTCGTGTCGTCAAGCCCCAGCAGCTTTCGCAGCTCCGGCACCTCAGCGTGGTCCCGCGTGTTGCGCATCCGGTGACACCAGACCACCTCGTCGTTCTCGAACAAGAACTCGCCGCCCACCTGTTTGTAGTCGCCGCCGTTCATGACCTGCCTCCCGCTCTTCAGCCCTTGCATGATGCTTTGCACCGTCGTAGCGAAGAGGCCCGCGGTAGTGTATTGCGGCTTCTTGCCCAGATCCAGCGTGCGTGTCATGCCGAGGGTGTCGTAGAGCTTGCGCGTGGGGTCGGCGTATATCGGGAACGGACAGCTGGTGGTTTCCGTGTACATTTCGATCAGGTCTGGGCGGCCGCAGCCGATGACGGTGATGAAGGTAGGTGTGTCGAGGGAGAGTAGCGACTCGGGCGTTATGGATGAGGAGAGAGTTCGGAGGTATTCCTGGCATTGCTGTCGAGCGCTTGTTAGCTACTGTACCAGAACTTGACAATGTCAAACCACGAATAATTCCTCGGCACTGCTGAAGACCTCGATGTAGCTCTAAAGCTGAAAGAAAGGTCCCAGAGAAGTCGTGAAGGCCCCCACCGTTCCTACCCCCATTCCGTGACAACTTGTTCCTAATGCTCCAAAATGTAAGTATGAAATTGTGAAGACCTACACCGCAGAAGAAATGTCGCACGAATATGATTAGTTGCCGCGGCGCAACCCCTTCACCAGCGTACAGGCTCTTGAACGGCCGCGACGCCCCTTGCGCGTCGAGAACGAGCATATCCGCGCATTTCTCTAGGTCTGCCTGCGTCGGCTTGTCATTAGTGACGTTAACATTGCCAGTGAAGTCTGCTTCTGGCTCCACTGGAGGAGCGTTCGCTGCGGCGGTTGGAGCTGACGCTGGGGTGTCGCTGGGAGCCACAGGTGTGCTTGAGGGTTGCGCAGAGCCATTTGCACCCGCTGGTGTGTCTGTCGATGTAGCGGTCGAAACCTGAGGGGCTATAAGAACCTCTGGAGGAGCTGTCGGGGTGGATGAAGTCTCGAGGACTTCAGGAGCGGCAGCAGAGGGTGTAGCGGAGGGTTCCACTGGCGGCTGAAGTTGAGATGCCATGGCAAATGGCGAAGGAAGTGTGCACCGATGAAGCCTGAGAGACGTCTATGTATGAAGTGAGCGTCTTTGGTTTCTGACAGGATCGAAACTCCGGGTCTGTGGTCCAGAATGGATACGACTTAGTAGCTAACTACGCGGTTAGTTGAACACAGCTGAGACCGTGATGTGTGGATCAGGATCCTCTTCATCCTCTTGCGTAGGTGGCGCCTACGGCGCACGCTGGGCATCGTGGTATGGCATCTATGGCTTCAGCACGGCAGGTCGTAATGCCTCAGTGCAGTTTCAAAGCCGCTTCCAGGCACCGTGATGAGAGGCCCTGCGTGTTGTGTTCCGCAATACAGGGGGCGCCGCATCAGGATTAGCCCCTCTGGTTTCACCCACCGGCCCTGAGCATCAAATTGAGACTACACACGGCCATCATACAGTTCCTTTCTGACCTTCATTAGATATCTAGTGTCGACGGCTGTTACAGCCGCTCAGGTAGCGTATTCGTGTCACTTCCGACATCTCCAATAGGCGTCAGTACGCCGTGGGTAGTGTCTTTCATGATTATGTGTTAGAGTCCTAATTCGATATTACTCGAAGGAATTCAAGGGGAAGAACCTTTTCTGATGCAGTCTGCGACCTCGTCCTTCAAGAAGCCGTCCTCGGTCCCTGACTAGAAGCCGTCGTAACCATCTCAACCCTAGAGCCATTCACGCTCTTAGATCCTCAGCTTCTCCATTCCATCCTCAGCTACTCAACTTCGAGCTCAGCTTGGGTTCGGTCACTCCGCCGTTGAGCGCTGTAGCTTCCATGTCCAGTCGAACCGCCATATCACGAATTTCCACCCATTCCTTGCCGTCAGTCCCACAGCAAATCTCTACTACTTCAGAACCTTTGGAGATAGCTGCCGCTGCGTGCTTCAAGTCGTTCCTGGCTTCGCACATGAGTCCAATATCGCGGTATCTGATGCCACTGGTCAGCGCTGCTTTCTAGTCTAGGCGGGGGGTTTTAAAAAGTATAGGAATCAAGGAAAAATTGGACTAGCTGGTTTGAGAGCTCTGAGATTGACCCCTTGAAAAAGGTATGTCGTGCGCTTGGGAGGGCTTAAAGTGCTTGGGTGGGATATGAGCTATTGTAGCTCCATTGCTGTACTCACATCTTTGCCAGCGCGTGGTTGTAGAACCCCTCAACTAGGTGCAACTTCGCCATCTCAAGCATGTCCGCCACCATCCTGGAGTTCGACAGCATTATCTCCGGGCTAAACCGGAACGCAGATGTCATCTCCTCAAGCTCATTCAGCCGGTACCTATTGTCTGCGCTCTTAGAGGCGAAAGAGTCTGGAATGGATATGTCGCCACAAGCAGGGCAGTCGCACGCAAACCCCCAATGCTGGAACTCCCACCGACGCCTCGCCTGGTCCTGGTACGGGTCGATGTAGCAAAGCGTAATCTCATCTCCCGCCTCGATATCCTTAATCGCATGGATCGTCTCCATGTCAATTTTCTCGTTCCAGAAGAAATACGCATTGGAGTTGCACGAGTGGTTGAAGCGCGCGTTATGGTAGAAGACCGCTGCTCCCTTGGTGATGTCCATGCAATTGGTCCGGAAGATAGAAGCTACGCTGGCTTCCTTCGAAATTCGAGCTTCATGCTCTTCTGCGATGCGCTGGCGCTCTTTCGCGGGGAGCGATGCATCAACACCCTGGGGCAAGTGTGCCGGATTCTGGCCGTGCGCAGAGTGCAGCTCGAAGTAGCGCTTTTGGTCTTCTGGTGAGAGCTTTGCGAAAGCGGCTTCGACGTCGGCCTTGAAGTAGGCCCTGTGGTTGATCCGGAGGAGTGGGTGTTCGGCGAGGATGCGCGTGCCGCGTTTGATCGGCTTCAAGGCATATGCTCCGTAGCCTTTCTGGGTATGTTTGACCTCGTAGAAGTCTTGGTCTTCTGTTGCTGATTTCAGCAAGTGTTTCAATTGAGAGAACGAGTGAGCACGGCATCTGACAACACGTTACCTACCTGGAGCTTTCACTGAAGCTGCCTCAGAGGCGCCACCGCCAGCTGCGTTGATGACCGAGGAAGACATTGGATTTCTTCACCTGGATGAGGTACGTCTTGAATGAGACCTTGATAGCGCAGGTGTCTTATAGAAGACCTCAAGAAATTAGACTCGGTAGTTATGAGAAAACAATTGGCCAGCAACCGACAGGCGAGTGAGCTATCGCTGTTCAACTAGGTGGCCTTTTTAGATCGGTGAAAGAAGCTGTGCTTCCAGTCAAGCCGGTGAACCTCGAGTCAATGAATGAAGTCAGATGGTGATATCAAAAGGTGAGGATTTCAATGCCACCTGGGTGCAATTGGGTGAGAACAAGAAAGTGTGCAATGCAAGAAGACTTATTGCAATAAAATTTGCATGCCGCTATGTAGGCTCCCATGCCCAAGTAATGAGGCGGTCAAGAAAATTGCTGACATCTTAACCAGACCTTTTATAAAAGCGTCAGAGCACGCCGAATAGTGGCATCAGTGTCAACGCAGTAATAATCCACCCGAGTAGTTCTGTGACAGCCAAGTGCTTGCCTCCGAACGGGTCTGTTCTCGCGTCGAAGCTCCTATATCGTTGCGTTTGCATCGACTACACTGTGTGTAACCATGTGCTTCCTGTGATCTAGGATACTTGCATAGTACACTCAGCTCACGGAAGACCGCCTCCTCGTTCATCGTCAATACCATATCCGAGCTTAGCGCAGAAAGGGACTAAGTACCAATACCAGTACAAGAGTTATCATGTTTGCTGTTCGGGACTCGAACAAAGAACGCTTTCGCCTTACAATACCTTTGTGTGTATTACAACCACTTTCTCTCACAACATATGTCCGTTTGCGGAATCCCTTTGTTGCTGTTTTTTTTCCAGATGTGCATACTTTTGCAATACGTCCAACGCGTGGCTCTTCTCATAATTTGTGTCTTCTATCCAAGCCGAGAGCGCTTCATCAACTTGATACGCACGTGTATTAGGCCTTCATATCGTGTGCAACCTGGTCTTGAACGAGGAATAGGACGACATACATCATGCCTGTAAAGAGAAGGGCAAAGAGAAAGGCGGGAAAGGCACCGGCAAAAAAAGTGGCTAAGATGGCTGCAGATCTTAGTGAGAAAGCCGTAAAGGGACTCCCAATGGCCACCGCGAAGGGGTACTTCGAGCGGGTGTATAGGTTCAAAATGAAAAGAGAGAAGCCAGATTGGGCAGAGGGTAAGCTATGTTCCGTCTCAATGTCTACAAGGCAGCTACGGAAAATGAATCGCGAGTTAAATATATCATTTGTATGCAGAGGATATTTGACATACTTTATTCTGGCTCAGAAAACATGGAGGCATCGATATGGCACGTTTTGATGCGGCAAGGGCAGCTGCGTCCGTCACGCTGCCCGCTGCAACCTACGTGCTGCCGGATCAGCCGAAGACTACGGAAGATAGAGATGTGCCACTAGCTACACCACCGAGCAGCCCGCCGTCGGAAGACGGGACGATAGGCATACCAAGATCTCCAGTAGCCTCACGCGAACGTACAGAGCCAGGTACCGTGCAAGCCTCGCCTTCCGGAAGGATTTCGCGTCATGTCATGGACCGTAGCCCCAGCCCTACAAGAAATACTCGACCTGATAGTGAGAGTGATCCAAAAGCTTTTCCGTCGAATCCATTCGACGCTGCACCAGGTCCAGGTCAGCATGTTGAGTACCCGTACCCTTGGTGGCCTGATTTCGAATGGCCAGAATCGGATGATAACGACACATACGGAACTTTCAACCCATTTTACGACTTCGAAAAGGGAAGACGGGGGGAAGATCTCGTGAAGGGACCTCTGCTATTTTCCTTTGCAGGTGGCGACGAGAGGGCTCACGGCTGGAGAGGTGTAAAGTTACTTGGGGAAGGCGGTTACGGGGTGGTCGCTTTGTGGATTCGAACCGACGGGGGCGAGAACATCTTGGAGGTCAGCATCACGTTTTCAATACCTTGGGGATTTGAGTTGGCGTACAGTTTGCTAATGCTACAGCTGAATAGAGAATGGCTGTCAAGGAACTGTACTATGAGAACCAACTACGCTGGCGAGATCCTCGAGAATGGCGAGACAAGCTGCCGCGCTAGTATGTCTTTCTCCCTCAGAATAACGTCGTGTGCTAACACCTAAAGGATAGCTCACATGAATCGTCTCAAGGCGACAGGCTGCACAGAGCACATCGTCAGGCACAAAGGGCACCGCCTCATTTTCCACCAACAAAGGTCCCGCATCTATCTTGACTTTTGCGATTACGGGGATCTATGGAGCTTGTTAGAGAAGTATCCACTCGAGGATGGCGAAGCAAACAAATCAAAAAAAATGAAAATAAAGACACGATCACAGAAGGGAAAAAAGCCTGTTGAAACGGAGCTGCCAGAAAGATGGATTTGGCACTGCTTCTATGCGATCGTGGATGCTTGCCTAGTAATGAGAGACGGCGTTAAGGAGCCTAAGAAGGAGGGCTGGCGAGAGATTATACATTGTGACTTGAAGCCACAAAATATCCTTCTCATCCCGCCTCGTGAAGAAGGAACGGCAATTGGAAACGGAAAAGGAAAGGCAAAGGCTGTTGAGGAGAATAGTGAGATGCCACTAATCAAACGGCCGAACGTAAGTTTTCCTAGAGGATTCAATACTCATCCGCAGACTAATCAGGTGCGCCAGTGGCCGACGGCTGTGGTTACCGACTTTGGAGTTGCGTTCGATGATGGCCCAGAAAACCCTCGGGAATACCTCGAGGGCGGTACTTTCCATCTGAGACCCCCTGTTAGTAATACATACTGGCATTGGCTAATTAGATATAGTCGCTAAGTCACTAATTTTATAGGAACATCGCCGCGAATATTGGAACAAGAAAGAGTATCGCGAAAAACGTATGGATTCAAAAGCCAACGTTTGGGGAATGGGAGCTATCATTTGGTGTTTAATCACGAATTCTTCCTTTTCTGGCCCTATCGAGGAGTCTGAGGGAATACCAGAAGATACCAGTGATAGACAGGACATGACGAGATGGCTTGACCACAACGAGCACTATATTTGGGGCACAGAGTATAATCTTTCAGAAGAGGATTACGAAACGGCTCAAATCCTGCTAGACAGCGGCTTTCCAATGGCTTCAAGATATTCCAAAGAACTGAGGGAACTAGTACGGCGATGCCTGCGGTTCCGAGCAGAGGACAGACCTACTCTGGATGATCTGATGGCCGCGATCGTTCCCAATGTACCGCACGGTGATGATCCCCCGGACTTATTATTCGGCGAACAAACGTACAGACCGGGCACTAGATTAATTGTTCAGGCAGCTGGAGCACCCGAGGTTATCAGAAGACTCTAGATAAAACCATTAGGGCCTACCCACTAAAAGCCGCCCCTTATAGACAGGTGAACTATGGCTGATTCTATCACACTGCTCCGGCACCGTCAAGCAAAAGTTTGTCGAGTTTCTGGGCAACCGTCACGTTGCTGACCGCCAAATTCAGCCAGTGCTGGTCCTTTCTTTCCTCATCGTAAACCCATTCGTTCGAGCCATTCGGATAGACAAAGTTATATCCGTTCCCATTGCCATACTCAAACCACTCCCCAAGCCCAGAAATGGCATAAAGCACCGTAAGCGGATCCCACGAGAACCGAGTGTTGTTGTAGCCTATATACCACCCATACGCCGCAGCAACGGGGTCATGTGAAGGGGCCTCGACGGTCAATCGAGCGCCGGAAGAGACGTTTCCACCTAGCTCGGTCCCAGAGAACGTGATAGAGCCAGGCCAATTGTTCACAGCATGAGCAGTAACTCCGGGATCGTCGCCGAAGAAGTTGAACTCATATCCAGACGGGTATCCACCGCCCATGACGACGAGCTCTTTTACTTTTATTGCAATGAGGTCTCGACCGGACAACTGAGAGTACTCATCTGCAGTAGAGTTGAGGAGCGCGGAGAGCTAGCCACGTGATGAGTCAATAGACACGAATTTGCGCCGAGAGGCCACACATACATTCTCCAAAAATCCAATCGAGGCAATCGTAACGCTCCTATTAGACCAGATGAGTGAGTGATGGAGATGACTAATTGGATGTCTATCTACGAACCTATCCTCCTGGCATGCCAGTGTCTTTCGATAAAGTTCCACTGGCTCCCACGACTTGCTCGCATTTCCCCAGGGCAAGGTTCCATTAGACCAGTGATACGCAACTTTGCTTGTATACTCGCCTAGCTCATAAGCCCAATCGTCAAAAAAGGACTCGTTCGTGATAGGTCTGCGGAGTCCGATTGGAACATTTGCGTGCCCGTAGTAGGCCAAGATAGCAGAGGCGGCGAGAGCAGAGTACGACGAAGGATAATTAACGTTTACGGCTAGAATATTCACGTGCGGTAATGTGGATGCCAGTAGGAGAGCGCCAGCGTCACTGTAGTGGTGAGCGAATGAGGCGGGTTACTAGTTTATTGAGACTAGATAAGACGAACTCAACATCGCTAAATATATCGGTATCGATAATAAGGTTCTTTGAATGGCTTTCAATTGGGTTCATTAACGATAGCGCAATTAAAGTAACTTGGACTAGGCGCTGGTAGCAGCGATCGAGAGAGCGAAGCATTGTCGATGTAAATTCAACTCATCAGAGATAGAAGGACTGATCTGAAGGAAACATGTAGCATTTCACAATAGAGAAGTGGGATGAGAGATCTACGACGGAAGTGTATAAAGAGCGTCTCCGTCGGTAGCAGACATGCGGTGAACTTCGCCCCCACCTTTTCATCTCTTCAACGCCGGCATCATCCGCTCGTCGACCAACGTCTCTTTTCAGAGATCCTATACATGGTCGACATCTTTTGAACATCCGACGTCGGCCAGAGAAAAGCGTTTACAGATGTCAAGACCACCGTTTCGACGTAGGAAAGAGAGACATAGAAATGGGAAGTACGCGATTGATTCCGCTTACGGATTTTCGCAAATTCTCTCGATACGAACGCAGACTAGACATACGAGCCTAACAGGATCTAGGTAAATCTTGGAAGTCATAGCTTTCTCAGTGTCGTATCTTTCAGATTGTTTGTCTGACTTCTGGTTGGAGCTCGAGTGACCACGTCAGATCCAAACGCTTTTGAACTCACCAACATTTATCTTGAAGTCATGTCAAACACTTTTTTGTATTTCTAGAAGATTGAAGAGCCTATAGAAGCCATGAACCCTGGCATTTAGCTCACTGCTTTCACGCTGTCACTTGCCACTGCTGCGAGTTGTCTCAGAACTCGATGATATAAAGTCCGGAGCCGACTCATTCACTCCCCGAAGCTTAGATGTTGCGTTCACAATGGGAATCTCTCATTCTCGACCTTCAGGCTACCGACGTCAAATCTCTATGGTTCCACCTGGGCAGAAAACTGGGCCAAGGGGTGTCTCCTAACTGAGCGAGCAGACAATCAAACGCCTAGAAACGGCAATAGACAATCTACAAAAAGAGAGGATCAATCTAAGAATGGAAAGAAATGCTCTCTCAATGGAAAAAGGTGCACTTTCGAAAGAGAGAGGCGCTCTGTCAAAAGAAAGAGATACTCTCATAGAAGAAAGAGGTGTTCTGACAAAAGAAAGAGGTGCTCTCTCAGCAGAAAGGGGTGCTCTCTCAAAAGAAAGAGGTGCTCCTCGAAAAGGAAGAGATAGCATACCAAGAGACAGACGTGTTGTACAAAGAGAAAGAGATCGTCAGCGAAGACAAAGAAATGAGTCACAAGAAGATACGAGGAGTAATGTGGCGCGAGTTGGCTAAGAAGCTTCAAATTGTCCGCGAAACTGTTATGCGTCTCACGGCGTGCTGAAGTCTATTCAGAAGGATTTGGATCTCATAAATTGAGCTATTCATGAACTCCTGTGTAGGGCTCGCCCAAAAAGTGTCGATTCTATGGAAATATACCTTAGGAATATCTTTCAAGCTAGAATAGACTCCGTGGAGCAATACCTCTACACGCATGTGGTTTTCATTATCTGAAAGTCATTCCCAAGCTCAGTATATTTTGGTGACATGACGCAAAAGCGAATCTACTTCGTACGACAATATACGTTGGTTAGTTCGTGGGTGAGGTCCGCCAGTGACAGGAGCAGCCGTTCAGTCGGCGCTTCATACGAAGTAAATCTCTACTCTCCCCTGGACTCCCCGCGCCCCATATTGTACTGGAAAGTCGCCATAGCAACTCCGCTTTTTTCTCCAAGAAACTGTGGACATGCGCTCCTCCACTCCCTATCACGACACATTTTTCTCTAGGGGTGCTCATCAATAATGCATCCGCCAGGTCTTTTATTCATAAGAGAGTAATTCCAACAGCTCGACAAGAAGCTTCATCGAAGCATCATGTCCTCAGAAGTATCTTCCTCCCTTGGCAAAAGAAAGCGGGCAAGGCAAGCTGCTCGTCCCTGCGATGCCTGCCGACAGCGCAAGACTCGATGTATCATGGAAGATGGCCCTATGTGTACCGTCTGCCAGTTTCGAGATTCTTCCTACACCTTTGACGCAGCCCTTCCCGAGCGGAAGACATATACCAAAATACCAGATATAGGTCGGGTGGCTACGAATGAAGGTTCTGTCCTCGCCTATCCCCCCTCTAGTACGAGCCCATCATATGCTCGTTCCCATCGCTCATTGAACGGCGTGGAAACTGAGCAATTGCTGGGTATTCGCCTCGTTGCTGCTTCGAAAGGGGCGCTATGATCAGGCCGTTCAGTCGCTCAGCCTTTTCCACGGGGAAGACAAGACGTACCAAGCTCAAGCCGATATTGACGCTCTACAACTCGACCTTCATCTCGAGGCTGAACTTAACTCTCAAAGCTCGTGGTTAGACCTCGTTCGGGATCCTGTGGAGCGAAGGAAATTAGTGTACTCCGCCGGCGCACTCACTGCTCAGCAGATCAACGGCATTCAATGGTTCTATTACTTCGGAACAGTATTCTCCAAGGCTATTGGGTTTAGCGATCCATTTCTCCTGACACTCATTGTGTTCATCATCCAGGTCGTCGTCGTGTTTGCTGCGGTTCTCTGTGCCAATCGCATTCCTAGGCGTCCCTTGCTGCTCATACCACCGACATTATGACAGTTTCCATATTTATAGTCGGATGCTTAGGTATTCCACGAGGCGAGGTCTCGCCAACGTTTGACAAGGTCATCATCAGCTTCGTCATTATCGAGATCACGGTTTTCAATTTTGCTTGGGGTCCTTTGGGCTGGACCATTGCTTCTGAGATGGCTGTTGGCCGAAACCGGAACAAGATATACGCTATCGCCGTTGCATGCTTCTGGGTGAGTTCCTTCGTTGGTAACGACTTTACCGCTTGCAAAAGGTTTACCACATTTTCGCACAGATAACTGTCTGGGTTACAGTATTCACGCTTCCATACCTTTACTATTCCGCAAACCTCGGTCCGAAGACTGGTTTCATTTATATTGGACTTTACTTCGTCAGTCTGGCGTACGTCTGGTTCTGTGTCAGTGAGGTGACCGGGCGGACAATGGAAGAGATTAACGGCTTCTTCATGGATGTGAGTATTGATTTCTTACTTGATCTCCAGAATTCTAATGGCCGTTCATTGATTCTAACGACCCTTGTAGGGTATTCCGGCACGGAAATGGCGCGACCAACCTAGACTAGATGCGGCTCCACGATCGCACATGAGCGACCACGTTGATGTTTGGGACGTTAAAGTCGACGAAAAGAGTATTGGGACAAAATAAGCGTTATGGTAATAAAATAACCTTTGAGTGCACACTGTGCGCTCTTGTACATAGCAAAATGCAGGGGTCAGCTACTTTGGATAATAACATACAGTTACTCGGCTCTCAAGCATAATACAGTACGGGACAAAGACAAGTCGACCTCTGGGATATTCCTTTGATTGATAATTCGCTTGGCGTTGTGATCTTCAAAACCTTGTACCGTCGCGCCGCCAGGTACAGTAAGACGAGCTTACATAGTACTTCTCAGCTTTCCCTATTAGTATTAAGGAATACTGGGCACAGTCCCAAATATAGTGGCTTGGTCTCATCCAAGTCAGCCTCATTAGAGCAAAGAGGTCTGTGCGTCGTATGAAGCTTACTCAGTTACGCATATAAAGCTACAGATCCCACGAGCTCGGCCACTAACAGTGGTTAAGCATTGCGGATATGTCGCCAGTCAACGGGAGCCTTTCGCAAACCGAGATATACCAACCAGCGAACGAGATCAAGACCAACGACGGCGTAGCTCTCCGCTACATATCGGCTGGGTCAGGCCCGCCTCTCCTCCTTATCCATGGATGGTCCCAAACTGCAGCACAATGGAGTAAACAAATCGTCGAGTTCAAGAGGACACGCCGTGTCATAGCGATTGATCTTCGTGGACACGGCGAGTCCGACAAGCCAGGCCACGGATATCGCATCTCACGACTTGCAGCAGACGTCCACGATCTCATTACTCAACTCGACTTGAACGACCTCACAGTTGTCGGACACTCTATGGGATGCTCGGTCATATGGTGCTACCTCGATCTTTTCCCCGGAACCCGAATATCGAAGCTGGTCTTCATCGACGAACCCGTAAGCCTGGCAATCAACCCAGCCTGGAGCGAGGAAGAGGCAAAACTATCCGGTGCTGTCTTCAGCTCTGCTGCCGCGTACGATCTTGCCGCCGCACTCCGCAGTTCGGATGGCGAAGCGGCATCCGTAGGGGTGCTGGCGTCGATGAAAACGTCGGAGATGTCCCAGGAAGACTTCGACTGGATAGCGGCACAAAACCTGAAGATGCCCCGGAAACTGGCGGCTGAGCTGTTTCTTCCGCATGCTCTGGCGGATTGGAGCGACGTGATATCACGGATCAAACTACCAACTCTCGTAATCAGCGGCGAGGCGAGTATGATTGCGAGCACTGCGGCGCCATGGATTGCAGCGAGGATTGCTGGAGCGAAGTGTAGGGTCTTGTCGAAGGAAGAGAGAGGAAGCCATTTCATGATGTGGGAAAATCCGGCCGTGATTAATGCTACACTAAGAGAGTTCTTGGAAGATGCCTCTTAAAATAGGGCGATGAGTCATCATGAATCAGCGAACCTCGAATAACTCTTAAGTAGATATCAAACAAACCATACACTGGACTTTGAAAGCCACCTTTGCGACATACCCGGCATTCTTGCATCGCTTTGTCCTGAAAAAGCTTAGTACTTAAATTAAATATATGAAGCTCCTTTCGAGAAGTTACCTTAGGGGAACGATTGATACACATTATGGGTACATACCTCTACTGATATGCTGCTTTACGACTGGCCTGCTCGATAGTGTGAGCTATAACAATTGGAGTGTGTTCGTGGGAATGCAGACTGGTAGGCCGGATCCCGTTCATTGGTGAAGGTCTCCCTTCTATGATAGTCCGCTCAAAATGACAACATTGGCTAAGCAGAACGCAATGATTCAGGGAACACTGTCCTACTTGCCCTTTCAACGGCGTCTCTTCCGGCGACTCAGCGATACGCGTATGCAACTACGCTTGTTTCAATCGGATCGTTCATCCTAGGCGCATACTCAACTTTCGTGATCTCGCGGCGAACCAACTCACTGAGTCGGATCTTCATCATGTTCTCCTTTATTGTTCAATCTGGTTTCCTCATTCTTGCTGCCGTTCTTGCAACCGCTGGTCTGGTCCCCGAGGATCTTCATGGACGTGGTGTCAATGTCAGTAATATCAGAATCCTGACAGCGCTGCCACCGCTTGCTTTCCAATTTGGCATTCAGATCGCTACAAGCAGGATCCTTGGATTCAACGAATTACCCACCAACGTGTTGACCAGCGCCTACGCCGATGTAGCAGGTGATCCCAAGCTATTCTCTTTGGCTTGGAATGCGAAGAGGGATCGGAGGATAGGCTCAATTGTACTGATTCTGGGCGGAGGCATTTGCGGAGCGTGGATGATGAGGAAAGGAGTGAATCTTTACGTTCCACTCTGGATTGCAGCTGGACTGAAGCTCCTCCTTGCTGTAGGTGTATGGGTGTTTATCGGCGTCAAAAGCCCCGGTATCAGCAAAGAGGGGTCTACCAGAGTATAGACATAGCCAATAGTGTGAAGGGAATCGATATTGTGTGAAGATCTCTACAACTCAACACTTGAATTTTTGGATGTGGAAACGTGATATCTCACCTTTGGGCATTCCGTTGGAGAACTCGCGGCCTCATAGACGGCTGTTCGATAAGGAATGACTGTAACGAGTCACTGACGCGATGCACAGAGTTACCATCCCAAGAATGATTGCAACGTACAAATACCATCAAATACCCTCAAAATCCGATCGTCGATGTGCGCTGTGTTCCTAGGGATGGCTTCGAATTGGCCGATCTAATGAGATATGTACCCTCATGCCATTGCTTCTTGCTTGCTGTACAACCCGACACTAGCTCCGCCTCATCTTCTGCAATGCACAACCGCAACCCTAGAGATTACAAGTAAGGAGCCTTTAAAAGAAGCCAGGGATCCCGATTGCTGTGTATAGACTTACCTAATCAAGCCGCTTACGTAACCCAAATTTTCGTCCCCATCGCCGAGAACCTCCATTCTAACCATCTCGAAAACAGCCACCCACTCACCATGCCTCCACGACTAAAGCTGCTCCAAACTGGGTACTGCCTCGTCTCATGCTCTGTGCCCTCCTCCTCAATCGCCCCCATCCTGGCCCCGTTCCTCCTCCCGGCCCAGCAGCGCGCCGCCTCCATCCTCTCCTCGCTCTCCGACAACGCAGGCGCCTACAGCAAAAGGAAGCGGCTCGGACGCGGTCCAGCCTCCGGCAAGGGAAAGACGTCAGGAAGAGGGCAGAAGGGACAGAAAGCTCACGGAAAGGTGCCCGCGGGGTTCAATGGAGGGCAGACGAAAATAGAAGTCACGCAGGGTCCGAGGGGGTTTTTGAACCAGTACGTTCTACACACACCACACAATTCGCGACCAGGCGAAAGAAACATGCAGTTCATGTGGAATGGAATATTTGCATTGGGAACCGGGATGGCTAATTGCGGCCCAGTTTCTCCGTCGACATGTCCCCCCTCAACCTCGACCGACTCCAAAACTGGATCGACCAAGGCCGGCTCGATCCCTCCAAGCCCATCACCATGAAGGAGCTGAACGACTCGCGGTGCTTGCACGGCGTTAAAGACGGCGTCAAGCTGCTCGCCAGGGTACGTAGTAGCCCTATGAACGAACCTGCCTCCCCCCCAATTCAATCACAAAACACGCACAGCCACGACGCAGAAACCCCCCTAAAACCCCCATTTCCCCACTCCCGCGCCTAGCCTTTTGAAACTCTCACCGCATGCAAAGCTAACAAACCCGGAACCACAGGGCGCCGAGCACCTCAAAACCCCCATCAACCTCGTCGTCTCCCGCGCCTCGACGGCCGCCATCGCCGCCATCGAAGGCGCCGGTGGCACCGTGACAACCCGCTTCTACGCGCCCAACTCGATCAAGCACGTCCTCAAGGGCCTGATGGACCCCGTCAACTCAATCCAATCGTCACCAGTAGCCGCCGCCGTCGAGGAGGACGAGGCTGCCGTAGCAGCACCGCCGCGCTCTGCCGCGTACCCGTACAGACTCCCCGACCCCACGAGTAGGAAGGATATAGAGTACTACCGCGACCCGGCACACCGGGGCTACCTGAGCCATCTGGTCGGGCAGGGCGAGAGCCCGAGTTTGTTCTTCCGCGTCCCCGCGGCCGCGGGCGCGAGGAAGAAGACGGTGCAGAAGAAGAAGACGAGCGGGGCCGCGGAGAATCGGATATGGTGAACAGGATGTTTAGCAGATGGATTGCAAGTGTTGTATGAATATTACTAGGCAGGGGAGAGGCGCCCGGACTGGCCAGGCTTTGGGCTACATTTCCGGACATCGCCCTTCGACACAGCGATCTCCTGGCTTTCTCGCGGCCGCGTCACTTGTTCTGTTTCTTAAGCCGCGCAGCGTTGGCACGCCCGTTACTCTTTGTGCGTTATTCGTCCGGAATGCCTGGGATATTTTGGGTTGTATATATCAATGCACTGTATACGTAGGGTCTCCTCCTGATAGAAATGTAGGAATCACGTACACAAGACCTGACGTGATATGTATGCGTTTTGAGATAATTTTTATATTTTTATTTTGTGGTATAGGTGAAGCCTATCAAGGGCAGCAACGAAGCAACTTACCTCTGGCCTAGATATTTTTGGGAATACGCTGAAGTGCTGTAAGCAGTGAGCGGCGTAGGCAGAGGCCAAGTTCTAGGAAGCAAAACTCCAAGAATTGGTTGAATTTGATTCCACGCGTGGTGAAAAACGAAGAGGCTCAGAATACCGTAAACGTTACCTTAAAAAGCGCGAGGGAATCAGCGTTAAAAGTTGGCGTTTGTACACTTGCTTGCCGCTGTTTGGAGTACCGTGATCTGGGAACGAGCCGATCAGGGGCGCATTATAATTAGTACAATTCGTGGGCTAGAAACTACCCCGAACAGTGACAATCAAGCGTGCACAGGTTGAGCGCACGGCACTATTACGGAGGTTAGCAATTGTCGAGATACATACCGCAGAACCATGATGCTGCTATTTGCCCCACCGTCAGCAGTCCTCTGAGATACTGAAAAGGCTACCGATAGTCCTTGGACTTCCTGTTTGAGAGGCAATCTCAACCTGGTTGGGTGTATTGTTCTGATGATGCAGCGAAGCGCCAATGGCAGTCAGTTGCGAGCAGGGTGCAAGCTCGTATCCCGGCATCGGGCAGTCATTCCTGTTGGGTACGGCCATTGTTTCGATAGGGAGGTTCCAACGGCAGACTTGTGCTTCGCGGGCTGCCGCACCTGTCAACGATCACGTCGCACGTCCAGGCAGCAGCTCGAAGGGGCTAGTTTCTTCGTTGCGATAGACAATTGTGCTCCGAGATTGTTCTGGGCATGTGTGGAAAGGAGCGTGGAAGCTTAGGTGGTACCTCGTGGGATCGGGATACTGCCGTGGTTGAAGGAAGGGTGGCCCATGGTTTACAAGAGCCTGCAAAGGCGTAGCCGAGATATACTTCGGGCAGGATTTTTGAGTGTAGGATCGCTTTCCGTGTACAACGTGGCACTCACCCGATGGCCGACTGCCTGAAGGAGCATGCCTGCGGAAAGTGGAGTATCTGCAGGGGCATTTGCAGGTTGATTCCGTCTGCATGCGAGAGAAAAGTTAGGTTCCGTGGTCTGATGTTTTCTTCTTGTACGATCAGACAGAAAGAAATCCAGCGGGTAAGGTATTACAGTCTCAATATGAGATGTGTACCTTAGCACACGTCTCAATCAGACCAAGCTACGAAAGCCAACTTTTGGAGATGCAAAGATGCCACAAAGCATCGAGCTCAGCTGCGTGGGTGTAGATCTTTCAGCCCAACGTCCGGAATGTCTTGTCTGAGTGAAGGGGCGCCTGTGATCCGTTGCGGGTTTCGCGGTGCTACAAGAAACATGTTTGACTGGGAATAGGTTGATGTAAGACTGGAAACAACTCCTCTGTGGCGCCGGATCGAGTGGCCGCAGATTTGCTGGTAGGGATACGGAATATGACAGAGTGATCCGGCTTGCAGAGATCTCGAACTGTAACACGAAGGCGTTGACCGGTGTGCGCAGCCGTACTTCAGAGATTGATCAGCGCAAGATAACAAAAGCGATCGAGATGCTCCGTCCACTTTCGCAATAAAGAAACGTGTCCAAGGATGAGGGTTTTGGGTGGGCTGATGGCTGTCTAGGTGCATGCACACCAGTGCAACTTATTCCGCAAGTCTAGCCGCGATATAGCGGTTGCTTGCGGCATCTTGCTTTTGCAACAACGGATGTCTAGCCAGTCTAGCGGTGCAACTATCAAGACGTGGAGTACCTAGGTGGTGCAGGCTGTATGCGTGACGGCATGGGTTTACAACTTTACCTGCCAGGCCTGCCCTACTACGCGGACGTGCCGAGGTCATCACCGCTTGCGTTCTGATGCCCTGATGCACAAACGGGCAATGAGTGAACGAGGTCATGCTGGTGCCGGCGTTTGAGTTGGTGTTTTGTGGCCGGTTGATGCAAGCCCGGACTGCTGGAAATTCGACGTTAAACCGTGGCCCTGGCCGATCCGGGCTGACGACGCACTGTGGACGGAAGCAGCGCCGGTTTGGTTGCTGGCCTCGATGATTTGGGTGTCCGGGTGGAGATGGACAGCACAAGGCGGCAGAAGATGACTGTGGATTGCTCCTTGCATGGGAAGCCGAAGGGTCTCCAGAGTCAGTGCAGGCAGCCTGGCAGGCGGCGGATGTCGTTGGATTGCAGACTATCGTTTCCGGTTCGGGGAGGTGAGCGAAAGGCTGGGAGTGGGAGAGTTTGCGGAGGCGTTTCGCCAGCATGCTGGACACTAATTAAGACCGCGCATGATTCAGTCACGATTCGTCCCAATAATCGAGCCGATATTATTGGGACAGGCCACTGGAACACGGCGTCGGGTGTTGCACGCGCAAGGCTGGAAGCGCTCGTCGAGAAGCTCGTCGTCCATTTGCTGTCTGCAGTAGTCAGCTGCAGCGGGGCGAGGCTATCTTGCAGCGCTGGCGGGCATGTATAACAGCGGCTCATGGAGCTGAGGCATGCACTGCATTCCTCCCGGGCCTGTGCACCGTCAGATGTGCGGAGCACAGGAGGAGGCCAGCATGGCGCATGCGAGCAATGACACCATCACGGAGAGAGACGCGGACAGCGAGGGGAGGCTCCAGCGAGCAGCCGTGAGCGCCGCGGTGGTGCCTTGTCGGCGGGTCATGCTCTTGTGCCACCTGCAAACCGACGAGGGCCAGGTGGATCGCGGGAGCGGTGGATGAGGACTGCTGATTGCTGCGATGTGGCGTCGTGGTGTCTTGACCGTCCAGGCATCCCCCATCGAGCTAGAGCTGGGAGCACAGGTGGGGGTACCGTGTCGAGATGGTGCATCATATTCATGGCGAGGGCTCGCAGTCTCGCCACACTCGCAACGCGTACGGAGAGCATGGGTCGAAGTTGGAGGCCGTGTCTGCGGCCTCGAGACCTTGAAACCGCAAATGACTGGGCCGGGGAGTGGTGTGCGTGGGGCGCTGGACCGCCATTGGACCGCCATCAAGCTGCCCTATTTTCGCACAAGTCTGCCCATCACGGACGCGTCTGGCGCGGAGAGAAAGAGTGTGCAGACGTCAATCAAGCGACGAAGGTGCTGCATCCATGACTCCTGCAGCGCCGCACGAGGAGCAGATGCCACCGCCAACCACTTCATTGCGACTTGGCCCTGAGGAGCTGCTTGCCGCAGGAGAAACACGCTAGGAAAGCCATCCCAGAGTCCACAAGCTGCTTGACGATGCAGTCCTTGTCGCGCGCCCACCAGCAGCCGATGGCATCCACACGCCCATCAACTCTCTAGGGCGCGTCCAAGAGGCGCGGTACGTCTCAGGCGCCGAGCCCTGGAGGAAATCTAATAATCCTTCCAGATCCCGACTAGCGCGTCAGATGTCCTCAGCGCATGAGGCCGGTGCTTGGCTCCGGCGACATCGCATGTAATAAAGAAAGTTGTTGGGTGGGCGTCGCCAGGCCGTCCAGCAAATCGATGCAACGCGGCACTCGTATGACGCCTGCTGGAACCCACGGCGAAGCTCCATTCGTCCTTCACTCCGACCCATGTGTGCTAGGACGGACCAAGGACGTCGCGGGGGCGATCGTGATGGGATATGTGTCGTGGACTCTGGTTTACGCTCTGGCGCCCACTCACTGCCAGACGCAGACAGCCAGCAATGCCGACAATCATGCCCCGAGCAGGGTCGTATCACACCAGTCCGGGCCTGCTGTTGTCCGGGCCTGCTGTTGTCCGGCGCCTCGAACACCCGTTTGGTGGTGGTGCATGGGTCCGCGGTGCTGAAGGGGACACATCGCGATGAGGAGGCATGAGAACTCGCCAGTGCCAGCCACCATGCTGGCAGCCCACCTGGTGCGCCAGCGGCCCCCCAGCCAATCAGCCGCGTGCAGCGAATCGTGGCGGGCACCGCACCAGGACCGAACTGCTGTCCATCTGCTGGGCGGAGTCGGGGACGAGGGCTGCGTGTCTAGCCTCTCGAATGCATCACGGAGCCATGGGCCGGGCTAGCCGGGGCGCTCCTCTTCTTCCACAGTCTCGACGTGCCAAGCGGAATGCAAGCGGATGCCGACTCGAAAAGCAATTCGCGATCGGTCAGAAGTTTGCTGGTTGCGTGGACAAGGAGCGCGAATTGGCGGCCCGCGGACTGGCGCTTTGCACGCCTGTTCTCGCCCTCGCCCCGCTCCCTTGGCGAGATGGCCGAATGTGGTGGAAACAAAATCGCGAAACCCCGGCTCTCCCAGCAGGCAACGCAGCAGCCGAATGGCACCGGGGCACGCACACTCGGCGGCGGCACGGAGAGCAGACGAGCAGACGGGCGGCGATACGCAGGTGCGTGTTTCGCAGGGGGCAACAAGGCGGTCCTGCAGTGCAGATTGCCTCAACTGAACATGGAGCGGCACACCAGCAAGCTGCTCTCCGGGGCCGGTTGGCGGGCGGAAAGCGTGATTGGGGCGGCGGGACAAGCTCACAGGATGCGAACAATTTGGAGAGAGGAGCGTTCGATCAGCAGCCGGCAGGGGGCGTGCTCGGACGAGGAGCTTTTGGGTAAGACAGCAATTAGGCCAGCGAGCCACGGCGGCCGGCTTCGTATCGACCTCCAGTCCTCCACGCTGCACAGAAAGAGTCGAGGCGTGCCGGGAGTGGGAGTGCAGTCGCCGGCAAATCAAACACGGCATGGCGGAATGATGCTCCTGCAAGGCCTCAGATGAAGAGGAGCGAGCGATTCCAGGCCGGCTGGGGCGACTGCTTGCTGGAGGGCGACGCTACTCGGTGTGTCGGTACCTCAGCGCATCACGAAGACTGGCGACGATCGCAGGCTGACGCAGCGGCGGTGGGTTCGGCGGTGCCAGCGTCGTCCAAGCCGTTTACGAAGCATACTCAACCCCAGACTCGCAGCCCTTCGCAAGCCGGATGTCGCAGGCAGCGTGACTGTGTGTGGGTGGGTTTAGTGGCGGAGTGTCATCGTGGTGAGCCACGTCTTCTCCCGGCAGCCGTCCCAGGCGTCCTTCCAGGCAGTCCACGGTATGCCTCCAGCAGATGCACCGCTCGTGACTCGCCGACGCGGGCCTGGTGTTCGACTTAGAGACGAGGCCAGCAACGGCAGAGCAGGACCAGAGACGCAGCCAGAAAGGAACCTCGCACAGCGCCAATCACAGCGGCGTGGGCGTGGCACTCGCGCCTTCGGGATAGCGCCGTCAGACGTGCAGGGTGAGGTGAGCGGGCAGGCTCAGGCCGTTCAGACCAGGAGCCGGCGGCCAGGCGTGGGCGTCGTGTGCGTGAGGAAGTGCGCGGCAGGAGAGACGCCGAGGAGGGCGGTGGAGCTGGTGTTGGATCGGAGCCCTCCATCCATGCTGAGGCAGCGTCGTGATGCGGCTAGCAACGCCGGCTGCGTGCCAATGAGTGCTCGATTGCTGCGCGCGAGGCCGCGTTGGCCTGCCGGTCCGCGCTGCGCGGTCTGTGAGGTGCGTGAGTCTGTGGGTGCCCGGCAAGTGCTTTCACCTGCGCCTCAGCTTCCTCGCTCCCTGCGCCAGCAATCCTGCTCCACGGCTGGCGGCGCTGCTCTTGTCCCAGAATTATCGCCGGCGGGTCGCTCGGCCCTGGTCCAGCAGAACGTGCAGGCCTCCCCGCCGGCGTCAGGGCGCGTTATGTCAGAGACGCTGCTGCTCATTCTGGCCGCTGCGGCGCTGGAGCCCTGCCTGGAACCTTCCGACTGCCAGTCCACCGTCACCACGCGGAGCGTGCAAAGATGTTTTATCAAAACCCTCCCGCCCGATGCCCGAATGCGACAAGCCAACCACCGCCCGCCCCAAGCCCCAGCGTCTTTGAGGACGGCCGTGATTGCCTCTCTTTATCCCGCCGTGCACGCCCGCTCCATCGCCATCGCCATCGCCATCGCCATCGCCATCGCCATCGCCATCGCCAACCTCCCCCGTGGCCCCTTCCGTCTCCTCACTTGCTCTCCAAAGCTCTCCCTCGCCGGGCCCGCTGTTGACATACCTCGAAACATACCAGAATACCGGCCGCCACATCAACACACCGCCTCCTTGCGTCCCCCGAGCACCGCACTCGCCCGCTGCCCAGAGCCGTCTGTGGCATTCGCTCATTCTGGCAATGCCGTGAAGGCAACGCCGCCTTCTTTTCCTTCCGCCACGTACCCTGGAGTAGACACCTTTCAGCCGTGGATCGTGGGTGTTTGTTGCCAGTCAACCGACTTCACAGAATCATCGGCCCTAGCCCTGCCCCCGCCGCTGTGATGCTCGAGCTACAACTACCCAACCCAATGCCTCATGCCGTGGGCTCAGACCGCCCCTTCGACTCCTACTCTCACGCCTCCTCCAAACTGGAACACAGCAGGCCGCCGCTGCCCAAGCCCATCTCGCGAGCAGACCTTCTCTACCACACCAGCGTGTCTCGGGCCCCTCCAACTCCACCAACAGACATGTCGAGCTCAACTCTGGGGCCAATGTCCGTATATCAGCACGGCAGCATGAGACCAGACTTCAGATCCAACCGCCAGGTGAATGGACCTTCTGCGCAGTATTCGGTGCCAGCCCACTCGACCTACCAGCTCCCGACCTACAACACCTCGAGAGCTGCAGCGGCCCCCTCGAGTCCCATTGTCCAGAGTGCTCCGGTGTCTTCGCAGTCTGCCCACCGCAGGAAAGTCTCCAACAATACGATTGCTCCAAATCTGAAGACACCCCCCACTATCAGCACCCCCCAGGAGGGCCTGCCGCAACTTGCTGCCGAGGTGCGTATTCCAGCTTTTTTCTACAAACTAATTTCACTGACATTCGCAGATAACATGCCTCTTCTGGTTCGAGAACTCGTCAACCCTCAAGCGCGTTCTTCAACCCGGTTCCCCGCGACCTCTAGGCCCTCTAGTTCCAGACGCTACCCCAACAACTGGATTCCGGAAATGGGTCGCCACAATCTTGACGACCACTCAGGTTGCGCAGAACGTCATCTTACTGGCCCTGATGTTCATTTACAGGCTCAAGCAAATCAACCCGAGTGTCAAAGGCAAGCCAGGCAGCGAGTACAGACTTCTCACGGTAGCTCTGATGCTGGGCAACAAATTCCTCGACGACAATACCTACACAAACAAGACGTGGGCAGAGGTTTCTGGTATCTCGGTGCTCGAAGTGCACATTATGGAAGTTGAATTCCTCAGCAACATGAGATATAGCCTTTTCACTTCCGAAAAGGAGTGGCTGGATTGGCATGTCACGCTGGGCAAGTTCGGTACCTTCTTCGACCAGGCATCACGTATGCCAACGCAGAACGTGCTCCCGAGTCCAATCGGCCCGCCAACTCCATCATTGCAGCTACCACCGACTCTTCTGCCGTCTCCACCCACTTCGCTCCACACATCGCCACCGAATCTTTCCAATTACTCGCCAAACAGGCAACCAGTACATTCTAATACCCCGATGCTTTATCCCCAGGCAACGTCGACCGCTGTCTCACCAATCGGTCCTCTTCCGGAACTTGGACCATTGAACAACAGGAAACGAAGCTACGACGAGTCACTGGAGCCACCCGCGAAGAGACCGGCTCATACCTACAGCCAACCACCAATCAACAGCGGTCTAAACATTCCATCACTCCAGCCTTCCATCGGGAGACCTTTCCAGAACCACCAGACTTTACCACGCCTGCCACCTCTGCCAAGTCTGTCGATCCCGCCTCCGCATCCCGGCCGTACGCCTGTTCAAATGAGCAACTTGCCTCAATTACCAATGCCAGGAAACAGGTCTATGGCAATGGTTTACCCGCCTGTCAGCCAATGGAGTCAATCTTACTCGACTCCGACATCTTCTGCTCCCGGACACTCGGCGATGCATACTCCCATCGACAGATCCCGACAAGTCAGCCCCTTCCCGATTGGATCCACCAATTCGTCTCCAGTCAGCGCAACTTTCCCGTCCGGGAACCAGAATCGCCTCTCTCCCAACTACTTCCTTCAGCAGAGGCAGTCGCCTTATCGGCCAGTCCGAAGCGTCACTACTCTCCTAGTACCTCCACCATCTACTTCGATGCACATGCCGCAAAGACCGATTTCACTGGATCAAATGCAATATCAACCATTGGGTCGGCCTATGAATGAACGGAGAGTCGGACCACTACCCTACATGCATCACGAAGCGTGGCCGGAAACGAATCAATTCAACCAACTGCCCGGCTTGGTTCAACCCGTGCTCCGTCATTAATCAGATGCACCCCGCCGGCAACCTCAAAAATCGTGTGATGAAGTGCCAATGTTGATCATCACGTTTGGAACATTGAGCACGTCTTTCCATGCTTCTTTCGTTATTGAAGAGCAGATGGAATTTTTGTCAATTTTTGTTTTTGTTTTTGCTGCGTTTAAGCGATTGCATTGCACCCGGTCGGCGTCTCTGTCTTATTATGGGAATGGGCAAATTTGCTCCTGCTTCAGGCCTGAGGCTCTAGCACCCTGCATTTTCCACAGGACATCTGCATGTGAACGGCGTTTCTATCTTGTCGAGACAATCTCTTGACAAGCCCTCACTTTGAAGGGATGGGCAACAACAAGGCGTTTTCATCACTCAAGGGTAGATCTGTAACATAGTAGTCGATTGCCTCAACAGGCTTGGCTTGGTATTTCTGTCGGTTCACTACCCTTCTAGTCCCAAGGACTTCTCGGTCTACTGCGGCGACCTATTTTAGTTAGTACACCTAGGTAGCCGACAAATCCAAAACACTACATTGGAGCTTGATGGAGCTTGACCTCTCAATCCAGTACCAAGACCTCTTGACCAAGTGCCTTGCTCACAGTTGTTGCAACTAATGCAAATAAGTCAATATCCCAAGACGTGACGTCTCCAGGTATGCTCGAGTCATGCGGCAAGTACTGCCGACATTCGCGTAAACCTTCGTGACTACACTAGCTCCAACAAATGCCCACCTGCATCTCCCAGAATTTATCAACCACCAAATCCACAGTCATTTGTGCCGGATCAGCCGGAGGCGTCACAGTGTGCTATCGACAAGATGTGACCTCGGCACCCCATCGGACCCATAGACCATGAGTTCGGGATGGGAAACCAGCGCTTACCACTTCGTACTCGCTCGCTCCACACAGATCCCAACACGCTGGGGCGACCGGACCATCTACACGAGCTTTCGAACTTTCTCCTTTGACTGCAAACACAAAGAATTGCAGCTTTGCGTAATCCACAAATCTTTGAGGGTGGACTGCGTTCGTATCTGCCTGCCCAGTCCGGACCCCAGCACTCTCATTCCATCCGCTCAACGTCAAACAAACCTGAAGTACCGGGCGCAATCCTGCCGATCCTTTGGTTCAATAAACTGCAAGGCTGCACGCGGACAGCATACGCAACACGCGGCACTGGAAATAGCTCTCGGTCCGTCTTAAGGGCGCTAGCTTATGAAAGGGGAACTGGTTGGCGACTTTGACTTTTCGTACCTGCAGGGTCCGTCCCGTGTGGCGCTGTGGGGCGTGCGCGCGGCTGGTGGCCTGGTGGAATATCGGCATGGCGTGAATTGGTGCGTTTAGGTGAGCTTGATGGGAAGTTGGTCAGGAGGTGGCTGTCAGGTTGACTTCGGGCTAATTAGAGCTTGCGGGTGAATTGGTGGAGGAGACATGGATCGCAAAGTGGTAGCATAGCGGAGTCCTCCATATGGAGGCTTCCGTGGGCACTGCCAGCTAGAACGACACCTCTACTCTCATCCGTTCAAGATATATCAGACTGCGGACGAGTTATTTATGGTGGAGTGGTAATGCTGTCCTGCACCTAAAAGGTCAAAATATCCGCTCGTCCAACCATTTCTCTTGTTTCTACTAAGTAACTATGTTCTAGAGCCAGCTTTTTCAAACGTCGCTTCTTTACTCCGATCAATTTCTGTCAAGAACTTACAACTGTTTACAGAACAGATTGTCATGTTGTCAGCGATTCGTCGCGTCTAACCACCCAAAGTTCTCCATGTCTCGGCCTGTGGCCAGTCTGCGCCTATCAGCTCTCTCTTATATACCCTCGTCATGCAGGTGTTCCCGACTTCCCGTATGCCTTCCAATAGTCGCCGTCGCTTGGCCTGCAACATGCAACACCATGCATGCCCCCACGTAATGTATGCTGGCTTTCACACGCCCTCTTCATTGATAAGCCTGCAATTCCGACGACAACTCTCATCTTACTCATATCAGCAACACATTTCAGACGACCGACCATGAGTTCACTGTCAGTGTCGTCCGCTATTGAGGCTCTGCTAAGCCTTCTGTCGCAACATCCTCTTTACCTTGTTGTTTTCGGGGCCGTCATCTTGTTTGTCGTCGGCCGGCTCCGTCAGTTCTGGCGGCTGAAGCAGTTTGATGGCCCCTTTAGCACCGGCTTTTCTTGGCTGTGGCACTCAAACGTCGTCCTCAGCGGAAATGCGCACAAATACTACGGAGACGTCACTGAAAAATACGGTGCGGCGAAGGCGATGCTGTCCAACAATCGCCTACAGTTATTGACTGCGTGGTAGGGACAATTGCTCGTGTCGCGCCCAATCACCTCATCACTTCGTCGCCAGATTTGTGGGCTCACATGAATGCCGTTCGCTCCCCGTATTCTCGTTCCCCATGGTACTATCACTGCGCACGCTTCGAGGCTGGTAAAGACAATGTATTTACCGAGTGTGACAATGATAAGCACGATGTCAGGAGGAAGAAGATGGCATCCGGGGTAAAGCATTCCGCTGCTGGTTGATATTGTACTGACAGAACGTGAACAGTATTCCGGGAAAGAGAACCCAACGCTGGAACCATCCATTGATACACACGTCAAGGAACTGGTACATCTAATTCGATCGAAGTATGCTACCCAGGCCACCTCCGCTAGTGCCTCTAAGCCAATGAATATGGCCAAGAAGATGCAGTATTTTACCTTGGACGTGATTAGCCATGTTGGCCTTGGTCAAGCGTTCGGAGACCTCAAAGAGGATGCCGATGTCAATGACTATCTCAAGGCAACCGAGGAGGGCCTGGCAATTAGCAATACATCATGGGCACTCGGCATTGCCTGGATACGCGACGTGCCAATCCTGGGGAAAGCCATCAGCCCAACTGAGGAAGATGAGCGGGGCTTTGGGAAGATGATGGCGTAAGGATTCACTTATAGTATTTCACAAAGAGCTTGGTCGTGCTAACGCTATCTAGTCACGCCCGAAAGAGCATCGAACAACGCCTGCTCAAATCGACTAGCGAACGCTCTGATATGCTTTCGTCCTTCGTACGCCACGGCCTTTTCGGCGATGCCCTGTTCCACGAGACCTTTGAGCAGATACTCGCTGGCTCAGACACCACGGCCGCATCCTTGCGTATCATCATGCTTTATCTAATGAGCCATCCCCGCGTATATGCTAAACTGCAGGCTGAAATTGACAGCGCGGTCAACGCGGGAATCGCTCCAGCTTCGCCAGGTATCATTTCGGATGCCGAAGCCCGGGGTCTTGTTTACCTGGGAGCCGTGATTCGCGAGGCCTTGCGCGTGCATCCTCCGGTCGTCAACATCTTCTCCAGAGTTGTGCCCAAAGACGGAGACGCCGTCAGGGTCGATGGCCAAGATGTCTTCCTCCCGGGCGGCACCCTGATCGGCTATTCCGCCTGGGGCATGCACCGTAACAACAAGGCCCTTTATGGAGAAGACGCCCACGTTTTCCGCCCTGAGCGTTGGTTCGTCGACGAGAAGGAACCTGGTGGAGCTGAGCGTCTCGCGCAAATGCTTAAAACTAATGACATGATATTTGGCTACGGAAAATGGCACTGTCTGGGTAAGGTTGTTGCTATGATTGAGATTCACAAAGTCATCTTTGAGCTGCTGAGGAACTTCGATTTTGCTCTCACTAATCCGAGTGAGCCGTGGACTATCTCCAATGCGATGGGATTGTTCGCGATTGGGAATATGTGGGTTGAGGTTACGGAACGCTCTTGAATCTGTCAAGGAGTTAGGGTCCTTATGTAATGACCATTTCTTTCTAACGACACTTCAATCATGATTCACTTCAAGTTTACCGCACCTGCATGTGCTGATTGGGGGTCCCTCCTCTCGTGCTCCAGAAGAATAAAGCCCCGAAGTCACCACCGGATGGCCGTCATGTACCAGGGGCTGGGATGCACGAAAGGGACGCAGCGCCCCAAGCAGGCCCTTAAAGAATTCGATGCCATGAGATTATAAGGGGCCCTTATGTGGAATACGACACCGGCTGTAGAGAGTTACGATAAGAACAGGGTCTACTTGCTGCGTTGCAGGACCTACTTGGCCATCCGTTCATGCTACATGGGATGAAGTCGATTGCGGAAGGAAGTATCATTGTAGTTTTCAACGACCTGATGTCACCAGCAATCAGTTCGCGGTTTTGAGTCAACTACTCTCTTCTAGCATTGTAAACGCTCTTCTTCCACCTCGCGGGAATATCAAGTCGAGGTTTCTAAGCCCCAAATCCTAATCAATATGTCCCTAAGGAACTCCAAGGATTCTCTACAGCGAATCTATCCTCAAAGAGTCCACCGTCCTTCGACATTATCGGCAAATCCACCACCTCCGCATAGCCCAAAACATCCTCCTCTTCACTCGCTTCACGCTCATCATCCCTTCCACCTCCCCCATCCCCATCCTCATCTCCTCCCAACTCCCTCCTCCTCTCCTCCTCCCTAACCCTCAAAACATCCTCCCACAACCCCTCCCCCACCCCCCCAAAAAACACATCCGTCCACGCCACCCCCTTCAACACCCCCTCAAACTCCTCCCTCCTCCCGAGCCCCATCCGCCCCACCACCTCTCCAATCCCCTCCACCCACCACCCCGTCCCGCCCCAATGCCTCGCCACCGTCGCGCCCACCACCAGCACCCACAGCAGCGTATGCACATTCCTCTCCGCCTCCCACACCTCCACCACACTCACGCCCCCGCGCTCGACCGTCGCCCGCAGCCGCGCGAGCAGGATCTCAAACACGCGCGCGCGCACCGGCACCTCGCGCAGCGCGGCATACAGAAAGATCTGGCCCGCAGCGACGAGCGCTTCCACCACGCTCGCGGCGTCGGCGGCGGCGTCGTCGCCGGGGTCCCAGCGCCCGGCGGCGCGGCGCGCGCGGTCCGGCCCCAGGAAGAGCGGCGAGCGGTCCGGCATGGCGAGCAGCGCGTACTCGGCCTCGTAGAGCAGGTTTGCGAGGGCCAGCTTGGCGACGCGGGCGGCCCAGGCCGAGGACGTGGCCAGGCCGAGGCGGTGCAGGCGGTAGAAGACGTTGAAGCAGTCGACGCCGGCGGTGGAGAGATGCAGCAGGCTGGTTGGGGAGGAGCAGGCGGCTTCGGCGAGGAGGGCGTCGGGCAGGAGGGCTTCTTCGGGGGTCGAGGGGGTGGGCGGGTGGTAGGGGAAGGCTGGGGGCGTGCGGAAGACGGTGGAGCTGTGGAAGTCGACCCTGTGGAGGAGTTAGTGGGGGTTTTGGTGGGTTGGATCTCGGTGTTTGAAGGGTATGTGTAGACTTTGGGTGGTGGTTGAGTTGATGTTGTTTGCAACGCGGCTGCTGGAGAAAGGGTCATTGGTGGAGTCTTGGGAATGGAAGAGAGGCACACTCTCAGAGCCACATGTGCCGTCAAGCCTCCCAACCAACGAAGAGGCAAGAAAAAAGCCATTGCTGCTAGAGCAGATGACTCAGGGGCTGCAGGCTCACAAGAATCCAAACGGGGCGAGAACAGAACGGCATAAACGCCACACGTACCAGACAAGGCCCCTCATCAGTCCATCATTGTGCGAGAAGGCTTGCAGGCCCCCACGCGCCGTAATCATTCTCTTCAGCGCGGTTATATGCAGTTGGGCTGCATCGTATGCCCCGTATAGATTCTTGACTGCATGAGCTATAATCCAAACATGGGTTTCCGTCACACCCTCAGGCAGGGGCTGGTGGAAGGACATACTTCGAAGCTGGCGATGGTGGCCACGGCACCTACCACCTCGTCTGATATCCCTTCCTTCTGAGAGTTAAGCTTGGCATTGATGCCCTTTATTGCTTCATTTTTATGTCTAAGTGCTTCAATTCGGAAAGTGATGCCTTCAGTAGTGAGATCATTGTATAATGCGACTGATGCTAGTGTGGAGTGAAGCATTGTGGCATCGCGCGAGATGAACGGCCACCAAGTGTTCCGCGCATTGACAGCTATGGAGTTAATTCTGAAATTTGTCTTGTCTGGTAGAACGGTTAGCCTATCAGTGCTAGAGGGGTTACAGTACCAGGCCATTAGTCTGGACACATGAATACAGCTTCTTGAGTCCACTTCTGGCAGCTATACGCCACTGTCAGGAGCAGCCCCGTTGTTGGTAGGGCCTTCAGCCAGCATGCAACTCAAACCCCGCCCCGCAAAACTTGACATCGCGCCTAGATTGCGGAAACCCCATGGGGGCACCCCTAGCAGTGGCAGAGTAGTGTGCACAGACTTATGAACTGTCACTGTAATTCCAAAAACAGAGGGCACACCACTGTTCAAGGAAGAGGGCATCTGCCAGAGTCTAGAGACAGGCCACGAGCAAGCCACATGCCTGTGCACACTCGTTTGCCACTGCTTGGGGCCACCCCATGGGGTATCAGATACCTAGACTCGATGGCAAGTTTCAAGCCATAGGAGTTGGACTGCCTCTTGACTAACTGGCTATTGGCTAGTTGGGGTACTCCCCCCAGTGGCGTAGAGTGAGCAAGATTGGAGTCAAGCGATGATAAACCTGTGTGTCCAGACTTATGGCCCAGCACTGGCAGTTTCCAAGAATGGGAATACTCACATAGTGTGAACAATAACTGGATCTTTGAACTACCTGGAATAGGCAAACAATCAAAGGGGTCATAGCGATTCCGAGGGGGCGCTTTGATTGGAGGTATGATGACTGCACCACCACAGGTTTGTGGCACTTGTTTCTTGGTGACAGTCCGTATCTTTGATTGCTTCGCCTCGGTACTTGGGCCGGTGACCACCGCATCTTGCTTGCCCGGTTTCCTTTTGGGGGCACTCCTTGGCTGCTTCTCAGGGGGTGTGACTTGGCCGGGTTTTGGGAGCCTAAAACGGCCTTTCAAATTGCCGCCGGCTTGAACAGTCAAGGAAGAGTTAATAGCGGAAAGCGGGATCGTTGTATTGGCGTACTTGTCATTGAAGAAGTTCCTCATTACTACTCGGCGAATCGTAGCCCTCGAAGCGCCCTCGGGCTGGTGAGGCTGGCCAGTAGTAACAAAGAACTCATATTCTCGGCCATCCGGTGCCCTTGTCTCTACATTGTGCGGTGCCAATGGAGACTCCTGATCCTTACTCGACTCGGACATTTTTGTGATCAGGTCGAGAATATTTACTGATCAATGACCAACCGGGACTCTTCCCTGAGCGGAGATCGACCAAATAGACAAAGCTTAAGGTGCAGGAGAGATTTGTAGGGAGTCGTTCTTGGATAAGTAACTGCCAGAAGGCGTAATTTCTACAAATCGAATAATGTGCAGACAAAATTGCCGTATGCAGGCAATTGTTGATTTCGAAAAGCCACTGATGTGTAAGCTGAGCCTTGCAGGGGTCTTGGATGCATGGTGGGGGCGATGGTGCTCACCTATATATAACCGACGGTCGCCAGTTGATCGTATCGTATTCGAGAGTCTACCTACGAAGCAATGATAGCCCCATCCGCACGAGCACGACTCAAGCCCGATCGGTTCGAATTCAAGATCTTGGCTTGACTGTTGGGTTAGATCCAAGTTCCGAAGGACGACTGGAGCTGGCCCTTGGAGGATGCGGCTGCACCTATATTGTTAATCCTTAGTTGGCCTACTGTTGCGGGGTGGCTTTGTTCGCCGACTCTCGGATATTCTAGATGCCCGCAAGTGTGATTAGAGAGCTGCATCGCATTGGCTATCCAGGGTATGCGACGGAGCTCCTGCTTCGTAAGCAAATTGGACTGCGCCACCGACTGAATGAATGGACTGGAATGTAACAGAATTTTATTCCATAGGTATCTATTCCCAGTACTCCCGGGCGCCTTACCATTAACGCCAGACTAAGTCTACATCGAGAGTCGACGATGTAACGTTCATTTCGACTTGTCTTCCCTTAAGCTAACTATTTGGTTGAGAACAATGTTATCATCTTCCTTCTCGGGATCGATGCAGAAGTAGCCTGTCCGAAGGGCCTGGAACCGGACGAGATCGTCAGAAGCACGGCTCGGATTGACAGAATGCAGCTTGACGAGGTCATTCAACCCTTTCTCGATCACTGCATTCTTAAAAATAATCTCGCTGTTCGGGTTGAGATCGTCTGCCCAACCGCCTTCCTTCCAGTCGAGGGTGTTAGGCGAGTCAGTCTTGAACAATGAGTGGTACTGGCGCGCAATAACCTTGACAGCGGATGAGACGTCGACCCAATGGATATAAGTCTTCGGTTTATCCTCCGATTTGACCGCGCGGATCTCGGAAACATGACCGCTGGAATCCTTGGAGAACGAGACCGCACGGACTGCGAAAGGAACATTGAGCAAGCCAACCGTCTTGTTCGGAGCTAGTCGGAAGTACTCTGGGCTATCTTCTTCTCTGAAGTCGCTGCTGTCGATATAAACTTCGCGGGTAAATTTGACCTGGCGTTCGCCGGGGATGATACGTTTCGGGTCGTAGGGGACTGTCAACTCCTGTTCATCAGCCTCGGTGGCGTCTTCGATGATTACCTTGATTGGATCGAGTATGAGAGCTAGCCGTGGCACGCTGCGCTCAAGGTATGATCGGATGGAAGATTCCAGCCTGGTAGTCTGGATTTCCGTGAGGGCGTCTGTCACGCCGAGCCCCTCGACGAAATTGAGTAGGGCCTGGGCAGGAATACCGCGGCGGCGTAAAGCAACGAGTGTGTACAAACGGGGATCATCCCAACCTCGAACACTTGGTGGGATGACCTTCTTCTCCACTGTGCCATCGCTGTTCTTCTTCTCGACCGTAACTCCTTCGACGAGCATCTGGATTCGGCGTTTGGAGAGAATGGTGCCAGTGACATTCAGACGACCGTATCTGAGGCTTGTTAGCTGTGATCAATTCGTGAGCATATAGATGCACATACTCGCGCTGCATTGGTCCTTTCTCCTCCGATTTTGGCACCTTGAAATCAAGAGCCTCCAGAAGCCAGTCATATGAAACTCTGGACTGCTGGAATTCTGTAGTGCACATTGAGTGCGATATTTCCTCGAAGGAATCGCACAGGCAATGTGTGAAGTCATAAGTAGGGTAGATCTTCCACTTCAAACCGGTGCGATGGTGGTGGTTCTTTTCCACGACGCGGTATGCTGGCAGGTCCCACATCTGAGGGTTTCCTTCATTGGGATCCGTCAAGCTTTGCTTCATGCGGAGGTATGCCTCGCCAGGCGCGTAGTTGCCATCTTTCATGGCCCGGAACTCGGTCAAGGACTCTTCGATCGGTCGTTCGCGGTGTTTACAGGCATAACGAGGACCGCGGTTGTCGGGACCGCCGCGCTGGAGGTTCACTTCTTCTCCTGTAGTTCGGTTAGCCACTCATATGTTCCACGATGGTGCTTTTTTCTACTCACTTGAACAATGGCAGACGTAGGCCTTATCCCGGCGAATCAGCTCTTCAGCGAGTTCGTAGAGGCGGTCGAAGTGGTCGCTGCTGTATGTGATCTTGTACGGCTTAAAGCCCAGCCATTGAATAATCTCTCGGATGGATGTGAAGAATATCTCGTCCTCCTTGGCCGGGTTCGTATCGTCGTAGCGGAGGAAGCATACACCATTGTGGGCCTTTGCAAAGCCGAAATTGACAGCAATGGCTTTGGCGTGGCCGATGTGAAGGAAGCCATTGGGCTCAGGAGGGAATCGGGTCCGCACGGGGGTATCGGAAGGCTTCTCTTTGTAGACGCGGGCGAGCCATCCTTCCTCGAAGACGTTGGCGGGGGCTTTGGAGCTCGAGGTCGAGGTGGAAGTTGTCGCAGCGGAGGGTTCCTTGGGTCGGAGAGCGAATTCGGCCTTCTTCACAGCCTTTTCGGCCTTCTTCCTAGCCTTCTCCAGAGCCCGCTTCGACTCTTTCGGCGGATCCATACTGTTGTGTTGTCTGCGCGTTGTGGGAATAAAACTTGTTGGAGGGGCAATGTGATCTTATTCTATGTCTGACTCAAACTGACTCGGGTTGTGGCGCTCAGCCACGGCTTTGCCTTCTCCAACCACAGTACGATTCACATGCTTCAACGAGAACCACGAGATAACACACCGGTCTGTGGTGTCTACGTACACCTAGGCAGTATTTAGATGGCAGTAATTATTTGAAGGATTTCAGCCAAAGGAACCGAGTCAGAAGTCCTCTTTCACACACATTTACAGTATTGCCATACCCCTGAAACGGCTTCATGTATGCTTTTATTGAATTCATAACGCAAGCACTCTCTACTTTCTACTATCTGATTTCTAAGGTATTTAGGATGGAGCCTTGTATCCATCCACATCTGTGCTGTTGGTCTGCTTCTCAAACCTCTTCAGGCTCTCCCCATACTCTTTCAACTTGTTCGTTATGGCCGCATAGGCATCAGTGCCAACCGCACACCTCATTGGTGGGTCCTTCATGACTGCCAGCTCGTAAAAGACCTTAGCCGCTTTCACTGGGTCTCCTGCCTGGGTACCGTTGCGCTTCTTTGCATTGGCTTTTGCGTCAATGTGGTCGTACGCGGGGTGCTTGTTTTCACCAAATTGCATGCTTCGGCCAGCCCAGTCAGTGCGGAACCCTCCGGGCTCGATGCAGGTGAGTTGGATATTCCATTCTGGCTTCTGTTCCTTCTGAACCGCTTCGCTAAAGCCCTCTACGGCCCATTTGGAGGCACAATAGATGCTGTATGTTGGAAAACCTGGGCAGTTGTCAGAGGACTTCCTAGTAAGAAAGGCCGTCGGACTAACCAATTTGACCACCAACGGAAGTAACTTGCTGGATGCGGCCTCCAGTCTTTTGTTCGCGCATAACCTCCAATGCTCTCCGTGTCACGTTGATCAAGCCAAAGAAGTTAACCTCCATCTGGGTCCGGATTTGCTTCTCTGACAAGGACTCGAACTCGCCACTCAGACCGTAGCCGGCATTGTTCACAACGACGTCGACTTTCTTGAACTTCTTTAGCGCAGCCTCGAACGCTTTGTTGATGGAGGAGGTGTCTGTCACGTCGAGGTCCACAAGCAAGCTGTTGGTATCGTTTGTGCCGGGGAAAGACAGCGAGGAGGACTTTCGGGCGGTTGCAACGACGTAGTCGCCATTATCAACAACAACTTGTTAAACCAGATGAGCGAATGAAGACTTAATTTACTGGATGATCTATCTACGAACCTTTAACGAGTTCGGCGCCGAAACCCGTGGATGTACCCGTGATTAGGAAGACTCGTGGTGCCATTTTATTAAGCAGATTGAGCATGTATTAGGTGAAAGAGAATCGAAAGGATTGAGTGTTTAGAGGCGAAGGTAGATATATGCTCTCTTCTCCACCCAAAGTCCGCTATTTCCGACCTTTTCTGAAATCTATCGATGACGCTTTTTGACGTCGTGACGTCAAATGTGGAAGCAAATTTTTGGACTAAATTCCAAATCCATAGCGGATCATAAAGGTAGACTGTGTAGACATTCCAGACTAACAGGTCTCAGGCAAAAGTATATTTGCACGTTGCGTTCCCGAGTTGCGGATGGAGTTTATTGCGCCGGAGTTAACCAACCTACTCCCTTTCAAATACCTGTGGTGATTGTAAAGCTTTACAGCCAGTACAAGCACTATCTAAAATCCCCGCAATGTCTACTCTAAATCCAAAAAGCACCTGTGCACACCAGATTGCTGGTGAATGCGTTCACCTGCCAAGCGACAGGGAAGCGGGCAGGCACTCACCAGTGTAACCATGCCCCGCGGTGAGTGTGTACAACTGTATGCCGCTGCTTAGGTTGCTTCAGCGCATTCGTAGAAACTTGAGCGTGATGGAAGCTCTTCACCTTGGGCGATTTTTGAAAGTCGTTGAAGCACTCCAAGCACTGGCAGGCAGATGTAGTTCTACACACAAGAGGACTTTTTGGCGAGACCCCTGCGCCGATCAAGAAACTACTATCGCAGCCGCATCACCTCCCGGCCTGCGACGATATGACCCCTCGGACTCCACGCTGATATGGATGAAGATATATCTGTCGAGCTTAGTTATTTGACTGAATTGCCTCCTATTGCCTTCTTAACTTGCAGAGACCTAAGAAAAAGTTCCGTCTACTCTATCACCGTGCATTCTCTTGCACAGAATAGCGGCCATAGGCTTATCCTTTCATAGGAACGTTAGCGCATGCAGGAGATGAATCCTAGCGACTCCATGGAATCTCCCTAGCGCAGTGCTACGTTCAACATCTATACCCTTTCGTAGTCCGTACATCCGCCTGACCTTGCAAGACGCCACCGAGTGTCTGCAAAAACGAGTCTGGATCCAAGTTTGCCATGCTCCCTTTCCATGTCCAATTGTAGACTGAGTCTTTATTGGAGCCCGCGAGAGCATCCCCGCCAGCAACTAGTACTAGAGCATGCGGGACGGGCTAGACTGTATTAAAGTCTGCGCCGCTGAAGAGGTCAGTCCATACGCTGCGATACTCGTATTCTCGACCGAGTTACATGAAGGTGCGCGCCTGCAGGATCAATCCGTAGGACTCAGCCGTGCTTACATAGACCCGCATGACGAAGGAACCCGTCACTCTGCCGGTTCTCAGGAGTATTAGTGGATGATGAATCCCTTCGATCGTGGATCAGTGTAACAGCGACCATCTCGCAGCCGCGGTAGTCCAATCCGGTCCGTTATTCACATGAACATGTATGCACAAAGCTGCACCGCGTGGTCTAATCTGCAAGGATGAAGTATAGAATCATCAAACGGCCTCCCTACACCATCTCATCATCACTTCAGAGCCCTGCTGTCGGGGTTTGTATCAAGTCTGCAGTATGTGATCTCCCCCACTCAGCGATCCAACATTGGCCTTCACAAAGAAGTGCTCGCATGAATCTGAGCTATGGAACCTGCGAAGGGCGGTTTTAGCACTACCTCGACAGCTCAGCCCTAAGCTTTGCAGGAAGCTAGATCAGAAGGCTGCGGTATTGCCTTGGTAACTATAGCCCTGACAGGGTCTGCAGAACTAGGCCAATGCTTCGAATGACTCTTCTCTTATTCTGCGGCTCATTGTAGATCTGGTCTCCTCTAGAGTCCCGCGGGCCATTCAAAGCATTCATTACCCTTCCATTAGGCATCCATTGAGCCAGCGCTTTCCTTCCTCTTTCATCAAGGGCTCCACCCGCGAAGCTAAGGGGCTGAGCTGTCAAAAGGTGTGTCAAAACCCCCGTTTCGTGGCTCAGATTCATGCGAACATGCCTTTGCGAAGGTCCATATTGGATCGCTTTTAGTGGGGTCACCAAAAAGGTGATTCCTACGCACAATGGCGTGTCGAAACAGTGAGGGTTGTGTAATACAATTCCACTCTTGGTGGTGAGGCTCACCGCCGTCACCGCGACAACAACCATCACGACGTCCTGTACAGATCGTCAGCCACCTAGTGATTTTGGGATGCTAGGGGTCTGAGGTGCGGCACGATCGGTGAGAAAAAGAGCTGGTTACGCCCGGTGAGCCCACATAGTCCAACATCATCTGTCTAGCCCGCTCTACAGTCGCTTGCAGAATCAGCTTCCTTTTTTTATGCACATCGTTTTCTGCGCACGGACTCCAAAGCAATTCTTGGTATGCATTTTATCTGGCCCCTTTTCACCTTTCGATGCTCGCTTTCACACAGAGTGGACAAATAAATTGTATTAATCAGAGACTTGGAGGTTCATGCTCCGCAGCACAAACTTATATAAATAAGATCGATGACTATAAGCTGTTACAAAGATATTCCATTTTTTAAGGTATCTTCTCTTTCTCCTCCTTTTCTTTCTCGATCATCTTCCGTTCTGCTCTAATAAAGGCAAAAGGATACACAACTTCCGGGATGATAGTTACAGTCACCAGAGCAATACTCGGCCAAGATCCAACATACGCCCAGTTCTGAGGCACGTTAAGATACCGCCAGATAAATACACTAATAGCAGTAAGGATGCCAGAGAATCTTGCGACCCTATAGAGAAGTTATTAGCATTATGTTCCTTATAGGCATATATAACTCACCAGATCTCCAGCGATTGCCCTTTAGTGTGCCCATGCTTCCATAGGTACAACACTGAGGTCCACCCGACTGGCAACTCTAGGAACCAACCCGTCCAATACGCGGTGACTTGTTCCCCATCATCTGGCAAATACTGGCCTAATGTACGGAGGAAAGCCACACCAGCGATTATGCCGAGAACAGAGCGAAGTGCTACTCTACGGCGCTTTTCCAGTGGACAAGCGTACTTAATGGCGATATACGTGAATCTCACGTCTAGGAGGAACCAAACAAGACATCCTGCAAGCTGAAATTTGCTGGATGCCACAATGAAAGGATAGTATATCTCATAGGCTAAATTGCCAAACCTGACACGCGTGTAAGTGAGTGATGCACTAAGGGTTATTATTCTCATACATTAAGTCGATGGGTCCAGCTAAGAACCTGTCACGTTTGGTGCGGATTGTATAAAAGATGTAGCAGAAGCAGTAAAGAATGGCGCATGATAATATCAGGAAGTCCTAGACGAACAGATAGCTCTGTGGCGGATCAAGGACTAGATCTGATGGTTGGACCAAAAGGTGGCGCTTTTCGAGCGATTTGGCTAGCGTGAATGGCATACTTAGGTAGTGTTAATAGTTCTCAGAACCGAAAATGAGGCGTTGTGTAAGTAGAGAGACAATCTGTCCTTAAAAGACATCGGGCCAGCGTGCTCTGGTTCCCGGAAGCTAATTCTGCAATTTCTGCAATTCACTGTATCTGCCCGCATCCGTGCATGGAGTTGCTTGCAACCCACCCACGTGCCACCGTATGCCCCCACCAGAGCGCCGATCACCCGCCTCTAGCCCCAAGCTCCAGACCTCAAATCCGTCACATCCTCACCAATCCCCCTTTCCCCAACAACACGCCACCATGCCCTCCTCCGACTACGCCGCCGCTACCTCCGGCGCACTCAAACTCAAAGGCGGCTCCGGCATTGACAAGAAGCGCAAGAAGAAGAAGAAGCCCAAGCCCGCCTCGCCGGCTCCCGTAAACCCAGCTACCGAGCACCAGGAGGACGACCCCGCAACCGACCCAGACAAGCTGCAGCAGAGGCAGGATCAAGGCAGTAACAGCGACCTGCAAGCCATCCTCGCGTCCGAAGACGCCTCGGACGCCACGGCGCTGGCGCAGGGCGTAGGCCGGCGCGAGAAAACCGAGGCGGAGCGCCGGCATGACGAGAGGCGGCGCCGGCGGCTGGACGAGCGCCTGAAGCGGGAGGGGGTCAAGACGCATAAGGAGCGGGTGGAGGAGCTGAACCGGTATCTGAGCGGGTTGAGCGAGCATCATGATATGTGAGTATATGTCTGGCAACCGTTTGAGTTTTTGGGATTGCAAGGATACTGACTTTTGTGGTAGGCCGAGGATCGGACCCGGGTAACAGAGGCTACTCTGTGAGGGGGATGGTTGGTTGTGGATGGCATACTGGTGGTTCTCTTGCGGCATGGGTAATGGCGTTTGGGCATTTGGGGGGGAATTGGGCCTCGAGCTGCAAGACTTGTGGATATCGGAACTGAGGCTTGGTTGCTTGCCAGCACAAAGCGCTGCTGTGACTGCTTCATCGTGTTTGTGGGTGCACTTTCCTGCAGTTGTCAGAAGCAATTCAATACACTCTCATGAATCCGAACTAGGTGCAAGTTCAATATTTTGAGCAAGCGGTAAAACTCAGGGTTACCATATCTATGTTCAACTCCAATATAAATTGTAAGAATGCTAATGCCATAAGTCTACTACCGAAAGATGCGATTACCCACTGTCGATATTAAGGTCCATCCAATTCCGAGGAACAAAACAGATCCATGACGTGCTTTGACCACCAGCCACATAACTGATGGAAGCAAATGTGGCAAAGGGCTTCCAGAAACAAACATAAAGTAACAATTCAAGATTTGAGGTCCCTCTTCTCACTTTCTACACAAAGTGGTCCGCTCGCTCAGGTCGGCTTTTCCCCTCAACCTCCACCATTATACGCTCACGAGCGTTCCAACCCCTCAACCTCATATTTGGACGTCACCATTGGTAGCCAAGCTAGTAATTGATAGCCACTCGACGATGAGGGGGTTGGTTCGACTCATCATAAGCGTCGGTGCTATAGAACCACGCAAGCTTCTCTTGGATGGCATCCTCAGAGTAGGCTGCCGGATCCTGAGGCTTGGGTCTGAATTCAGGCTCCATAGGGTCGATGAAATGAGTGGAGTTATCGTAGCCCCAATTGCCGAGTTGAGTGACGTTGAACCCAACTAGCATGCTAGACGTTGGTTAGAACGTTTCTTTGAACGCTGGCTTAGAGTGTAGTACTTACTCATGGTCCTCGTGAATGAGGTTGTGGCAATGGAACATGTACACGCCGTCCCATGGCGCGTACCAAGCGACGACCTGAGCGGTCCTAGTCTGGTCAGACGGGCGTACTCAGATGAAGTTTAGCGATCAGGGTTGACATACTCGCCAGCAGCCAGATACACCACGTCCTTCAACCCCGCTGCTTCATAAGGCAGAACCTTTCCACGGCCTTCGGTTCGTGACAGGATCTGGAAGTCGATGAGATGGATATGCACCGGATGGGTCCCCGCTCCTCCACTGTTATGCAGATTCCACACCTCCACAGACCCGCGTGCCGGTTTGGCAATGATGCGGTGTTCGATGTCGGCAAATCCGACGCCATTGATCTTCCAGGCGTCGCCGTCCCGCTCGAATTTGAAATCCTTGTCCGCTTTGCTCAAGTCTTTTGGAGGAAATGGCACCCGCCGGAGAGTCGATGGAACATCGCCATTGTTCGCTTGGCTGGAGACTTCGTTGCCAACTACAAATCGCATAACCTTGTCAGTGGCTGGGTAGTCTACAATCTCCGAAATGCCGACGCCGTTGTTGAGAGTGATGTTCTTGCCAGCGTAAGGGCTGAAGTCTACGACGAGGTCGTACCGCTCTCCTGGGGATATCTCTAGATCATCTGTGCTGACAGGGTACCCGAGGAGACCTTCCTAGCATTAGCTCACACATGTGCTCGGTAAGAGAGGGGCCTCCTCACCGGAGTCAGAAGATATGACTTGGAAGGTAACGTTTTTGTTGTCTCCATCGACGCCGAGGGAGAGTATATATGCTATGAGAGATATTCATCGTCAGTTACAGAATTTTGCGAACATTAGAGTTAGGTTATATTACTTCGACTGAGTGAAGCGTCTAGAAGTCGGAGCCGGTATTTTCGAGGTTCAACGTTAAGATACGGCCACGGCTGACCATTACTGTGGGATTATTAGCAAGTCCGAAGTCCTATAACTGTTTCTTGGTCGAGGGATTGGTACACGTGAATGATATCGCCCCAGAGGCCGGCTTGGTCAAACGACTCGAAATTCAATGTGCCATCGTAGTTGTAGTACTTGGCCGTTATTGCCAAAGGAACGTCGTAGTTTCCACTGGGGAGTCCAAGAGAGTCTTCCTCATCATCACTAATGATGTAGACGCCTTCTTGCCCCTTATAGGCATTGTCTGCAGTGATATACTCCGCATGGTCCTATATCAAGGTCAGCAAGCTCATTGCGCTAGAAATTACCCTGCCACTGGAGTTTTGATAAGATTTAAGACAGTCAAGAGCGACTTACATGGTACCACAGGGTCCTCGCGTTCTGTCCGTTAGGATAATAGTAGTCCTGGCTCAAATTAGACATGCTAATGAGGATGTGTTGCGTAATTACCTTGTACTCGCCTGGCTTCGTTGTGTCCGCTGCCCATCCATCAAAAGGCGAGCGGTCTTCAAGTCTCTAGTCAGCGCGAAGTTTAGTAAGTCACAAGGACTTCAAGACTTACCGTACTGGCCGTGGACATGAACCGAATTTTCAACATCCGCATTGTTGCTGAATCTGACGACAGCCTCTGTGAACGTGTCGGTAAGTTACAAGATCATTTGAGGCTGTTTCACAGCCCGTGGTATCAAGGATAAATAATCATTCACATACCTCTGCCTTTCCGCATTTGGAATGTTGGACCTGGAGACGTCCCATCGTATCCAACAAGTGGGGTCGCTTTGAGATTTGGGTATATTTGTTGCTCAAAAGGCTTGATTGTGACTTCGTAGTAATCGATGGTGGCTCCAGCAGTGGCGTTGGTCCACGTTCTGAAAGGCTTCATTAATGGTTCTTCTAGCAACGAGGGCCTTTATCACCTACGTCTTGACGTTTGCTGTAGGAGGGATGGGCAGAGGATATTCAAAGATCCATGTGTATTCTGGACTATACCAATCCCTTTTCGTGAGTGCACGGCGTGAGTCAGTTGGCAGTGCAGCGGCCAGCGTCTCTAATGTGAGGATGCCAAGTAGGAGAATAAACGATGGGAGGGCTGTGTTGAACATGGTGGGCAAAAATGAGATACGAGACCGGAAAATTGGGAGGCTCTTGCAGGCCCAAAACTCAAAGAAGGGTGTTGCTGGTAATGGGCACAGTTTGTCTAACTCCCCGTACGTAGAGCACACTTATACCTATCCCGCGGGCCCAATGGCACCGCCACTTTCTCCTCGGTGGACGTCATTTAAAATATGCCGACCGGCGGCTGCTTGCTTTTGCGGAAATCAGATGGTATACCAGGAAGAGGGATGTTGGGTACAGATCTCTGCCATTGCTGGGTCATTTGAGCGCCGCCACATTGGGAGATTAGATCACTGCAGGCACGGAAAGACGGCGAGACGGCTTTGAAGTACCGAAGGATCGATTTCTCGTCGGAACCCCACATCCCAGGGATGGAGGAGGGATGTGACCAAGAGGGTCTGTGGTCGTGAACAGCGAAAGCGCACTAGTGTTGATTTTCTTGTACTCCCTGATCAGCCACGCGCAGTCTGTGAGTGAGACCCGCATATGGGAAAAGCGATGACGGGAAGAGAACGATCGCTTTTAGCTTGAAAAACATGATGTAAGATACATAGGAATGTGCGCCTCGCAGTTGACGTTGAAAGATGAAAAATATTCTCACAATAGTCCTGCAAGCGGAAAACGCGGTGACAGCCAAAGATGAAGTCTCCGTTCGGGACCGAATGGACTAAGCCAGTCCGCCATGCAGTAACAAAGTTACACAAGAAGCTAGGGAGACCCATGGGATACAGCATGAGCCCGCTCGGGTATCTTATCGAAGAACGGACGCCGAGAATATCTGCAGGATCGGAATATTCCTTGTGGAAATTTGGCTTGCCTCCACCCAGGACTGTGGTGAGAATGGCGTTCCTTTGCAGTCCGTGAAAGCAGAGACACATGGCAGCAGTCACAAAAAGCTTGACACAATGTATAGTGCTGCGATGGCCAGAGCATGTCCTCCTGCAGGTGTAGTGTGCGCATCACCATGCGTGGTTGACGTTGACGAGCGGAGGCTCTCCACCCTTCCTCCGACTACCAATCGTTCTCCTCCACACGACAAAATTGTGGACGCACCTCATCGCACGACGCTCAGTTCGAGACAAAATGACCCTCGAGACAGTGAAGTTTGGCCGCAGTTCCGTCACCGAGTTTCGACGGGCGTAACACAAGCCATGTCAGGGAAGCCTCGAGCATCCTCATCCAGAGCTCTATTCAAGTATCTTCCAAGGCGGAATGGCTGTCCAATCTTACCCTTTCGCCTATCTGACTATCATTCGTCCCTGCATTAGGTGGGTAGTGCCGTGGATGGCAGCGAATCTGATGGATTTGCGTTCTTGCCAGTCACCTCTCAAACCTCACGGAACATGCGGGTGGCGGCGTGTCTCAGCTAGCGCCCTTCGGCCTGCAACTCCGTGATTAGAGCATGGCTGTTGCATCCGGACTGCAAAGAGTGTGCGCCACCATGAAGACATTTTTCTCCTTACTGAGTACCTAGTGTATTGACGCCCCTACTCTCAGCTATTTCGTGGAGTACCACTCGCGGCATTTTCTGTCGAACGTGGCGACGCGTATGTCACCCCGAGAAGGATGCAATGGCGCTGTGCCATTGGAAAGCCTGGCGTGCCCGTTCTCCATTCTCGTCCGAAGTCGCATCGGTGCCGTGTTTTCAGAAGGCCGATAGCAGTACGCTTCGGTGCTGAACTGCAGCAGAGACTGAAACATACAGCTCGACCGCGCTCAGAGCGATATCCTCGAGAAACGCCTCCAATGGGGTTCCTCATAGCGCAAGGCAGTACCTCGATAGTCTGTGACATCGCTGTCGTCATTACGACGACAACACCAGGATTTCCAGGTACTCCTGAATCTAAATGTCTCTGAGATGAAGCCAGAGAAGCCTCTGCTGTTACTGCCGGAAAGCTTGTCAGGAGACTGGAAAGCTTGTTATAAGAGAAAGACATACGACATAGCCCGGGATTTTGCCGATTCGACATAGAAAGTGCTGTGTTGATCCTCAAAAGACTGCCAGCTATCTCCCTCCTGATGCAAGCCTCCTATTTCTATAAATTTGCCTCATACGAGGGACTTAATATTAAGGTGGCCAGGCATAGTGACTTTACTCATGACGGAATGAACAACTTCTCCTATACATACCAGCACGCAATTCAAGAGCTATTTCAACTACATTCCTTACACACGTATTCATTGCTCATGCTGTATGGGGGTATCTATAATTAAGAGAATTTCAAGGCACACCAATGCCCATTGAAAAATCGCCACATGCCTCCGCCTATTGAGGTCAATCAGCAGTCGAAGAACCGATATGCTTTGTGAAAACATTGGCATTCCACCAGTGTTGTTGCTCGATTATGTTATCAAGCCGCTTTTGGGGTCGCCGATTTCCTAGGTTGAGTAGCTAGACCCCTCATCATGAGAAGTGGAATAATGTCAGCGGTCTTGGTCCGATTGATGAGCTTTCGGCACACAGGACACTGCGATCGTCTAGGTTCTGGGACGCCACTTCGGTTCTCTCCCGCTATCAACGCTTCCATGAGGCATGCGTGGCAGAACAAATGACCTGGGTTTGTTAGCACAGGAGGACTTTGCATAGGGTAAGCAGAACGTACCACACGAGGTAGCGGTGATATCCGTCGGTGTGTCCATGCAAATTACACATGTAAGCGTCGACATCTTCAGCGGTTTCTCGGCGGGGCGTTCCTGCGCCTTCACCTGCTCCAGCCGCTGCTTCTGGAGGGCATTCTGTAGAACGGTTTTGTCGTTGTCGTCGTCTATGAGGTCAACCTCTTCGATGGGACTGTCTCTTGTTCCTGAGACACGCGAGCTTGTTCCGTCATTCCGCCGGTGCCGCTTCGTGGAGGGTCCCTCGACCGATTCAGGACTGGAATGAAGGGCTGTATTGCGCTTGGGTGCACGTCGAGGATTCGGGGGTGGCGAAGACGGAGAAGACGGGTCGTGGGTGAGGTCTACATAGCCGTTTGGCAACCGGGCGCCCGACATGCTGAAGGCAGAGCCCGACGGTAATGCGGGCGAATGGGCTCTTGGCGAGGGAAGTCTGCGCGGAGAGGGCCAGGCCGGAGGCGAGAAGAACCTGTCTGTGCCGCTGCTGTTCGTGGGGTTCAGGATCGTGTCGAAGTGACGGAGACGTGAGGCGGTCGGGGCGGAGGCGAGGTCGGAGAAGGCGTCTTGGAAGTAGTCGTCGGTGAAGGGCGGCGTCTCAGGCTGAGAGCTGGACTGCGAGGCGGAGTGGTAGCTCGAAGAGTGGTGAAGGAGGGGGCGAACAGTGGAGGAGTTGGAATTGGGGTTGGGGAGACGGCGGCGAGGGTGGACAGAGGGCTGTGGCGGATCAGAGTCAGACATCGCTGGGTGTAGACTTCATGGAGCACAATGGACAGGAGGACGCTGGAGGAGCACCGGCAGACATTCGGCCTCTTCTGGCTTTAGAAGCATGGCATGGCACCCTACGTCTCGGCCAGCGGCGTGGACGTGCCCAGTGCAGAGTCCGGCTGAAACGCGCGCCCTAGGAAAGCACTAGAGCTGTTTCGCGTCAAGCTGGAGGTCAGCCCTCCCGCCCGCAAAGGAGGCCTCGACTCATGACGAACTCGTCTCCATCCTCCTCATTCATTCACCCACGCCAACCACTATCGCCGCCTCCCCACCCCGGCTTCGCGCGCTCTGCTATGCAGTGACTGGTGTGTCGCGCAGGTCCACAATGCGCAGAAGTCGGCCAGGTGTCGCTGCCTTCAAGCTCGTCACCCGCCCGCGATGCGCCCACGCGCAGCCCTCCCCTCTCTGCCTCGCTCGAAGAGCATACGCAGTCGCCGATGCGTCGCGGACAGATAGTGAAGCCGACTCGAGACACGCAGGCCTCGCCGGTGCGACCTGCCCGGCCTCTCTGCCTCGTGCGCCTGCTGACTGTTTGCTAGTCCCCACCGAAGCACGCTTCAACGAGATAGGCGTCCAGCAACTGAGCAGCCATGTCCAGGCCCAGATATTCCCGGGCGCCTCGACCTCACCTCCCCCCGAGCTCGTTGCTCTATCAAAGGACCACCTGAGCCGCCATGACTTGCTTGGGAAGAACCAAGACTCGACGCCCCCCGTGGGCTTGGATCTTCCTGAACTGCAAGGCTCTTCCCTCGATGAACACTTCTACAAGCTTGGGATGGATGCTGCGGAGCCCTTCTTAGGCCTTGCAAAAAAGTATGCTTGGGCAAACTCGCCCCCCAAGCCGCGAAAATGGATCAAGAGAAGTGGATGGACAAAGTACTGCAGCGACGGCACCACAGAAGCAGTAGACACACCGAACGAGAGCATGCTCACTTTTGACACTGAAGTCATGTACAAGGAGACCTCATTTGCGTGTATGGCTTGCGCCGCAAGTCCCACCGCCTGGTATGCCTGGATATCGCCCTGGCTTCTTGGAGAGACGGAAGATGATCGCCATCTGATTCCTTTGGGTGACCCTACACAGCCACGGATCATTGTCGGACACAACATTGGATACGATAGGGCGAGGATAGCGGAGGAGTATGACATCAAGCAGTCAAAAAACTCGTTTGTGGATACGATGTCTCTACATGTAGCTTCCAACGGGATGTGTTCGAGGCAAAGACCTTCATGGATGAAGCACAGGAAGTCACGAGAGCTGAGAGACAAGCTCGCAACTTCAGACGAAAGTGCAGACTTATCTGCTCTACTGGAATCTGGCGCGCTTTCAGAAGAAGAGGAGGAGCTATGGATAGGCAGGAGCGCCATTAATTCACTTCGGGACGTAGCGAAATTTCATTGCAATATCACCATCGACAAGGCTCGAAGAGAGTACTTTGGAGAATTAGATCGATCTGGAATTAGGTCAAAACTCGACGAGCTGCTAGATTACTGCGCTGCGGATGTCGAGATAACACACCGGGTCTACCAAAAAGTATTCCCCCTCTTCTTAGAGACGTGCCCGCATCCAGTCAGCTTTGCGGCGCTACGATTCTTGTCTGCCGAAATTCTTCCTGTCAACGAGACTTGGGATGCGTATCTTGCAAACGCAGAAGCCACTTATCAAAAACTTTCAACCGCAGTTCTGGAGCGGCTGGTGAATCTTGCTGAAAAAGCATTGGAAGTTAAAGGTAATCCAGAAAGCTACGAAAACGACCCATGGCTGAGCCAGCTGGATTGGTCGGGCCAAGAAATCAAGATGGTGAAGGGAAAAAAGAAGAACGATCCACCAAGGCCGGCCGCTCGACAGAAGAAACCGGGAATGCCAAAATGGTACAAGGATCTCTTTGCGAAAAATGACGCCCCGATCAGTATCACCGTCCGAACACGTATAGCACCTGTGTTGTTACGTTTAGCATGGGACGGCCACCCATTAGTCTGGTCAGATAAGCACGCATGGACGTACCAGGTTCCAAAGGACGAAGTGTTCATGTACACCAGTGCAGGAATAAAAGAGCTGGATATGTCAGAAGAGGAAGACTTGAAGTTACGGGATGACCGGAAACACGCTTACTTTAAGATACCCCATAAAGACGGGCCTATTGCTAGATGTGGGAACCCACTGGCTAAAGGATACCTACAATACTTTGAGAAAGGCAAACTTACTTCCCAATACTCGCTAGCGAAAGAGGCTTTGGAGATGAACGCCTCATGCTCATATTGGATCAGTGCACGAGATCGAATCGTGTCGCAGATGGTCATCTATAAAGACGAACCTGTTGGCGTGGTCTCCGCTAGTGGAGAGCCGAGCAGCAGAAAAACAGGATTTATTCTTCCGCAAGTCATACCCATGGGAACTGTTACACGGCGAGCTGTAGAAAACACATGGCTTACAGCTAGTAACGCTAAGGGTAACCGCGTTGGGTCCGAACTCAAAGCCATGATTCAGGCTCCGGAAGGCTATTGTTTTGTTGGTGCAGACGTTGACTCCGAGGAGTTATGGATTGCTAGTCTCGTCGGCGATGCGCAATTCAAACTGCACGGCGGTAATGCCGTTGGATTCATGACTCTCGAAGGCACAAAAGCTGCAGGCACAGATCTTCATTCTCGGACTGCTGGAATCTTAGGAATATCCAGGAACGACGCGAAGGTATTCAATTACGGCCGGATCTACGGCGCAGGACTTAAGTTCGCCTCAACCCTTCTTCGGCAGTTCAATCCAAGTCTCAGTGAGAGCCAGACCTCTCAGACTGCACAGAACCTGTACACCGAAACGAAGGGCAAAAAGACGACCAGACGGACGCTGCATGAACGGCCGTTCTGGCGTGGAGGCACAGAGTCATTCGTGTTCAACAAGCTCGAAGACTTTGCAGAGCAGGAGCGGCCTCGGACACCAGTTCTAGGAGCTGGCATAACTGAAGCTCTCATGCGCCGGTATCTCACTAAGGGAGGTTTCATGACATCGAGGATCAATTGGGCTATTCAATCCTCCGGTGTTGACTACCTCCATCTCTTGGTCGTTGGCATGGACTATCTCACCAGAAGGTACAACCTGAACTGTCGTCTGGCCATCACAGTGCACGATGAAATACGATATCTCGTCAAAGAGGAGGATAAATATCGGGTGGCAATGGCATTGCAGGTTGCTAACGTGTGGACGCGAGCTATTTTCTCGCAACAAATGGGTATTAACGAGCTACCGCAATCGTGTGCCTTCTTTTCAGCTGTCGACATCGATCATGTATTGCGGAAAGAGGTGGATATGGATTGTGTCACGCCCAGTCATCCGGACAAGATTCCTCATGGAGAGAGTCTTGACATCGCGACGCTTCTGAATAAGGGCACTTTGGCCAGACTAGATCCAGCTATTGTACCGGAAGCACCACCGCAGCTGGAGAAATATGCGGAAATGTTTTCTCCAAGAGATCCTGTTATGGCGGCCGTCAACACTAGCGCTACTAGTCTAGCATACTTGAAAGCACAGATTACGGCCGACGACAAGGAGCTTCGAGATATCGTCAAGGAGACCCGTCCACCGCGGGAGTATACCCCTAGGAAAACTACTAGGAGGTCAGCCGAAGACAAAGAGATAGACCAAGGGATGTCTCGATCATTCCAGCAGCAATCGGCCCGCTTGATGCCTGTTGACGAGCCTTGGACAGCGCACAGGTTCAGCAAGAACTGGGAGGGGAAGCGGACGCCTGGCTGGCATCAATTGACCAACCAAAGCCACGCAGCGGGGTCGAGGTTTGTTGGCCGGCCCTAGAGTCAGAAAGAGGCAGTGTTGTACGTTTGTTGTTTTTGTGGATGACGCTGTATTGTACCATACGGAGGAGCGTTTTATTGGAGTTTCGGCCGATACGGTACGGACTAGGCGTTTGTTGGGCATCTTTGACAACGGCTGTACTCGTATCTCTGCTTATAGGGCCGTATCTTATTGTGTAGATATTTGGCCATGTAGAGATAGATATTGGGCTGGGTGGCGGAAGAGGCGGATCTAAAATGGTGGTTCAGTCACTGGAGGGCTGCAAAACATCAACACCGATTCAACAGTCTAACAAGAATCGTATAATCAACGTGTAACACTGCGTGGCATATATCAGTCTGTGTGCACTTATCTACTATAAACTGCGCTGGCATACACACGCTGGTCTGCTGGTATTGATTGTCTCTCGAGCTCGTGACATGTATATGCGTACACCCCGACGCTGTTTGACGTGCTGCAATACGTCTTCTCGTATATGGACGGTACGCAAATCGAAGCCGAGCCAGTAGACGGCAACACTCGTCGCGTCGCCCGGAAGATTGAACTCAGAACGACGATCCGGCGTCTTGCGTTGCAAATGTCTCGGTGAGGTTGCGTCCACGAGAGTTCTGAGGTTGTCTCGAGACTGGCGGGACGCGCTCCGGCTGCTTCCGGCCGTTGGTGCCGCATCTTGCAATTTGGATACAGGGTCGGAGCGAGAGCAGAGGTCGCTGTCTCTGGAGGAGGGCTTCGGGCAGATATGTCCTCCGCCTTCAGACGTGCCCCTCAAAACATTCACCCATCAGATTCACCACCAGATTCACAGATGCGCCCATGCGGCTCAGCACCAGCCCTACCGGCCTGCGCCGAGATATCTCCAATTGGCAGCAGGGTACCCGGGGATCGGCCAAGTGGCGTGTTCGGTGGTCTGATGTTGCTGCTAGGCCCCCTCGATGCTGCCGCCGTGGCCTGACATCGTCAACCTCCAACACCACGCAAAGCAGTCCTCTTTTCTCCCCCCGGTTGCTGACCGCTCCAGTCCTGCTCTCCGCTCCCGCCGCCAATCACCCTCCTGCTGCCAGCGCTGGCCCGGTGCGTGCCCTGCTGCGCGCTCCCCGGGTGCGGCAATCGAGCCCTGACGTCCAGCTTCAGCTTGCCGACTGCGTCCGTGTTGCAACCGTCCCAAGATCTCTCAATCAGCCCATCTCATCGCCAGGCCATGTGCTAGCCCTGCTCTGCTCCCTCTTTGGTAAGACTCCTGCGAAGTCCAGCTTCATTCATCTTTCTGTCTCCTCCATACCAAAACTCCGTTGCGCTCTTGCGCCGCTGCCGTCCGATCCAGCGTGCACCATGGACGAAAACACTCCTGACTGTGGCCTAGACGACGGCCTCGAGTTGGAGAGGGTGGCCGTACGTGCCCGTATCCAGCATTGCGCCGTGTCTGTCGACGCCTCTTTGTCCTATGGCTAACACCAAGTGCTGTCCAGGTCGGCCCATACTGCGTGTTTGATGACTTCAAGCCCCCTCCATTGAGCCCGCGCAGCCGACCCCAGGACCCACCGCCCTCTGACGCCGACAAAGCCAAAATGGACGAGTCGATGCTCTCCAATGAATACCCCTTCAACAGCACTCTGCGAGCCCCATGGCTCGTCACATCGGGCGAAGACATCCCTCTTATTGCTGCTTCGCCTGATGAATTTGCCCGTGGCGACTGGAACGAATGGATGCAATGGAACCCCGCACAGAACCAGGCCCAGCAAGACACCAAGCCCATGCTAGGCCAAGGGCCTGTTCCCTATCCCAAGTCAAGCCAGTCTGCCCAGATGGCTGCTCTGTACAATCGTCGCCAGAACTCGCAACTTCGCAACACTTCCTTGGAGCTGTCCCCGGGAGAGGCGTCTCCCTCACAGCTCATGCCGTCCAGCACTCTTCCATACTCTTTCAGTGGAAACACAGACAGCACTCCCGCCTTCCAGTTCCAGGGCGCAATGAGCTCGCCCTCTGATGGAAACCCGACACCCAACGGTTTCCTACCTACACCCCCAATTGGGTGGGACCAACAACAAGGCGACAATCCCATCTTTTCGCCTATCAACTTCGAACAGCAGTCAACACTCCGCAATATGGCTATTCCCCCGCGGTCCACTCCTAGCCTGCACCACAGCCCCGCATCTGCCGGCAACGTACAATCCAGCCCAGACACAATTCACTCGTCGCCAGAGCCGGCACCGTCCGGCAGCAGCAAAAAGCGAAAGTCATCCAGTGAAGAAGAGTCCGAGGAATCGAAACAGGACAGGCAGCCGCCCATCAAAAAGACAGCCCATAACATGATCGAGAAGCGCTATCGTACGAACTTGAACGATAAGATAGCTGCTTTGCGAGATAGCGTGCCAAGTCTTCGGATCATGTCACGTGGAAACGGCACAGGAGAGGAGGAGGATGACCCAGAAGATCTTGAGGGCCTTACCCCAGCACACAAACTCAACAAAGCTACCGTCTTGTCCAAAGCAACCGAGTACATCCGACATCTTGAGAAGCGAAACAAACGCCTCACCGATGAGCTCCAAGCATGTAAGGCACGCCTTGATAACATGGAGAAGATCGCCATGTCCGGTCCTCCGATGGGCATGAGCAACGTTGCCATCCACACGCCAGATGGAATGCAATACCACCATGATCCGTTTGATCATATGCAAAGAACACCGGTCTCAGGTCCCCCACAAGGAATGATACCTGTGCCAGAGAGCATGGCAAATCTCCACCGCGGAATGGCAAACCAGCCACATTATGCTCCACCGAACAGGTATCCTACATACTCCAATGCTCCACAAAGGTCCGGTGTACAAGGTCAACCGATCGTCAATGGTCGACAGGGCAATGGCATGATGGGTAAACTCATGGTCGGGTCGCTCGCTGGTCTCATGATCCTCGAAGGGTTCAGCGAGCGAGAACAATCTACTGATCAGCCTGCGGGGCGTGGGTTGTTCGCGATACCGTTCGACGTTATCAGCTTTTTCTCACCACGAGTCTCCGTTGGTGGTGTCTCGGCGCAAACCGGCGTCCTACCCATGTTCAAGCTACTACTCTTGCTTGGGGCAGTATTTTACATTATCGCGCCTTTGTTTGATTCGAAATCAAAGTCACACAAGAAGAAGGCTTCCCCCGCTATCACCTTATCTCCAGCCCCATCTCTCGCATCTCCTGTGGAGGTCCGGAGAAGTGCGTGGCTCACTGCAATTCAGACCGTCTGGGTTCCTCGACATAGCTTCCTACTAGAACTTGCGGCTTTAGGCCTGAAGACGTTGAAACTCAGCACGCGTAGAGTGATTGGAGAGGACTGGTATGCTTTTATCACAAAGACATCGATAGAAGCGGAAGCGGCAAGAGTCAAGGCGTGGGAGATTGCGCTTGACGCTCAACTGACTGGAGGAGACGCAGAGATCAACTTGAGCCGACTAGTGCTCACACTCATCGCCTCTGGAACATTGCCAGACACCCCGGCGCGCCTGATGCTCAAATCTCTACACATTCGGGTACTACTTCAAGAGCTCGCAAACATTGGATATGGCCATTGGTACAAGTTCCCAGACGTGAGCGCGAAACTAGCTCGCAGTTACTGGAATGCTGCTCGAGACGAACACAGGATCGCAAGCTGTACCCCGAAGGACCGTTGCCAGGTTGAACCTCTTCCTCCCCATCTCGCGGCGCTGATCGAGAGAGAATGTGACGATGTGTTCGTGGACAGTATAATTCAACGCGCATACAATCTGGCTTGGAATAAACGAAGCGCCGACAACACGACCGTGGATGAGTCGATGGACAGTGTTGTCGAGGACTTTGCAATTTCTTCTCCGTTGGACGCCCTTGCCGCTTGGTGGTCAAGCTTCATCCTCGGGAAAACGCTTGCGGATTCGTTGGGTTCGGAAGATGGGGTGCTGACGGAAAAAGTGGAGAGCGGTTTAGAACTGGCCCTTCGTATTGCTCCTCCGACTTCCGGGGCGCAGCTGCGAGCGCTTGTCGCAAAAGCCGTACTTTCAGACACGGATCGTGAAGATTGTGTGGACGCAGCTTTCCAAGCGTTGCCGCAGCCACCTTCATCAACGAACCTCGATGTTGTCACTTCTCCCCGGGCCGTCCTTATGAATCTAGTTGGAAATGCACCAATAGCCACAGATATTCACAAGGCTTTGACGCTTGCCAAATGTCTCACTCTAGTTGAGTCACCTAACGAAGAGGCTCGACTCCGGGCAACATTCGTTGTTGACAATAGCCACCTTCCTGGATCGAAGCTTACTCTCCTCAGTTTTGTGGCCGCCTACAAGGTTGTTCAGCGCTTCATGCAAGAAGAGGATCTGCTTGCCGGTGGACGGCAAGGCCTCGAGCGTATGACTAGTTCTATGCGAGTGTGGATTGGACACGAAGCCGGCCGTGCCCACAAAATGTCGGCCAAAACCAAAGGCAAGATCGTAGAGCGTTGTCTGGAAGTCAGCAAGAGGCTTGTTGGCATGAGCGGAGCGGCTGATAACATCGATGCTGGCTATGTGAGCCAGAGCGACTCGGGCAATGAAGTTGAAGTTGCAGTCAGGGCTTGATGCTGGACTGCAGCATCTTTTTTGGTTTTTTTCCTTCTGTATCAATTACTTTCATCGGGACACTTCAGTGACACCGAGAGGATCGGCTTAAAATTCTGCATCGGGATGAGCGGGAGTTCTAATGAGCGGTTACAGAGCTTTGTGGGCATGGAAAGCGGATTGGGTTGGTTGGAAACAGTATCGGATACCCTTTTCTCTCCCTGTCTTAATTGGCTTCGATTTGGCTACTTTCTGCTGGTCGACTTTTGTCTTCTTGTTTTCCTTGCATCTATAAGGCAATGCCTAGATCCGGTACATGGTTGGATCGCACCATGGTCTGTTTTCTCTCGTTGCAGTCATGGGGTTTCAGGGTTAGGATTTCATAACGGCCGGATAATGATATGGGGGAATTATTCGGCACTCGGACCCTTCTTTAGGGACATGAATTCGCCGAGGTAGTCTGCCAGATCATTATTGATCTCTGCTCTCAAAACATAGATATTGCTCACGCTGTGGATGACCGACGCGCGGTTACATTTAGCAACGCCTCCAACATAAGTACCATCAGCAATTGGATGATATCCACATCTTCAAAACCTATTTTGCCTTTCTATTCTAGGATTTATCTTATACAGCGACAGGCATGATCTGAATTCGGGCTCGCTTCATCCTTCATATTAGCAACCATGCTATCTACAACTTCGCCCTCTCCTCAACTAGCCTCACCCCCGTCAACCCCTCCAACTCCCTAACCGCCCGCTCTGTTTCCCCCAGCACCACCCTCAACGTCCTCATGCCACACGCCCTCGCCCCCTTCAGATTGCTCCCAATATCATCCAAAAATAGCACGTCCCCCATCCCCACCGGGCCCAACCCCCTCCGCCTACTCTCCCTATCCAACTCGCTCAGCGCCAGCTCATAAATCCGCGCATCCGGCTTCCGCAGCCCCACGTGCGCCGAGCTAATAAACACATCGAACCGATCCCGTATCGCCGTGCTATCCCCCGCATGCTCGCCCGGGTCATGCACCAGCTCGTTCGTAAACACAACCCCCCTCTCATCCACCACGCCCTCGTGGAACGGTATCGTATTACTCAACGCGCCCATGACGAACTTCCCCAACGCGCGCAGCGCCTTCAGCGCGGGATACATCCACGGGTCCGGCCGCCGGCTGACGCGCATCATTTCCCAGAACATGTCGCGGGCGGCGATGGAGGGGGTGGGGGGTTTCGCGCCGTGGACTTTTCCGAGTTTCGATTGCTGGAGCCAGAACTCGTCCCATAGCGCGGGGTTCTCGAGCTCGGACTTGAAGGCCGCGAAAAAGGTGGCGTCGAGGACGGCCTCGCCGCGCTCGAGGCGCTGCCAGGCGCCCGTGGGCGCGGCGCGCTGGATGCTGAAGTTGACCCAGCCCGGGGGGATGGCGTGGGCGAGTTCATAGTCGAGGATGGCTTGGAAGGGGGAGACGACCTGTGTAGCACGTATAGTTAGAGATTAGCTGAAGGGTCTTGAGATTGAAGATGTGCGGTAGGTAGGGAAAGAGGCGCTTGGCTTACGCACGCAGACGCCGCCGATGTCGAAGAGGAGGGCTTTTGGCGGGGGGAGGGGGGGCATGATTGGCGGTTGTGGGAGAGGGCGATGGGATTATGGGATGCCAGGCATGTGTTTTATGGTTGAGAGCCGCGGCGAGGCGTAGTGGAGTGCGTTCATGGTGGGCTTTATGGTTGATGGTGTGGGGTTGTGAGGCCCGCGCGATGCTGTGGGGAAGAGGATTCCCGTGAGGTGAACCTCGGCACGCTTGAGAATGAGATTTCTTATGTCTGATTTAGATCTGAATTTATTAATCAACAGCACCGATGGGTAGATATTGTGTAAATGCAGTCAGATGGATAGGCGGAGTCGGTGTGTGTAGAGAAGCTAGACGTGCTTCTTCTCATCGCTATAATCTTCGAAAACATCGTTGCCCATGAAGCATTTCGTACAGAACCCGTTTCCCGATCTAAACGCCAGGAATGCATCTATCGGTCATGCTGATATGCTCCTTCTTGACGCTGACGCTGAAGTTTAATCAAATCCGGCCGATGCATGCAAGAATGCTTCCGTCACATACCCATAAACCCCTGATGAACCAGGTCCGTCCCATCCGATGCAAACAACGCCCCATTACCAAAACCTCCCGCGCCTCAAATCAAAGAATTAGACAATAAGCAATTACACTCAACAATTAGCCAACTTTTCCCCATTGCATCTTGAAAAGACGGCAAGCCTACCTTCTCCAAATCCCTCTGCTGCTCGCTCGTCCCCTCGATGCGCGAAAACGCGTGCACGGCCAACCCTCCGCTGAGCAGCCAGAGGAAAGGCACTGCTTGCTCGCGCACAGCTATGATAGTATCGTCAGTCAATGCAGGTGCGGTTCGAAGGAAGTGTACGTCACGTACTCGGCCTGACAGCGGCCATTTCAATCACCCTCGTCGCGCTACGCCTAGTCGCGATGTTGGAGTTGAAGCGTCTGAAGGCTATGCTCGCGGTGCGGACGCTTTGGGGGGTGAGGATGCGTGGCGACATTGTTGTGGAAGTTGAGGAGGGTGGCAATTGTTGCTTGACGCCAGGGGGAGCGGCAAATATGTGTAGAGGTTGAGGTTAACAGATCTACGCGTTTGAGTGGGCGTTCAGAGTATAAGAAAAGGCGAACAGAAGAGAAACAGCGCAATTGAAGAAGGGAGAGACAGAATGAAGGGTTCAGGGCAGGCGTCGCCTTGACAAATGGCCACAGGATGCCGGCCGTGTGACGGCCCCGGGAACTTTCGATCCATGGATTGGATGCAGGGCAGGCAACGCGCCGCCCCCTGACCATCAATCACCTCACCTTGCCGTCCCGCGCGCCACTCCTCAGTCCACACAGGGACTGCTTCTCTGCTTTGTGCTTCTTACGCAGCATGTCCGGGCCATTGTCACCCGATTCTCTTGTTAGTTTCGACGGCGTCATCGTTTAAAGTGATTCTTCTTTCTACTACACGCCGACCAGCGGTGACACATCACGACGAGGCTACATGATGGCCAACACGGGGATTGCTCGAGCCTCATCATGTGCCATCTTCTGCTAGATCTAGTTACAACATCGTTATCGCTGCGTTGCAACTCATAGAGTCCAAGCTTCCATGATGGTCAACTCCCACTCATGCGCTTGAGATCCTCCGTCAGTCCGGCGCGGACGTGGAAGCTACTGCGGGCTCTAGTTCACCAACTGTAGTCATGCACTCCATGACCGCCAGTGGCTCCGGCGCAATGGGTGGCACAACGCCTACTGCGAAGAGGAATATAAGAGAGGTTGTGAAGAAGAGCTTCTTAGTCACGTGCATCGACCATACAGGCTATCTTAGTAGCTAATTCCTTTCAAGAGTGTTGGGGCTAAGGAAAGCCTGGCTAGATCTACGCCGTGTCTAGCAGAAAAGATCGGAGGTGGTTGATTTTGTAAATTCATGCATCAACTCCGACCAATCCCTCCAAAGAAGTCTGAACCTGATACCTGTATTCAAATGTAGGTCCATCAGTCTGGTAAGACAAAAAAAACCCCAAGACACTTGCCACGCAGCGTCTCACAGCAAAAAAGACTCCACGCAATTAGATTCATGGGCATTTCCAACGAACCGTCGCAAAGGATCACCCCGGCATTAGGAGATGTGAGCACAGAACATTGTCACAAGTTTATAACAAGTTGGCTATCTGGCTGTTTGAACGTCGGCCGCTCTCGCGACGACGGTAAACCTCTATCACGAAAATGAGGGAATCCCCCCAACATCTCGAAAATGTTGCGAGCAAGGTAAGAACGAAGTTGGGCTATGGGGCTCTGCCAAAGGCACGTGTCCACCCCGTGTCTCTCCTAATTCCCAGTCTCCCCTTACTATAAAACCTTCTCCTCGGCTCCAATCTCAAGGACAGACAAAGACGGAACTCGCAGCTTTGACAACCCCCGCGAAACCTTCCCACCTTCTCAGGGGACCCACTAGCTGGTGGAAGGGTTTTGCGGAAGTGCGTAAATTCCATCATCGGAACAAACCTGTTGGATTATGACAATCACCTACAGCAATCAATGCTAGTAGTAAACAAGGCGCTTTCATGTACATAATGTCGCGTTCTATCAATGTTCAGATGCTACGGCCTGCAAACCAACAAAACCATGGTCTGGTGGAGGGACATCAACAGACGTCAAAATAGCGTTGAATAGGAGGGAGGGGGGAAAATCGACATGGAGAGAATGAAATGATGGATTCAAAGAATGGCGGGAAACTGCTGATGGTGTGGTGGATCAACTTCTAAGCACAAGCGTGGCTATTCGGTGAGAGGGGGTTTAAGAAGCTTTGATGGCGAGCAGCAAGGACGAGTGGATGCGGCGGAGATGGTCAGAAGGGATCTATGGTTAGTACTAAGTTTAGGTAGTGATGCCGATCACTAAAAGACTGGAGAAGTGAGGTTTATATAAGTCTGTCGTGGATGCTTTTCAACGCCGGAGATTTTATAACCGTTTTAGCTTTCGCTCCCTCAGATCCTTCCCCTGTAATTAAGCTAACTTCAAGCAGCTGCCTGGTTCAAACACATTCCGAGACTTCAATATAACCATGCGGGAAATCATCCAATACTCTAAGAAAATGAGGCAGGTGGGCGGTTTTCTGGTCAGAAAACCATTCGAAGTCTACCTAAAATCACCACAAGACTATTCCATCTGGAATATCGATTAAGCCCCTTCTCTTTGTCTATTTATACCTCTGGGGTTTTGCGAAAGTGACGTTTACTGGGGGGTTGAAGAGGGTTTGGATGACGATGCTGGCGGCGGTGATGAGCAGGACGAGTGGAGCTGTGGTAATGGCGGAGTTTCGGTGCGGTAATCGGGTTTTGTTGGGGGTTGTGGTCCTTTGTGTGTTTTGGGTTGTGTGAGTGGGTTGGGATAAGGGGGGAGTGAGAAAGGCGCTGCGTGGAAATGCACTCTGGTAGATTTCTCACTGGCTCAATGATAAAAGAGTAGCATATTTGCTTAAGACGGCTTGTGAGGGCGCCATGGCGATGGTTGGTTAGTAAAGTTACAAAGAGTTCCATATCTGACTGCGTGAATGTTTCTTGTAATAAGCGCCCGGCATGTGGGCCATGCTCTGGTATTCTAGCCTTTTCTAACATAAATCAAGATTTTGAGATTACCTTGATAGCAGAAGACTCGGGACGACCCTTAAGGTTATTGAAGGGAACGAAAAAGTAAGTAATATCCCGAAAATTTGCACAACTCACCCCGTGAAGTATAAACACGTGACTGTAACTCTTCTGATCGGGCCGACGTCGTTCCGACGTCTGTCTCATCACGACATTTGTTCCAAGAACCTCTTTACTCCTTACGTTCATGTCTTGTCATCCATAAAGCTCCGTTCGATCTTCCTACCTTGAGCCCTAACAGCGTGAATGTTTGTTTTATAGGCGCGGCGTGTATGCTGCGCTAAGTTCGTGCAGCTAGCTGGAACTACCATACACAACACCACATACAATGCATGTCCTATCTTCCTGCATAGTAGGTACCAAATCCTTAAATCGCGTTGCGGGACCGGTCGGCATGTTTGACAGAGCTCCATGCAGTGCTCCATCAGACCTATAAGTACCTCAGCCAAGGTCTTCTCAATTATTTTCCTCTCTCCTCTCTGCTCTTCAACATCCTCAAGTCATGCTTGCACGCTGCAGGTCTACTACACTCCTTAGGCATGCTACATTCCTCAATTCTACCGCACCTTTCAGACCCACTATTCTTCCCCTTTCTTGGCCCATCACATCTCTTGAGCGCCGCACTCGCCATACGATGTCAACTCTCACGCAAGACGCCGATCTATCCCAAACCCCGCTATACCGCTCCATATTCGACCACTTCCAGCGCCTCCACGGCCCAGCATTGGACCGCATCAGTGACGCCGCCGAGCCCACAGCTTGCCCAAGCCGCCCATTACTAGCCTTCACCGGTAGCGTGCGTTCGTCGCTAGATACGGGCCCTATACAGCGCGTCTGAATCGTCGACGCCGCCACGGGCACGCTCACCTCGATCCAGCACGGCGCCAACAACGCACGCAGTCCGCAATGGGCCTGTGATGGCCGCCGCCTGGCGCTGCTCAGCGACGGCGCCGACGCGGGAGTCTACCAGGTGTACCTGAGCGATACCACCGACGCAGCTGCACCTAGCAACTTAGCGCTCGTGACGTCGCTCCCTGGCACGGCGGAGGCTCTCGCCTGGAGCCCTGATGGCTCGTCCTTGGTGGTGCGGATGGCAGAGCTGGACGCCGATCAAGCAGGGGCGCTGGGGTCGGACGTCGCTGGCGGAAGAGCAGGCAGGTCATCGAGCTGGTCACCATCAGTGCACGCACGCGGCGTTATCCGCGGCTGTCGAAGCGCGTGGGTTGTCGACCTAGCGACACAGCAAGCGCGGCGTGTGAGCAGAACGGACACGAATGTCTGGGAGTTAGCGTGGCTGGGCAATGAGCAGCTACTGGCGATGGTGTCGGCGACGCCTGATGAAGACGCCTGGTACGATGCTTGGCTCGCAGCGCTCGACTTGCGCAGCGGCACCTGGCGGGAGCTGTACACTGGCTCGGCGCAGCTGGGACGGCCTGTTGCGGCGCCATCTGGGCAGGCTGCTGCCGCGATTGAGGCCGTGGCCAGCGATCGGGGAGGCATTGCTGGGCAGGTGCTGTTGTTCGACTTCGCCAATGGTGCGGCTGTTGTTCCACGTGCGCTCGATCTGAACGGCGTCGATGTTACTTATCTGTGCTGGACACAGGAGGCGCGGCTGTCATTCATCGGGCTTCGAAACGGCCACACGGTCGCGGGACACTACTGCCTCCAATCTGGGATGGTGGAAGAGCATTGGAACAGCCCGTTGACATGCGGTCCCCTATTGCCTGAGGCCGCAGTGACTCGTGATGGGGCCTTCGCCGTGGTTACTGAGGGCTGGGAGCAGCCTCCAACACTGTGCGAGGTACACCACGGGCGCACGCGTACTATCACAGACTTTGCTCACGACGGGACTGACTGGTTACGCGCACGCGTCGGAAGCATCGAGCGTGCTGTGTGGTCCGGGAGCGACGGCCTTGAAATCGATGGTCTGCTCTGCAAGCCTCGAGACCAGCCCGGACAGCATGCTCTTGTACTGAACGTACATGGCGGCCCCATTTGGGCCTTTCGAAATCTGTGGCAGATGCGTTCCCCCATCGTCGCTCTCCTCGTCGCCCGCGGCTACGCCGTCCTCAACGCCAACCCACGCGGCTCGATCGGCCGTGGCCCCGACTTCATAAACCGCGTACTTGGCGATATAGGCGGTGGCGATGCGCAGGACCTGCTCGCGGGCGTCGACTCCATGATCACTCGCCGTGTGGCCGACTCTTCTCGCGTGGGCATCATGGGCGTCAGCTACGGCGGCTACATGGCGGCGTGGCTACCAACCCTCAGTCGCCGTTTCGTGGCCGCCGTGCCTATCGCGGCCGTCACGAACTGGACGTCGAACCACGCCACGTCGAACATCGGGCGCTTCGACGAGCTCTTCTTCCGCGCCTCGCCCTACGATCCCTTGGACCCGTACGCGGCGCGCAGCCCGGTCATGCACGCCTCGAGCCAGCACGCGCCGACGCTGCATATTGCCGGTGCACTAGATAGATGCGTGCACCCGTCTCAGGCGGTTGAACACCATCGCGCGCTCTTGGATGCTGGGGCTGAGTCGGTGCTGGTGGTCTACCCTCAAGAAGGGCATGGCGTGCGCCAGTTTCCGACGTATTTGGACTTCTGCAGTCGTGTGGTAGGTTGGTTTGAGCGGAATATGCCCCCCACCGTGCATGCTTGAGCGGGGGCGAATGGGGAAGCATTTGTACGTATGACTATGAAGCTCAAGCTGGCGTCTAACATATCAACGATGGCGCTTGTTTCCAACCACAAACAAACGAATGTCGTCGTGTACCATTGTTGCGGAAAGGAGTGAAGAAGAGTGGAGGAAGAAAGGAGTGGAGAAGGAAAGGAATGGAGGATGAAGGGCGAAGTGAGGAAATGGCGTTGTCGCGCTACCCGAAAAAGGCACCAAAGTCGTCCAGCAGCAGCAGTTGCGTTCGCCACTTGGAATACTCTCATTGTTGTGACCTTTATGGCAGTCCGTTCCACGAGGCCAAGTCATTCGCTTCTTAATAAAATTATTGCGGAAATAAAATTATTGCGACGTGTCCCCATTCTACTAAACATGGCGAAAGCCCTTGTAATAACAAGAGCGTTCTAAGAACGCTAGGCAGATGTGCAAGCCTGGATAGTTAAGGCGCTTGCATCTCTACCAGAGCTAAGTTAAGGGAACGGGTGGGCGGTAGAGTTTATAGAAGAGCTTGAGCGGTTGTGGAGGCGTCCAACATGAGGCTGAGCTACCTTAGCCGTGCCGGAGGAACGTCTATATACAGCTAGGCTGGTGGCTTCATTAGCGCTATGTTCACCGGACACAGGAAGGTGCTGTATTGTGCAAAATATCGGCTAGTTACATTCCCAGCCAGCAGTGCCTAGACCACTAGACCCCGCACTTACGACCCCCCTACACTGGAAGCGCTGCGCTGCACTGAGGCCCTAGTTAAATACTTATTAGCTAGGATTAATTACAGCTTGCGCGCGTAACTATAGAGGTGATCCGGTCTAGCTTTAGTCCTGGAATTTTGCAACTTTGCGAAGGTGTAGGAAAGTGAAGAAAACCAACGTCTCTGGGATATTGACTAGCTTATTCCAAGCGGCATGACTTCGGAGCATTATGTCAATGAAAGCAAGCATCATCGGTTTCCCGAGGTCTAATCCTCACTCTCCCTCAACGTAGCATCGACACCAACTAGACTGCACAAAACTCCTCACACGCCTTACGAAACGCTTGTAGTTATTCTTACGCCGCCATGTCTTCTCTGTCCGCTTTTACGAAGCCGGAGCCCTACCATCTCCTCAGGTACTGTTCCCGCGTTTTTGCCGCATAGTCCTTTTGATGCAACCCTCCAACACCAGGAACTAGTTGCATCTCAACGATAACCTGGATATGGCAGCTAACGTGGGCTTATACAGCTATGGCACGCTCCTCGGAAGCACCCTCTTCCAATCCTTCGTCGGTGGAATCATCGCCTTCCGCGTCTTGCCTCGGCCGCAATTCTCCGTCCTCCAATCGCACATCTTTCCCGTATACTTCACGATGCAGACCGCTCTGCCAGTAGTGCTTGCATTGACTTACTCCGGTGGTCCCAAGCTGTTGACGCAGCAGACACTTCCGGCATCACTCATAGGGACTATGATCGTCACTGGCGTGATCAACTGGGTATGGATAGGCCCTGAAACAACCAAATGTATGAAGGAGCGGAAACACCAGGAGACGCGCGATGGAAAGAAGAGCTATGATGCCGGCCCACATAGTGCGGAAATGCAGCGGCTGAACAAGCGTTTTGGGACCCTTCATGGCGTGAGCAGCTTGCTAAACTTGGCTGCGTTCATTTCCACGATTTGGTACGGTTTTGTACTTGGGGAGCGGCTATAGTCTCGAGCTGCAAATTGGCGGTATCATATACGACTGATGCTTGTGCAGGCACGAGCAGTTTCGCTGTGGAATCGATGGATAGCTTATGCTTTCCATCACGGCGTCTCGCAAATCAACATGTCCATATTCGCTACTGTCATTCGTAGCCTCTCAGCCTCCCTTCTGTGCAATGCTCACTCCGGCAATTCTAAGGCGACCTCGCGCCGATTGGATCGAAGCCGCCAGGGACAGTGGACCCTTGCATGTCTCCAAACCAGCTCCTGCCGCTAAATGGCTTGGCTGACCTCAGCGCGGGGGTGTGCCAGGATGAATCCTCAACACCATCGACCTCCAAGACTTCCAACACACGTAGCCATCCAATTTCTCACCACCAACAGTGCCAGCCTGGCTCATCACGTAGCATACTTGCGAAGCTCTAAAACAAGAGTACTTCACTTTCGCTACTATCAGCAGCATACCTCATGGTCCTACAACTGTCCAAGCATCTCGTAGCTAAATTCACCCAGCAATGATATCAATGGCAGATAACACCGGCGCACGTCGCCCCACGCCACCTCCTCTACCTCCTCGTGCCAAGAGCGAGGCTGCACTCCTCACAGCTACCAGCGAGCCACCACCAGCCTACTCTCCATACTCACCCTCTATGGGGTCTAACGATCCCCGGACGTCGTCCACGCAGTCCCTTGTGCCAGTCCCGGAATCAGAACATGCTGGAAGGCGCACTCTACTTCTCGTCTATGTACACGGCTTCATGGGCAATGAGACCAGCTTCCAAAGCTTCCCCGCCCACGTCCACAATCTGGTCACCGTCACTCTAGCGGACACCCACGTCGTACATACCAAGATATACCCCAAGTACAAATCTAGACGCGCTATTGAGTTTGCAAGAGATGACTTCTCAACTTGGTACGCGGAATATTGAGCTTAGACTCCTGACCTTGAGCTAATGCTCAGTCTCAGGCTTGCTCCACATGAGTCTCCAACCACCGACGTGATATTGCTTGGCCATTCCATGGGAGGCTTATTGTGCTCAGAAGTGGCTTTGGTACCGCCCTATTCAACTGCCACTGGTGATGCCCTGCGCCATCGTCTTATCGGAACTATCAACTTTGACGTGCCTTTTTTGGGCATGCACCCTGGCGTCGTCGTTAGTGGCCTTGGGAGTATCTTCCGACCTGCTGACTCGCCAGCTCAACCTACAGGCAACGAAAGTTCCTCTAGAAGTGCTAGCAACGTGAATAGAGTGAACACATTCTTTTCTCCCAAGCCGTCAGATCCGAACTACAACCCTGTTTTCCCAAACGACGTCAATCTGCCAGAGAGATCAGGCTGGGGCAACGCCTTACACTTCATTTCCAAGCATTCTGACGGCCTCATGAATGCCACCAAGAGTTATGTGACTTCGCATCTCGAATTTGGCGGTACCATGGCCGATTACGGTTCTCTGAAGAAGCGCTATGCCCGTATTCGCGCTCTCGAGGAAGAGGACGAGGCTGTAAGGCAAACAGCTATAAGTAGCACCAGACCACCACCGCGTGTGCGGTTCATAAACTACTACACCGCTAGCACAGGCAGACCCAAGAAGCCCAAGTCTCCGTCGTCATCGAGACCATCGAGTCGCAGCTCTAGTAAACAAGGCGAAGAAGGCGAGGAGCGTCCGGTTGAAGCGGAGATGGAAGAAATGCACCTCACACCAACAACTACCAAGAAAACCCAGCCATCCCGATCGCCCTCTGTGAACTCATTCAAATCAGCTGAAGAGCACCGTGACAACGCAGTCCGCGCTAAGGAGTTGGAGGAACCGCGCTCAGCAACTTCGGAACATGACGAGGAAATGGACATGCGGCATATCGACTCCATGCCCATAGACGATGATGAACATGAACACATCATCGTAGAATCGACTGCAGATCTCAGCCTTGTCACGAGGCAGCAGACAACAGACTCATCCGCCAATCCGTTGAGCCTAGAAGACACAGCTATCACCTCACCGTCCTCAACCATGTCTCTGAGCTCGACCATAACCCTTCCCCCAATTCCGCCTGTCCCCGACGAACCCCCAAGCGTGGACTTCTCCCAATACACCGACAAAGACACCCGCAAGCTTGCCGAGAAGGAGCACGCCCGCGTCTTGAAGAACTACAAGCAGACCGTCAAAGACCGCAACGCCGCGATCAAGGACCGCGCCCAGTTCGAAGAGAAGATCGAGAAGAACCGGCGCAAGCAAGCCGAGAAAGCCGCCAAAGCCGCAGAAAAGGAAGCGGAAAAAGCAAAGAAGCTTGCGGAAAAGAAGGCTGCCGACCGAGAGAAGGAGACCCAGGAACCAGAGAAAGAGAAAGAAGAAGAATTCAGCTGGGAGAAAGTCTGGGCCGCCGACCGCGCGCGCGAGACACGGCAGCGCGACTACGAGCGCTTGATGCGCGAAGGCAAGACTGAGGAAGCGGAGGCTTTGCTTAACGAAGGGAAGAAACCGCAGGAGAAACTACCACAGGAGGAACCACCGCCCTCGAAGCCTCTCACACGGCAAAGCACCAAAGAACCTCTCACGCGCCAGAGCACCACCCACGAGCCCCTAACGCAGCAGAGCACCCTAGAGCCCACCACCCCCTCAGCCTCGTCAGGCACATACCACCACTCCACGACCAACATCCTCAACACCGACACCCCCTCCGCGCGGACCGAAGCCGCTGCCGCCAAAGCCGCGGAATCGAAGAAGAAAGAAAACCCGAAGGCGGCGGCGGCGAAGCCAAAGCGCGACAAGAAGTTCTGCATGCTGCCGCCCACGGACGCGCATGGCCGCCTGGACCCGACGTGGTTCCGCGTGTACATGGAGGGCGTGGACGAGGTGGGCGCGCACTGCGGGCTGTTCTTCGTCAGCGAGACGTACGAGCGGCTGGTCGGCGACGTCGGGGCGCGCATTGAGGAGTGGGTGCGCGAGGATATGACGGAGAGGTTGGTGAGAGAGTTGGGAGGAGCAGGGGCAGGGCAAGGGGAGTGATGGGGCGTGGCGTTGGAGGGGGACATGCGACCAGAGGCGATATGGTTGATTGAGCGGTGATAAGTCGAAGTAGTATTTCGGGCTCGGGGATCGAGTTCTTTTGTCGATCAGAGATAAATTCAAGCAAGGTCGAGAGGACTCTTTCGGTCTCTTATCTTCTTCCATTCCTGACAGTCCAGACGATTAAGCAAAGTTCGCGCAAAATCGAGAATCCAGATTCAATATATAGAACAACACTTGTAAAATTTCATCGTACGTAAAGGACCCGATAGATAAATAAAGAGTCCCGCCCAAAAAAACACACCGCGCAAATGCAGGACAAGATAAAAGGAAGTATATAACACGAGGAAGAAACCAAGGGAAAATGGGGTATAATCTTTCCGGGCGACCCAATAATCCACACGCCAGGACCCATTCCATTTCCATCCCGACACCCAAAAAACCGCCCTTGTCCTTTAGCTCCAGCGAGTCCGACACCTCTCGAAGCCCTAGATATCCGTAATCTGCCCAAAAGCGCCAAATGCTTATTCATGATACAATTAGAACAGGAAAAAAAAAAAGGAGATTTCAGAACATCATCCCATTCACAAAACGCCATATTGTAAAAGTGGCCAAACGGTACTCTAGAAATCCGTTCCCCATGCGTCGAGGGCCCCCTCGGCGCCTTGGAGCTTGCCGAATGTATTCTCCCAGGAAAGCTCGGACAGCTCTTTCTGGCCCTCGCCGCCCAGATCGAAGTCGTCCATGCCGTCGTCGAGGAGGCCGAGCATGCGGAGCTCCTCGCGGATGGTCATTTCTGGCAGAGGATCGCCAAAGATGTCCTGATCAAAGCCGTCGTCCATGTTGACGTCGATCTGCAAGTTATCCCCCTCCGAGATGTCCGAGCTCCGCGTCGAGGTCGAATCTTTGCTAGACTCCGGCGTTGTTGCGGGCGAGGGCTCTAGGGTTTCCAGGGACCGCGGTATCCAGGAGGTGTCCTCGATCTTGGGAGGCTCAACTCGCATGTAGGGGATGTCCATGCTATCGATCATTGCTCTCACTGTGTCTTCGTCAAACGCTATAGACGCCCAAGGGTCTGGCGATTTCTCGTGCTCTGTCGGCTTGATGGTGTCCTTGATGTCGGCTTTTGAGTTGATTGGCGTGCCGCGCGCTCCATGGCCGGTGCTCGGGGTCGCCACTTTAGCACCTGTCTGGGGCGTCCGCAACAAGTTTGTCGAGGGCGAGCCTTTTATCGCACTGGTCTGGGTGGCCACACGTGCCATAGGAGTAGCTGCAGACTGCGCCGGAGTGCTGACCTCATGCTTCACAGCCGGAGTCTGTCCAGTCTTCGCAGCATGAGGAGGCAATCTGCTTGGGGGAATCCCGCGGTTCGCAGCTCTAGCGTCGACTTTTGGTGCTTTCTCGTTACCGTCTTGGTCAAGCGCCATTCCTACTCTGGCGCTTTCGAGAGCAAACAGGAGAGGGTCCTCCACATTAGGATGCGCTTCCTTGCCATGCGCATCAAGTTCAGCCGGGGTATCGAAGCCACGGATACTGAAGTCGCACGAGCTCTCTGAGCACTTGAACGTGGGCTTTGCCTCACTTGGTTTCTCAGGGTGTTGCTGACGCTTCAGATCCGGTGTCATTCCCTTAGGCCCTCCAACATGGGGTGATGACATCGGGGCAGGAGTTGAGGTCTGGTTGGCAACAACATCCATCTTCTGCTTCTTCTTCGACGGTATCTTCAAGTTGCTAGGGTTGACCTGGGACTCGTTCAAGTACTGCGGGGCGCCTCTTGGGGACTGCGCGCCGAGCTGGAATGGCGGCCTGTCGGTCGTTGGAGGCGGTGGAGCCTTGAGATTGTTCTGCCGTTGGTGATTTGCCTGCTGCTCAACAATCCGCAGATTAGCTGCGTTCAGTTGCGCTTGCTTGGACTGTGGTGCCTCGGTGGGCTGCTGCTGCTGGGGTTTTTGCGAAGCAGGCTTCTGTGCGGCATGGGCCGCTTGCGCAATTCGGGGCCCTATCTTGGAAATGAAGGCTGCCATCTGGTGCAGGGCCTTCTGGAACGTGTCCTTTGTCACCGAGACTTGCTCAGAGAGGGTTCCGTCTTTGGCAAGTTGTCGCCAGATGAGAACGCGCTAATGCTTGGTTAGTCTGGTGATACGAAGTTGATAGGGGCTCAACTTACTGTCTCCATCATTTGCCTTACTACTCGCTTATTGTTGTCCGTCGTCTCGGCGTATACCATAAAGTATTTGAGACAAGGGTCCATCTTCTTAATATGTGCGATATGGTCAGAGATCCATTGCTGCATCTGGGCTCGGTCCTGTGGCGAGAGGGACACTGGTGCCTCTCGTGGAAGCGTGTTCGTAACTTCTGCCAACAGTGTTTGAAACTGGGGTTCAGATTGGATATTGATACTTTGGCCAGCAGGAGGACCCTGTACACCGTTCGGCGGCTGGGCTCTATTGGCCTGGGCGCTAGCCTGGGCTTTCTGTTGCTGCTGTAATCGCATCTGCTCAGCCGTCAAATTGAGCGAGTTCTGCTGTGATCGAGACGGCACCATCGCGGGCGCTTGCGGAGCTGGCATAGCAGCAGTACTGCCGGGGCCAGAGACGTCAATGATTTCGTCGTGCGCACGCTTGACGCCCTGTCTGTTGCCGTTCTGATGCTGGGTGGCAGGTTTTGGCGGTTGCGGCACCCTATTGGGTAGCCGTGACGATGATGTCTGAGCAGGCGGCATTGGAGGACGGGGTGTTTGCTGAGGCTGCGCTTGCATAGGCGGTTGAGCTGGTTGAGCTGCCTGTAGTTGTTGTACTTCGTGCATCTTCTGAGCCTGAGTTACCCGCTGCTGATTGATGTACTGTCGGAGCTGGTCGTCACTCACACCCGCCTGATGCGCATTGAGCCTCTGTCGAAATAATTGAAGCTCCTGCGGAGTCACAGGCTGTAATGATCCCATGCCAGGCATCATCTGAGGTGCGTTCCGAGCTTGCATGGGCGGTTGCGGGCCTCCATTCGACACCATTCTTGCGAGAGGTGCTTGTCCACCGGGCTGTGGTGTTGGGGCCAGAGCGTTGTTGTTGGGCTGCGGAGGACCTTGTTGGCCGTTCATGCGCTGCTGCTGCTGCATAGAGTCCAGGAAGTGCATTGCTTGAAGCAGAAGCAATTTTTGTGGATCGAGATTCGGGGCCAGATTGGGATTGCGGCTGACCCATTCCTTCAACTGCGCCCATGTCTTTACCTCTGGTGGCACATGCTGCCTCATGGTGCCGTTCACTAGACTTTGTGGAAACGCTTTCGAGTCGGATTGATTGATGATCTGTGGGCTGCTCCTCAAGGCCAGGGTCGCCTGTTGCATTCTCTGCTGCTGTTGTTGCTGCTGCTGTTGCTGCTTGTGCTGTTGCAACATCTGAAGCTGCTGAGGATTAAAGGCAGCAGGGTTTTGCTGAGCAAGTCGCATTTGCTGTTGCGCGCTCAGATTCGCCGCATTAGCAAACTGCTGATTTTGCATACCCATCGCAAAAGCTTGACTGTTCATTGGCAGGCCATTCTGACCCATCTGGCCCATCTGGCCCATCTGTAGAGGGTTACCGGGAATTGCAGGATTCTGCGCTGGATTGTTCGGCCGACCCACGGACATCTTGGTGAGTATCGAACGAAACTGGTCGTCAGGAAGATTCATGATGTGCTGTCTAGCCTGAGGCGGAAGATTTGGGGGCAACAGAGAAGCTCTCTGCTGTTGTGTCATCGGTTGACCATTAGCTGCGGCAGCCCTGTTTTGGACCTGCTGAACTAGGCGGGCAGCGACCTGGGGATCGATTGCATTGGGATTGATGGGCGTCTGGTTCTGCGGCGTCATCTGAGGTACGTGTGGCTGTGGCCTTGGCTGAGGAGTGGAGCTGCCCTGTTGGCCGGGGGGAGCCATGGGCCGTGTGAGGAACGGCATTGCAGGACTCTGCTGGGGGCCCTGTGGCATGTTCAGGCCACCAACCTGACCTCGCAACATCATCTGCTGCTGAGCTTGTCCCTGCGAAGCTGCTTGTTGGGCTTGAGCTTGTGCTTGGGCCTGCTGTTGGGCCTGCTGCTGAGCGCGAGCTTGCTGTGCCTGTGCCTGCGCCTGCGCCTGAGCGTTCCGTGCGTGAGTCTGAGCCTGAGCTTGAGCCTGAGCTTGAGCAAAGGCCTGACGCTGGGCCATTCCGTTCTGGTCTTGGTTTGGTTGAGGCGGTTGACCTTGAGGCGCACCGTTGGGTCCGAACTGCCCCATGGCAGGGTTCGTATTCATGTTGTTGCTCGCGGGAACAACTACCTGGCCTTGGTCCTGCACTCGGAGAGCTTCGGCTTGCTGGCCGGCGAGTTGGGCGTAGTCGAAGTCTTGCCCGTTCACCGCCCCGATCTGGCCCTGTGAGGTGGGCAGCTGTTGTCCAGGCATCGGGTTGGCCTGGCCTGGCTGCATTGGGCGGGATCCTTGCCCGTTGCCTGGGCCTCGCTGCAACATTTCCTTTTGCTTCAGTTGATATATTCGGGCGGCTTCCTGGCGAAAGACGAAAAAGAGGGGGTCGATGCCACGAGCCCTGATCTGCTGGAGCTTCTCCATGGGTAGCATCTGCAGCTGCGCGTTGAATCGTTCTTTCGTTTCAGGGGTTGCCTGTGTCATCAACCTCTGAGCAAGTACATTGATGCGCTCATTGTCCCCATTCTGTCCTTGCTGGGCCCCCCGCTGCATGTTTGGCTGGGGAGCTGGTTGCTGGTTCGCGAACTGATTTGGGTTCTCGTTGCCCATGGACGACTGGGTTGCGTTCAGCGGTATCGGAGAGGCCTGCATCGGGCGCTGGAGTTGCGGGTTCGGGAAGCCTTGTGGCATCTGGGCGCCTTGGTTTTGCCGGGGGATTTGGAGGTTGTTGCCCATCATCATCTGCTGCTGGCCTATGTTGGTTCCTTGCTGCTGCATGTCGACGTTTCGCTGGCGGGCCTGCTGGAGCTGCAAGAAGCGCTGCCTCATGGTTGAGAGGTACTCCTCCTTTGACACGGACTGTTGGAATCGGTCGGACTCGGTGCGGATGCCCCAAGTCATGACCTCTTGGTCCGAGGCGTCGGGCTTGAGAAGACGGTAGTATGTAGACCTGCGGACGCGAGGGGATTAGCATGGGTGAAGCGTGCGAGCGAACAAGTTGGGGTGGAGGTGACGTGGCGGGGAAGTGGCCACGGCTGTTGAGGTGAAATGGGGAGCATACATCTGAGTTGCCAGTCGAGCTCGCTCGTCCGGTTGGCAAGCCTGCTGCCAGCCCGGCGGAGGAGGCGGCTGGTTGCGATAGTGATTCAAAGACGCCTGTTGCAGCTGCAACTGCGGCCGCATGCCGTTGTTGGGCATCATGTTGGCGAAGTTTGGGTTGTTCATGGCCGCTGTAGATGCTCAGCTGGGGGAGAGGACTGGTCCCGACGGCAGCGAACCGTGCTGGAGCGATGGCGCGCGGCGGGCACCATGCGAAGGCGACGGGAGGCGGAAGGGCAGCTGCACGGTCGAGGGAGGAAGAGAGGATGTCGAGGGAGGAGAGCGAGCGGCATGCGCAGCAGGGCTGGGCCTGAGAACAAGCGCCCGTGGCCGGGGTGGGTTGAAACCTCTTGGCGTGTGACAGCTTTCGCCTGGCCGTCTCCCATCTAGCACAGGCGCCGGCGGGAGGGCTGACCGTGGTTCTCGATATTGGACGCCGTGCGGCGATGGCGATGGCGATGGCGACTGCAGACCGGCACGGGGAGCAGGGAGGTTGCCAGGTGCGCAGCTCGAGGCCGCTGCGAGTTTCCTGCTGTGCGCCTCCAGGTGTCGTCGCGACTCCGGTGAGGGCGCCCCGGCCTCCACGCCTCACGGCGCTACTGTCCGCCCTCCGCTGATCTGGTCGATCTTGACTGGCCTGCTATTGCTGGCGACGCGCCTCAAATACCGACAAGCCCCCAGTACGCGACCGCTGTCCGCAACCAGAGCCGGCGCGGCCTTCGTCGCTGGCGTCTGGCAAGGGAAATGAACCAGTGCGTATCCTCCCATTGTGCTACCTGCTGTCTGCTCCCTACGGTCTGCTCATCTTGGGACGAGATTTGCGCCATTATGTGAGGACTAGATGCGCTATTCGCCCTTTTGCGCCACCATTTGGGGCGTCGCGGATTGCCACCCGGGCACCATTGCAGGCGGAAGGCCTCACGATGCGCTTTCTGTACGCGTGACTCGCGTGACTCGCGTGACTCGCGTGACTCGCGTGACTCGCGTGACTCGCGTGTGGGCTATGTGTTTGTCTACTCTACCAACACAGATCTCGAGCCACCTTCTTAGCACCAAGGGCGTATTCAGCGCGTAGAAAGGTACGTTCGTCGGATCTACAAAGGGACCAGACCACTTGTCTCTAGGGTCATATCGCGGTTGCTGCCCGAATGAGTGAAGATTTACGATGCCAAATATCTCGTCGCTCGTTCAGCACAGACACATATATACATATATTAGACCTTGAGCACTGCCCCAACCAATTCAACAGCCCATACGCCGCCCAGTACGCCCAATACCTTCACCAGCTCTGCCGTGCCTGATATCGCCTCGTTGTACCCCGTGGTGAACGGCACCTTGGCCTTGTTGTCCCAGAAGCTCTTCACGTGGACACGCACAGCCAACGTCGCAGCGACGTTTACCGCGCTGGCGAGGACAGCCGTGGTAGTCGAGGGTGAGGCGAAGACCAGGGCGGTTGCCGAGAGGAAGGACAAGATGATCTAAGCAAAGATTATTGTCAGCCACGCTGCTAAATCGATTTAGGCCTCCAATGTTTAGCAGGGAAGCTAAGCATGGCTCTGGCAGGCTAGCATACCGATACAGCTGCACTGCCTTGCGTGGTTCGCGTCTTATGGAGCTGCTCTGCTGCTGTGTTGGAGTATTGCGCTGCTTTCTCCGACTTCTCTTCGTACTGCCGCAGTCTGACGATGCACTGGTAGGAGTGGTACAGCCCGTACGCCGAGATGAGCGAAAGGGCAGCGAGTGGGAGTCTGAGGAGGGCTGACATGCTTCGACAACTGTTCCAGAGGAGGCTGGAGATGTGTGTTTGTGTTGATGGACACGGCCCGTGATCACCTAGGCGCGGTTCCTTGCTTAGAGGCTTGACGTCAGTGGGAGCTAGACCGCGATGCTGTAAGGCTGAGAGGGGAAAAAGTGGGTTGGAACAAGATGTTGCTGGTCCGAGCGTCTATCGAGATTTGTGCCCCCGCATTCTTGTAGGGCTGCTAGATCTTCGACATGAGGTTTGAGATCATCGAGATGGGTCTCCAGCTCACTGATATAAGTCTCTCTCACCTTCGGAAGGTCACGTAACACCAGGTAGTGCCTCGATCGATTAACCGATCTGCCAGCGCCCAATGAATCCTTCTCATTCTTAGGTCCACAGGCGTTTATTTCCATACGACGCTTTATGAGCCTCTTCCATATCATAGGCTCCCGTGTCTTTTGTTTTTTCAACTATGAAAGCAACCTGATTCGTTGCCATTGCTTGCTAGCGCCTCAATTTTCAAGTATGCGCCTTCTTAGCGTTTTGCTGCATCACTCACTTCAGTGACCAGATACCAGCCTCCTCCACGATTTCAATCGGTCTCTTCTCATCTAGTGACCTTCTCCCAGCCTCCAAAATAGCACCAGTAGCTAATGTGTTCTTCAACGTCGGTAGACCACGTTTGTCTAGCTCGTCCAATATAACCTTTCCAGCGTTTAGGCCGTTCACCGCGTCCACAAACTTCTCAAACGAAATGTACCCATATCCGGTCTGACCCGCGAAGTTGCCTTCTTCATCAGGCGCGTACTTCATGTAGAACCTAATTCTTTATCAGCATCGATTCAGCGAGGCGGATGGGCTTCGTATGGCTTACGGGTTGTACCACAGCAATCCCCCTTCGTCGTCGGTTACATCGTAACCACGCTTAGCTTGGTTCACCCTGACCTCGCCCTTGCTAGCCATGTAGTGGAAGTACTGATTCGAATGCACGCCAGCCTTCTGCGGAGCCGTCCAGCTCGCTGTATAGACACCCGTTGCGCGCTTCTTCGGGTCATCCTTCTTGACCCAGTCTACTAGCAATGTGATGGTATCTTCTGTACCTTCCGCACAACCGAGATCTGTCGCTATTCCCTCTGCGGCACTCGCTGTCACCTTGAGTGGCTTGAAGTCCGGTACCATGGACTCGTTCACGTCGATGTGATGGGAATTGAGATAGTACGAGATGTCGCTGTCCACACCAGCCCACGCTTTGAACGTTTCCAGTTGACTCTTCGGCTGGCTCATGTAGCTGTAGAAGTAGTTGAAGTCTCCCAGCTTCTGGGATCTGTACCGCGCGTCTGCGTAGGCGGGGTCGTAGCGCTTGTGGTGCTCCACATACACGAACACATTGTGCTTGCGGGCGGCCTCTAGCAGCTTCTGATGGTGTTCGAGAAGCTTGACAGCTGGCTTGGTAATGAGTACATGGATGCCCCGTTCGATTGCGTAGAGAGCAATTGGGTAGTGAGTGGTATCCGGTGTGAAGATAGTAATAGCGCTACCCTTCGGTAAAGCATCGATGGCGGTTTTGTAGGAGTCTGGGTCGCGTTTACCTTCTTTCGGGTACTCCTCGAACGCAACATCAAGGCCGTTGTAGACTTGCGAGATGTTCTTGTGCAAATGCTCGCCTGTGTCTGCTCTCAGCGTCTATTGGGTGCTGCCTTTGCATGGCGAGGTCTTACGAATCGCTGGGAACTTGTTGCCAGAGACGCCCACCATAGAGAGCTTGCCAACCTTCCCACGTCGCCTCAGATCGAAGAGTGTAAGTCCAACAACTCCCACTTTCTTGTCTGATCCCGACATGCCCCCGCCTACGAAGCCCGTCGTATACTCGCCGGTTCCGACCATCAACACTTCGAGAGGAGCCATGATTTCAGAATAGCAGCAGAAAGAAGGTCAATTGCGATCGTCAACCTGGATCGTGGAGTGTAAAGAGAAGAGTTCTGCTGAAGTGGGGAGCAGCGCGTGTCGACATGGCGCGTCGTGGGAGCTGCAGACGTCAGGGTTCGACGGCGGAGAAAACATTCTAGCCAGACGTGCCTAGCACCCGATTTAGGTACTTACCCTCTAGGGCCATTAAAGAACATTTCGCCGGGACTTCATCCGCGGCGGAAGTGGGTGGTGGGTGTGGAGAAGTGGGCGCGATTGGTGGAATGAATTCTCCCGGCACCCGAGCACTTCTCAACAGTCTGCTCTCATCACCGCACCTCTCGTTGATGTTAGTCAATTCACTTGGACAAGCCCGCAACATGGCCCGCGCCGCCCACTCGTGTGCCGCTCTTCGCCGCGCGCAGCTACTTAGTTTTAGCCTCCACTCTGCATATGGCATGTTCTGCCGTCCCCCAGCGTTCCCGCATGCGGATTAGGGCCGTGGTCGAGCAATGGTCGAGGAAAACGGATGGAGAAACACTCCGTGAGGTAGATGCGTAGTGTCGGGCTCGGGTTAGTCAAAGGCAACCCAATCCCGTGTCTCTCCATACAGGCCGCTATATTAATTACCGGCTTCGTTTACTGAGCACTGTATCTTCCCTGTCTCTCACAATCATATCCCTCGTCAATCTTCATTCGTGCCCATCAATCGCATTTTCCAACGCACCATCTTCCGCCAAATATCAGCAGCATGGCTTCAAACGGAGTAGCAAACGGTCACGCGAACGGAAGTGTTAATGGACTTGCCAAAACCCGCACGCCGCTTCGTCATGGGATATATTCGCCGACTATGACCTTCTTTGACCCCGAAACCGAGGATCTCGACCTGCCGACGATCCGCAAGCATGCCGTGCGTCTTGCGGAAGCCGGCCTTGTGGGTCTCGTCACGATGGGATCAAATGGCGAGGCTGTGCATCTGTCCCACGCCGAGAAAACCGCCATCACAAAGGCAACTCGCGAAGCACTCGACGAAGCGGGCTACCACAACGTCCCTGTCATCGTTGGAGCCTCTGAGCAGAGCATCCGTGGAACCATTGAGCTATGCAAAGAATCCGCGGCGGCAGGCGGCGAATACGTGCTTCTTGTTTCCCCAAGCTATTACCGGTATGCCATGGACGAGGCCGCGCTTTACGAATACTTCACAAAGGTGGCTGACGGCTCACCACTACCAATCATACTCTACAACTACCCAGGCGCAGTTGCTGGCATCGACCTGGACAGCGACTTCATCATCAAGCTAGCAAAGCACCCAAACATCATCGGGACCAAGTTCACCTGCGGAAACACTGGGAAGCTCACACGAGTGGCCTTGGCTACCAACGCCCTCACTGCGAAATCAGAAGGCAGTGGCTATATGGCATTCGGCGGTATGGCAGACTTCACCGCACAAACGGCTGCCAGCGGAGGCTCGGGCATCATAGCTGGGGGCGCCAATGTCCTTCCAAAGACCTGCGTCAAGGTCTGGAATCTGTGGGCCGAGGGCAAATACGACGAAGCTTTGGCGCTGCAGAAAGTACTGAGTAAAGGAGACTGGGTGCTCACTAAGGCGGCCATCCCAGGCACCAAATCAGCAATACAGTCGTACTACGGCTATGGCGGCTACCCCCGACGTCCGCTGAAGAGGCTGAGCAAGGAGCAGGCTCAGGCAGTGGCAGAGGGCATCAAGGAGGTCATGGAGGTTGAAAAAAGTTTATGATATAGCTTACAGTAGTTCTCTGGTTTCCTGCATCACTTATCGGTTAATAAATATAGAGCTCCTTTTAGTATCTGCGACATCCCTACTTCAGTTTGCATAGTCGTCCGTTGCGGATGAGAAAATTAGTTAATTGGCTACTGACATCGTATTCATGGACTGCCGCATCATTTCCAGCGCTTTTCTTCTCGTCCTCATGTCATCAATGTCCGTGATAGGGCATAATCGAAAACACACATCCACTACTGATCCTTCTTTGAATTAACCCCTGATGCAGCGTCGAGGCCCTCAATGATCTCAGCGCCAAAGACGTAAGTCATGTACGAAGACATGACGAGCCATATCCCACTAAACACGAACACAAGTCAGCAACGCAATTCATCCCAACGCAGTCCCGCGAACACACACACAGACAGACAGAGAGAGAGAAAGAGAGAGAGAGAGAGAGAGAGAGAAAGAAAGAGCCAACTTACTTCGTAGCAATATACAGCGGCACCAGCACCACCCACTCATTATGCCGCACATTCTTAAACCCCGAGCACGCCTCATTCAAAAAGTACAGCACCGTCTTGCTCGCCGTCATCACGCTCGCCACAAACGCAATCACCACCGCCCGACTCGCCTGCCTCCCCTGCACCCTCCTCCCCCCCGCAAACCACCCCTCGACCCCGTGCCCAAACTGCAATCCCCTGCCCCCTGCCGCCGACGCCCCGTGGTCGTAGAGAATCGTGATGTACAGCCCGTATCCAATGACCTCGACCATGTTCAGCCACGCCTGCGCCGCGGTGAACCCGTCGCGCGCCTCCCACGCCGGCCAGCCGTACACGTAGTCGATCGAGGCGTACAGCTCGTACGGCTTCCACAGCGGCCACTGCAGCGCACCGCCTGCCATGGTGTGCGGGCGCAGCAGGCAGTACAGCGCGTCCCAGACGACGACCGGCAGCGACACGAGGATCCAGGCGACGGTGACGTTTGAGGCCGTGTGCGCCCATACGGCGGCGGGGGGAGACGAGGGGCTTGCGGCGATGGAGTTGGTGAGGGCGCGCTTCGTGAGGGATTTCGAGGGCGTGGCGGGCGAGGAAGGCGTGGGCGATGAGGTTGAGGTGCGCGAGGATTTGGCGGGCGACTTCGTGGGCGAGGCGCCGAGGACGGCCGGGGGGAATTCGCGCGGGTGGTGGCGTGTGGAGACCATGGTGGTTGTTGTTGGCGTTGTGTGGTGTAGAGTTGATGCTGGCGGTACCTGTGGAGGGGAACGTGGTACCTGCGGCAGGCGGGGAGGTGGCTGGGAGGGAGCGGACCACCCCGAGTTTTGCGCATTCTGCCGTTCCGAGTAGCCTCAACGAGGTCGCTACCAATGCCGCTGTTGGGTCGAATCGCAGCACGCATCTTGTCCCAGACGCAGAACGGAAATACTATTCTCGGAGTTTGGTTCGCAGAAACTCAACGTCATATACAGTACTAGGCCACAAGTCTGCACACACGGAGTTATCACTTGGCTCCAGTCTTGCTCACTCGGCACCACTGTGAGGAGCGGCCCAGCTAGTAAGTAGCAGTAAGTCAAGAGGTAGTCTAATTTGCACTGCTTGAAACTTGACATCGTGCCTGGGTTTTTGAAACTTCATAGGGGTACTCCAAACAGTGGTAAATGCGTGTGCACAGACTTATGACTTGTCACTGGACTGATTAGTTAGTTTGATCGGGCGTCTTTTTCACATCGATCTTGAGTGCTAGCCGTAGTAATTCATATCTAGTCTCGCTATGCTAAATGTCACTTCTTGAAAATGCAGGGTGAATGCTAGGTGATCTGTTCGCTCTCTCTGAGAATGTCAGGCCGAGTACTAGAGACCCAGCACGCCGTTCTCCTAGGTGCAGTCCGACTGTAAGAAGACCATCTCTACTGCCGTCTCTTCCCCAACATCTCTACACCCGCACCATCTCGCCCCTCATTCTTCGTAATCGTTTCCACAGCCTTGAGAAGATCGTAGTTGATCCCTTCGCTCACCACACTATCCTTCTTATACTCTGGATGATTTTGGATGAAGTGTCGTATCCACTTAGCGGCGGTCCAGTACGTCCCATCCGCTCTCTTTCTGATCAAGTCGAGATACCTTGCAAGCTCGCATCGAGTCTCAACATCGACGTTCATGCTGTTGAGGTAACTTTCCACGAGCGGGATCAAGCCTGGGAACCCGTCTTCTTGGCCATTGATGACCTCGTTGATAGTCATCAGCTCATATTCATCCTCTACGGGACCTAGAGGCGTCGTCGGTCTGCTTGCAGTCGCGGGTGAGGCTGTACCGGAGACGCCTGTTGCTCTTGCGTGGCATGGTGAGAATGGGTTCTTCCGGAACCAGAACTTCTGTGACGACACCGCGTCTCTAATATGAGTAGTCTCCATGTTGTCGGAGACTTTGGTGATTGGAATGTAGAAGTTCAGGTCGAAACTCAGGATAGCTCGTGTAATGAGCACCATGAAGACCGAGAACGCTGCGTTCTCAAAGTCGGTGATTTGAATCTCCATTGGGCGAAACTCTACACGCCATCCTATGTCACTTCCTGGTGGGGGTGGCTTGAATCGCATCGTCTGCCAATTGGTGGACTGGAGGTTTTCAAAGTGGTCTGCTTTGTCTAGATCGAGCTCCTTGAGGTCCTCGGCGAATACCACAATGGGATCTCTGATGAAGAGATGGGCAAAATGAGTGGCCAGCAGGTCATCCATGCCGCCGTCAAGTAATCGCTGTTTGAGTTCGGAGTCGATGACTAGATTGGGGTCGAAATACTCCTTTCGCAGCCGAGCGTCTTGTGAGATGTATGTAGAGTTTGACGCATATCTTGACTTCGGGAGACGCCATCGATCATTCTTAAGAGGCTGAAACAGTGTAAGTACATGTCTTCTTGAAAGGGGAAAGTACTCTCTTGTTTACCTTCTCTCCCAGCTCCTCAGGGGTACGGTCATCAACTGCGCGACTAATTTGGTTCCAGCGAACATCGGTATCCACCAAGAATCCCTTGTACACAGGCGTCGCCGCAGTCAAAGCAAGTAGAATAGGACCAAGTGGGTTGAGTTGGTCGTACATCTTTCTCCCTTCTTCGATGTTCTTGGCTTGGAACGTGATTTGCAAGCAACAGCTGCCCATGCCAAAAGCCATGGCATCCATGTAGACGTGATTCTCTTTGGCGGCGCCGTTTCGAACATCGTCGTCTTCTGGCCACTGATGGAGATCGTAGTTCACGGTGGGATCTTTGAATGGCCAAGGTGTCTTCTCGTCTCTAAAGACGGGGACATTAAGCTCTACCTTTCTGCCTCTTCGAGAACGGATGTTCGCAGCCAAGGTAGGAAAGCGGATGTGAGGGTTCGCAATCTCGTCCGGGACAAATTGTGAACGCAGTTTGTCGCCAGAAACTGGGTACTGTGGTACAGTGAAGTCGGTAGTCCCCAATCGAGGATAGGTAGTCAGAGTGATAGGATACTCGGATGCGTCCATGTGATCTTTTGCCAACTCTCGGCTACGAGCTGTATCAGAATAGTCCTACAGCATGATCGATATTGGTGACTCTTACCGCCACTTCATGTTGTGCTCGACATCTAGAAGATCCTTAAACCCGATGCCCCATGGTTTCCCGGGAGTAGCCTCTAACATGAAACGGCCAAATTCCGGGTGAAACACCGGGGCAGTCTCTCCCCCTCTGTCCAGGTTAGGAAAAAGGAGATCTTCGATGGAGGCTGCACATGCTTACTTGACGTGGCCTCGTTGTACGTCTGGTACTCCCCCTCCTTGCTCGAGCAGTTTCTCATCCGCAGCCAATGCCGCGAGGATGTCTGCTTGGCGTAGCGACAGTCGAACCTTGCGGTTCTCGTCGTCGTAGCACACTACCAAGTATTCCACCTAGACTTCGGATTAGTTTCATGGTGCGTGGAACGAGACCATAGTAGCACGGAACCTCGTCACCCCAAAGCAAGGCGTCCCGCTCTTTGCCTTTTGCGCGTCGCCATATGGCAAGTAGTTGCTGCATTCATGGTGAGCCCGTGACTCTTGCATGCACGTTTTAGGATATGCAGTACCTCGATCCCCCAAGATCGTACGTGGCTTGCAACCTTCTTTGCCTCGGGCCAGTCTAGCGGGGTTCCAATAGCACTTCAGAGACACGAATTAGCGAGATCATGATGAACGGCCGTGTAGCTCTCACAGCAGACCCATCCTGGGTGAATATCAAGCGATCAGGCAGGCGGCGCAGATGGAGGGGGATCAAACGTGTATTGGCAATGTGGAAAGCCGGCGAACAAGTTGGGTTCCACGGCAGACAGGCCTCAGTGTGCACCTCAGGGAAGGCGGTACTCGGCAGAACGTGGACAGGTGGTGAATGCTTCTTGGTCGCGTCGGAGAAGATCGCCGGCAGAGCTGTAGGGCGTGGGAAGTCATGGTGACGTGCTGAATAATGCAGTTTTTTCTGCCGTGAGAATTCATAGCTAGGTCCTTGTAGCAGCGTTAAGTCGTTGCGGTCCCGAAATATTTGCGACAAAGCCGACTAAGGCCGGCAGCCTGTGACCTCGTGCCGTTGACAACGGTGGAAAAAGCAAAACACTAAGACGAGAGCCAACGACACGTCGACTCCGGAACCTGATAGCGTATTCGTCATGCTGGAGGAGAACAGCGGGCCCAGTGCTGCCCCTCTCGTTCAGCTGACCTCCTTCAGCCATGCACAGCATTCTCATCGTGGCTGCGCGGTCAGCAACAACGCAGAACAGTGACCACAGACACAGAACGCCTATGCACGCGATGAGCCTCTGGGCCATCCAGCGCTATAGGTAGGGCATTGATACACTCAAGATCCAATGCCACCCTTCCATGTTCTCCGTCAAAACCTCTCCCACTATCTAGGTAGCTCCGATTTACACCGAAATAGTCAGATTCAGCAGCAATACAGTGGCCTCCACGTGATGTTTAACCTACACGATTGAATCTTCATGTCAAGGTACTTTGCTTCATCATAGCATGTATTTTTAGAATATTGGAACCACTTGCCAGATTTCTGGTGTATGAGATGGCCTAGCAAGCTGCGTGCTGGCTTACCCCAATAACAGTTTATCTTTGATATTAACAAAAGCATATAAGGCCTTTCTCAGGCCTTGCACCCGAGTCCATGCCAGTCATAAACATGAACATCATGTTTCAGCCGTTCGTTATAGCTACGATAGCCATCCTCCAATCCTCCCGCCACCATTCCATCTCTTACATCTTACATGAGCAACACTATAGTCATTCCACCTCAATTCCACATTCTCACGTCTCCCCAAAAGACCCTAGCAATATCAAATATCATCCTCTTACAACCTTCACTTCCCACCGCTCGCCCTACCACCTTCACCTTCTCACCCCCTATCCCCCCTCCTATCTCCGGCTCGTTCCACCCCAACCGTCCCACCGCGTCTCCCCTCCCACACAGCAAACGCAACCATCCAGATCTCCCCGTCACCATCTTCCCCGTCCACGTCCTCCCCTCTCGGCAGCCACCCGCATCATGCGCCGGCCCCTTCCCTTCACGCAGACGCAGGTATCCGCAATCGCCCCAACTTCCCACTCCCTCACTGCCCCTTGACCGGTTTTCCAGAACCCCACCCATCTAACCCCACCGATTTTTCATAGCCCGACCGCAACTCCGGCTTCAACCGCCTCTGCCGCCGCCGCCGCTGCTGCTGCATCATAGCGGCTTCGTACATACGTGTGATTTCAGCAGGCTTTGCGTAGTTCTTACCTTGCATGGCACACGCGCTCGATCGTGGGCGCGGCACGCCGCGGCTGCCCTTCACTTATAATTGGTGGGGGAAGAGGGGGCCGGGGGGGGGGGTGGTTTCAAAAGCTCGTCCGCAGTGAGTGTCGGGGCTACGGCCAGCAGCCCAGCGGGTGGTTTCCATTGGTTCGGGCTTGTTTGCACCGGCAGCAGCGCGAGCGGCAGTGAGCGTGTGGAATGGGTTCAGCAAAGCACACATAATGGGCGTCCAGGCGTGGGGCGTCTGGCGAGGAAGAGCCTGCATCAGCCAAAAAGCGGGGGATTGGATTGGGGCGGGTCGCGCGAGAGAAGAGGCTCAAGAGCGTCAAGCTGGTGGACTATACTGTACTCGGAATTAGCCACACCAATGTCTTTTTTCACATATTTGCGGAGCTGGGGGATGGGAAAGAACTTACCCATCTATAGCATCAATCATACGACGTCAAAGGGGGGGGAGGGGGTTTTTCATCAAACACATACAGTTTCCACGAAGAAAATCGATTTGTTTTCATTCCATCGCGGATGATATACCAGAAAGTTTTTTTGCATCTGCCGGTTGCTTTGCTGCACCTTCATCCCGGCCCCCCCCCCTGCCACCACCCTCCCTTATCCTCATAAATACATTTCCAAAAAGCCAATTCCGTCAATGTCGTACAAAAATGTGCCCGAAAACGTCTGAGTTTCTTCTTTCCCTTCCCATTTCTTTTCATCGCCCCCACCTGTTTCTGTCCTAAAAGACACACCGCGCGCACGCACGCACGCACGCGTGGGAACCTGCACGCAAGAACAAGGAAAACAAATAGAGAGTCCCCAAGATGGGTCTCAGCTCCTGTAAAAAAAGAACGCCGCCCCGCCGCCAGCTGATCCATGGATGGGTTGTCGCACACACCGGTTTCCCGAGAACATTAACGCCCCCAGCAAAAAGAAGAACCGAGATGACAAGCCCGCCTGGAAGCGCGCCACAGTGACTCCGGGATATTGCCAAGATGCAATGTGCTGGTATAAAAACAAAGGCTGACGAAGACAATATTCGCGAGCCGGAAACGACATAAGAAATCAAGGTAGTAATATCGAAAAGGCGAAAAAGGCTTATGCAGACAACCACTGGCAATAACAAAGGGTCGGAAAGAGGACCTTGAAGAAGAGACATGAACAGAAAAGGCAGCTGAAACTGCCCTTTGATACCGCTCCTCAGCAGATGGATCCACGATGCAAGTGAAGCGTCGGGAGCTGGAAGAAGTCGGGTGAAAGACTCGGAATGTCTTAGTTGATCCGAATAGAAGTGAAAGTGTCCGTGTTGCTTTGTTGTTTCCCCTGCCAAGCGCCTTGTTGCTCGTGCTCCATTTGTATGTAGCGATACGGTCGAAGTTTTGCAGCTTCAATAGAAGCCCGAGAAACCGCGAAAGTCTTCTTCGTTACAGCTGGCTGGGTATAAGAAAGGGAGCGTTTGTTGCCTGGTTAAAAAGGGATGGCGGAGCACGCTAAAACGTGGATGCATGCAATTGTGAAGTCGCATGAGGCCGAAGAAATTATGCACCGGGTGATCCCGGTCCCAGCGATTTTGGTCGAAGGTTTGAACTGCCAACCGCAACTTTCCCTCCCATTTTGCGAGTTAATTTGGCGTAATCTGTATTCATATTAGCAGTCTACTTCGCTTAAGCCTTCATCATCAACTCACGTAGGCCACAAGCATTGCACAATGTTCTTGCTCCATCTGGTCCACGCCGCCACTCTGGTGTTTCCGCACGGTTACAGCTGTGGCATCGTCCAGGTGGTGCCGCACGCTATCGGAAAATCAGTCATCATTTACTTACACTCAATGGATCATCCAGTACTTACGCCACGTCGTCTCTTCAAATCAGAGCCGGTAAAACCCCCTCCGCCCTTGCTATCCTCGTGGTAGGGGTTTGGCTCATGGTCGTATCCATTCATTGGCTTGTATGGATCCCGTGCCTGTTCTGCAAGAGCATTTTGCTGGCTTATGACTACGTCTCGGATCCTTCCTAGCGAGTCTTGTATTCTCTGAGTGTGCTTCATCAACTCGTCTACTTCGGTCAAGGCAGGTATTGACCCAGGCTGGATACCACTCCGCTGGTTCTCATGAGACCGATCCATGTAATGCTTTGTGAAGTGCATAACTCGGTTTCCGCCATCCAACATCTAGGGGACGTCAGTTTTAGGATCGCTTGATGAAAAATATAATTCATACCTCATTCAAAGATGCCTCAAAATCAAAGGTATCCAGATGTCGCTTCACAGAATCTCCGTAAGGAGGTGGACCAGCTCGGCCTGCTCGTTTGCTCTCTTCTACCCGGCTCATGTCATCATTCCGCCATGATGGGGGTGGGTATCGCGGTTGCGCCGAATAAGGTGCGCCTGGAGGGTACACTGGACCTGGAGCACCGGGGGCCGGCGCAGAATAGGGTCCGTATTGTTGGGGGAATTGATTGTAGCTGCCGCCATAAGGGGGGTTCATTGGACCTGCTGATGAAGGGGCTTGCTCGTACGTAGATTGTGTTGGATGTTGAGAGTACGGCGAGTAAGGTATACTTGGCCGGCTGGCGTTTATTGGAGGCGATTGCGTTCTCAGAGGGTGCAGTGTTGGCAGCTTCGGATTGTGGGAGCTGGACGAGAAGGGTGGTCTTGGCAGCGGTTCCTGAGGAGGTGGAGGTCCAGCGGTTGAAGGAGGTGCCGGGGTGGTGTATGGACTCCTTGGGTGTGCGTAGGGGTTCGCTGGGCCCTGGTTTTGTAGATCTGAGGAGAAGGTCCTTGGCCTAACATCGGCGCCCGATGTCGCTGGTGGTGGCTGGTAATGCTGGGGAGCAGAAACGGGAGCAGAGGGCGGTGGCGCTGGATACGAAAGCGGCTGCCCGTCTCCCAGAGCTTCGTGTATTGACGGCAACGACTGCCGCGCGGACTGCCTTTGCTCCTTTTCGTTTTCAGAAGAGGTCCTGCGGGATTCTGGCGGAGATATTAGCCCAGAGATGGCACCTGTTGAGCTGGCGCCCGTCGATTGGTGGTTGCTGTAGGGAGGCGGCGGGCCAGGGAATGGGTACGACGGGCTGGCCATGGCCGCGGCCGAATGTTTTCTCTGATAACCGTCCTCGTCCCTCGTTATTTTGTCAGATTCCAGATAATTGATCGATGGCAAGCCGACGCTACGACACGGTTAGTACAGGCGGGGCCAAAGAGCGTCGAGAGAGGGTAGTTCGTGGGCGGAGACAAACAACGGACCTTTGCCTGGTGCCGGCATCCAGCGTTTCCATCGCGGGCTCGGGGCGGTAGCACTCGTTGCTCGCAGGCGTTCAGCGGCAACAGCGTCTCCTCGATGGCGGGGATTTCGGGCTCCACGGGATATGTAGCCTCCCGCAGCACAATGGCGCGGTGCGGAGAGCGAGCCTGAGCAATGCTCCTTCGGCGCACGCTGCCAACACTCCACGGTCCCCCGCTCGCCTCCTGGATCCGGGCAGCTTGCTCCAACTCTTGCGGGCTCGGGGGCGATTGAAGCCGGTGAAGACGTCGAGCGGCAAGGCGGTGCCAGGCGCGGTGTGGTCGTGGGGAGGAAACGGGGCGTGCAGGTGTGCAGGTCACGGCCAGGGCAGACGCGAGATGCGGACGTGTGGGGACGATATGTAGTGCGGTGGCTAGGAGCATCAATGGCTTCACAGCAGGACTTAGGACGTCGGCGCGCGTGGGCTCCCGCGGGTGTTCGTGTGGACGTGGTCGTGGAGGTGCAGGTCCCGTGATCGGGGGCGAGAGCGGGCAGTCTCAGGGCGAGGCCATGGTTCTCTCGTCGCGGTGCGTATCGTGGTGGGAGACGGCAGGCCGGGCAGCTGGGCGGCGATTCCAGCTAGGTCGAGGGCAGAGATGACAAGATGCGATCGGAGATGGGCCGCTCAGCGACCAGGGGGACCGTGGTTGAAAAGGGATGGCCGCTGGGCCCGCACAGCACAGCCAGGGTCGCGTCCAGCTCTGGAGTCGAGTGGTGAGGGCTGCTCAGGCTTCAGGCGCTCCCGCTGCCTGGAGGCTGCAAGCGAGGTCTTGCTGCCGGCCGTCGTCTTCGCCTGGACATCCACCGTGCGCCCGAGTGTCTGTGCCAGTGTGCCAGTGCGCCAGTGCCAGTGTGCCAGTGTGCCAGCCTGCCCAGTGCGCGAAGCAAATCGTGCCGTGCTAGCGACGCCAAATCGGCGTCCCGAACGCCCACGCACTGAGGCCAGCGTGCTCCGGGGCAAGATCATCGCCGCCGACGCTCACGCTCCACGCTCCCGACCGCCTCCATGCCGTCCAAACCTCCCGTGCCTGCTGCAGAAATATCACACCAGCGGCCAGCCGCACCAGGCTCGACACGGTGCGAGGCGCACTTCCTCAGCAGGGGAACCGTGGGCGGACGGCATCGAGAGGCGGCCAGACGACGTGCTGCTCCGGCTCGGCTGGGGCAGCGGGGGCGCACCCGGCAAGGCGGTCGAAATAGGTCGCTTTTCCACGGTTCGCTCAGGGTTTTAGGATCTCGATCTCCCGGCCCACCCACACGCCGGCGCCACACCCCAGCAGCAGCCTCCGTCGACGAACCGCGTCGCTACCGCAATCTCGAACAGTCAGTCATGCCTGGCATGCGGCCGTCGTCTGCTCATGCGTCGGGCCCACAGGCCTGACAGATCGTGCGGGGCTGGCCGCTGGCTGCCACGGAACGACGCAGCCTCGACTGCACGCTCGGCATGCCGACGACAGTGAGGTATGAGGGTGAGTGTGCGCGCGTCGCTTGCTTGTGCCCGGCAGCCCACTCACGATTCATGGCGACATTCACTGGCACCATATCGCCCCCAAGCCCACGCCCGCTCCTGCGACGACGCCCTGAGCCTCCAGGAGCTCGCATCACGCCACCCCTCGCACCCCTCGCACCCCTCGCACCCCAGCCGCCCCTCGTGTCCTGCGAGGGCGAATCGCACGGCAGCCAAATCGGCCTGCCTCATCGCAGCGCTATCCCGGCCTGCACGCTGCACCCGCACACACGTGGACTGCGCAACGCTCCATCGGCGCCCAGCACGGTGTGCGATGCGCTCCACCGCTGTCACAGCCGCCGAGGGCATAGTGCAGAAGATGCTGGGCCCGGCGGCGCAGCCCATCGGCGCTATCGACAAGTTGCATCCACCAGACGCGCCGCCGTTGCTGACAGCCCGTTTATCTGCCCAGGCGATTTATCCCGCGCCTACCACGGCCGCCGCCCCCCTCCCGACTCCATCAGGCCATTCGAGGCTGCCCGAGTGGGCTCGCCGCAGCTGGATTCTGATGACGGCCATGGGTGCGCGCGCGATCGCTGGGCATGCTCGGCCGGGTCTGCACACGCCCTCCACCTGCCTTGCCTGCCACGCAATCATTCGCTTCGAGCCGTCCGGAGACCCAGCCGTTCCAAGGTTGCTGCTGCTGCTGAGGGCGACACGGTGGCTTTAACGGCGAAGGCAAAGAAGCTTCGAAGACAGTCCTCGACTGCCGTGCTGCCCGGCCACTGGACGCCACACGCACACCAACATCTCATCTGATCGAGCCCCGTCCCGTTCTGGCGACTGTCCGCCGACCCGCGGCAGCCCTTGCGCATCAGTCTAAACCAGTCGAACGCGGAAGCATGCAAGCGGTGTCATCGGCTGCACCACTCCCTGCCTCTCACGGCGACGGCGTGCGGATGCAAGTGGGCTGGATCGCCGGCGAGCCTGACGCACTGCGATCCAGACGGCTATTTCCGAAATCTTGTCCTGAAATCTGATCAGATCCAGTGCCGTAGCCCGTCTGCCGGCCGCGTCCCACTGCTGCTGGGACATGTGCTGCTGCCGCTCGATAGCCGGGCCTGAGCCCGCATCCGCTGGCCAACAGCCATACCTTCTCCCCACCTTTCTTGTTTGGTCGGCGACGCTCCAAAACAGCATCAGTTGTCCTGGTCGGGGACGAGGCGCACGCCCTGGGCTGGGCGTTGTGACGCCACCTGCGCGTCGCTATGCAGGTGTTATTGACGGTATGCAGATGCGATGACCCCGTCGAGCGGGACTGAAAGTCGCTCCGTCAAAAGGGGGCCGCAGATGGACCTGCTGACCCGTGAGATTGGCTCTTGGGAGTGGCAGCCTGCCACGAAAGCATCCGAATCTTGATTCAGCGGCCGGTGCAGAACATGTCGCCTGCACGGTGCCATGGGATTCTCCGGGCAGGGTTCTCAGCTGTGTCCGCCACCAGCATTGGCACTGGACCCCGCTGACAAGCCAAGGCCTGACAAACCTGGGAAGTCTTCTTGCGCACAGGGGCCGCAATCTATCTTCTCTGCACGCACATTCAAACAGGTAACCGACGAGTCGACCAGTCTGCTTTCTCGCTCCTTCGCATTTACCCTTTCGTCAGGCCTTGCCAGCCGGACTGTCTTTGCCACCATTATTCCACCGCCGTCAATTTGCAAGCCTTTCTTCATCGAGCCTTCCCATTGCTCATCTCAGAACTACAGCGTCACAGCGTCATCTTTTACTTTATAGCCCTTGCGTGCGACTTCGCCACATTATTTACTTGACATCCGATTGTTTTAATCATAGTTCTTCATGTCCTGGATTTCTTAACTCCGGCTAAAGGTCCTCTCACGGTAAAAACGGTCCTTCTAACGGGCATTCTGACCACTGGGTTGCATTTGCATTACGAAATTTCGTCGCAAGAATATATCCCTGTCCACGTGCGGCGACATCCATAAATCAGCCTCGGCCTCAGACCAAGGATCTGGCTGCGAGAGATCGAATCGATCGTACCCCGGACGGCATACAAGTAGGGTCCTGGCCCTTGTAAAACCATGCTCCTTGCTCCAACAAAGAAATCATACGACTTCGGGAAACTTGAAGAAAGACCGCAGTCGCAGCCCGACCCTTCGCGAGTCGTTAGTGCGTTTCAAAAGGCGCCTGATGTCCAGCCACCTGTCTTATTCTTAGGAATGTCTAGCGCTACGAGATCTCGCCGGGTCTTTCACTGGATCTGATGAAGATCACCAGTGAACGATGCTCATTGGGCTAAAATCATCGTCGAATGCGGATAGAGGACGATTGTTATTTCCGAAACGAGAGCGCGGAGAGCCAGGGACCAAGGAACCTCCTTGACTGCCGAATACGCTGATCTTATACTCAAGCAAGGCGCATCGCTATACAATGGTTCTCGCACACTAAAAAACCCACTAAAGACTCAGTCTCCTTATTACTGATGACCACCTCCTGGCTTGGTTAACAAGATACAATTCCGAAAGTTAGCCCGAATCAGGGTCCGGAAATGCCTACATGCAGCGCTTATGGTTCCGAGGTTCCGTCGAAACATCCCAGGTAGTGGTCAATATGACTTCAAGTCACCGTTGAGTCTTCTAACAGTATACACAATTAATACATGCGGCGATTCCAATCCTCCATGATTGAATCGATATTTGGACGGGCGTCGAAAATGCCGTTGCAATCTGCATCGGTTGGACCCGAGGATCGCGGCCCGCGGCCCACTTGAGCCAAACTTGACAACACAAGAATAGTAAAGATTTTAACTGGACGAAGCATAACGCTATTCGTAGCCCCTGTCCTACTTTCAAGATTCGCGTGCTTGTTGCAAGCGTTTACACGGCATTCGAGAAACACCGCAGCCGGATTACGGACGCTTGTAGAGATCTTTAATACAGGGGCAAGCAAATACTGTTGATGGGAAAGGCTGTCTCACTTGACTTTGAAGTCAAGTGTCCTTTTTACAGGGACTTCACGAACGACGCGGAATCTGCCCAAGAGCGTTACCCTAATACGCCGAACAAATACTAACTATGCACTTCAACTGGTCCCCTTTCTAGAGCACGGATTAGTCGTCACAAGCGTCCTAGCATCGGTCTACCTGAAGCCCTCGATCATACGTTTGTAGAAGGGGCAGGCCTTGGAAGAATCAGTCGACTGGGCAGCACTACCAGGCAGGAGGACATGTGACCAATGGTCACGTGGCTGATCTGTGATATGGCTTGGCGAAGCAGAGCAGGCAGAGCAGGACCAAATTGTATAAGGGAGGAAAGGATATATAATCTGAAGGATTTCCTATTGCTTTCTCTCCTTTGTACCTAACTTATGTTTTGAACTTAATCCTTTACTTTCATAGGTTTAAACTTAAACGGCTGAACCCTCTTGCGAACCCAAGATACATTTGTTACACGCATTCCGAACTCTTGAAGTATCCCTTCGGTAAGCAAGACTTCATTACACAATGACCGGCGACGTTGTTTATCCATCGAAAGACAATATTTCGGATCCTACTCCTCAGCAGTTGCGAAAATCCGACCGACGGTGAAGAAGCTTGGACGGCCATAAACACGAACTTTAGGGATGCATATGTGGTACCATTGTAATGAAAGTCGATGATATAGAAAGGTTGAACTCTTTAGATGATAGTACAATTGGAATACGATTAACGTATTCTTACATTACAATAACAGTGGCTGGACAGCGTTGTGAATCTCCTAATACTTAAACGGAGGTGAGAACCAGTGTGGCGGGACAAGCGAATGCTTGGTGGTATGAGAGAGTACGTAGGGCGCTAGAACCGTCCAGTCCGTAATAGTAGTTTAAAAATGAATTGCGGTAGATCGATTTGTTTAGGAGCAACGCTTGTTGATACTATATTTCCATTCGAACCATGAGGCACAGTTCGTCGCTATTATTTATCCTCTTATTCTCATATCTCCTCAACGCCGTATCCTCTTCTCCAATACCATCTGCACATTGGCCTCCCACCACGTCCGAAACTCAGACTGCCCCCATTTCGTGATATCAACTAGGTTGGCTAGCAACCTCTTGGAGTCGTATTCATCTTCTGGGAGGGGCCTCGGTCCTTCTTCCGCTTCCGTTTCCTGTACATCCCCTTCTCCTTCTATAGGAGACTCGGCTGCAGCACTGGTGACGCGCGCAGCAGCAATACGCAGCAGCCAATTGTCGCCATCAATTTCGACGGCGAACACCGGAAACCCGAGATCCCACTCCTCATACCTCCGCTTTGTAAACTCGGCAGCAATCCAAGCAGCGAACTGAACTGTCGGGTCCCGTGCGACATGTCGGCGCTTAACCTCGATGTTGAGGAAGATAGGAGTCTCGTTGGCAAACGAAGCGGTCTGATTAATAGATGGGACGGTGGTGCAATACTTGATGCAGCGGAGCGTTTTAAGCGTGGTTCGGTGGAGGTCAAGGCCAACAACATAGTCGATGCGTTTATCAAGGTCATGGTAGAGGGCCGGGTCTTTAGAGAAGGGAACGAGCTCTACAGGGGAGATCTCGGTGGGCGTTCTAAAGATATACATAATAATATAATAATTCATGCGTACACGTCAAGAACAGCAACCTTCGCATTAGGGACAGGAGAATTTTTGAAGCTCTCAATCCGCCGCAGAAGATGTAGTATAGGACCTACCACCACGGATATCCAGTGTGGCTCAGTTGTTGTATCGCGCCATTTCTCCGCCTGCTCGAATGCGTCGGACAAGGTGTCGTTGATGATTCTATAGTCGTAGTCGGTAAGAGGAATCGGAGGGTCAGTTGTCAGCGAGTAACGCTGTCGATTCTAGTGCTGTCAGCATTCTCGGACGAACGGATGCAGACAAGACCCATTCTCGCCTCACAACAGCTCCAGAGCTCCGTGACAGACTCGGGTAGCGATATGCCCATCTCTTCGGTGTTTCTCAAGGGAAGAAACTCGACGTTTGGGTTGAGGTATGCCAGGTCCGCCTTCGTGGAGACCGTCTTCTTCTTTGGAGGGAACAGCGAGCGTAAAGATGAGCCAGGCGCGGGGAACGAGGGTGCATCTTCGGAGAACGCATCAGCGCTTCGTTGTGCGTCTGTATATGCTTCTTCTGGTCGCCCTGTCACCCTTTTTGTAGTGTTGCTACCACCTCTTCCTCCGTTACTGCAGCCTTCTTCGGAGAGGGACTGTTTCTCATCGATCGACGTGTTGGTGAGACTGCAGCCATATTGCGTGTCGCGACATTCAATCGTTGCGAGGTGGTGTGGAGGTTGCGCAGTACTCGCTGGCGCTTGGCAGTGGGGAGCTCATCGCCATGGCTGGCCTTGGAGTCGTCAACCGCGATGACCCAGCGCGCAGTGTCGGGGCCATGGTGACACGGCGGCAGGGCGTGTAGGCTGTCAAACACATCTTGAGCATGTGTGCGCTTGGAATACCGGGTGATTGCCATGAACGGCGGCGGGGAAATGGTCCGCGAGTTGAGGGTTGTTGATGTTGTTGATGATCGCAGTTCCAGAGCACAACAGTGGCGGCGGCAGTTGCCGAGTTAGCCTCGGATTTCGAAATGCCAAGGCCAATACGTATCTGTTGGAGAATGGTAGTACAAAGGTATAATCCCTCCTCAAACCCCTCAACCCTTTCCAGGACGGTGTAGCCTGACGATCATCATCGCTTTATTCCGGTTGTTTATATTTCTTCCTGACATTCCCATTCATTTATGTTTCTACATATCTCTATAGGATACAACGCAACTGCAAATAGCTAATATCAAATCGAGCACCTTAACAACTTGCGTCGAGACACACAGCACATGGCGCATGGCCACATCCAATGTATCTCTACTCTCATCGTGTATTTGACAGTACAACCGCATTACAACAGCTTCAATTCGCTGGATGACATGCTACCATATGGTTAACTATGCATAATGCTAGGAGGGCAATGCGTGGGTGTACCTGAGTAGAATGCGGAGTGTATGGAGTTGTTTCGAGATGTCAGAGCTTGAAGGGACTTTGCTTCCTTTGAACGCTTGAAAGGTTGAACTCTGCGAGGCAGCAGAGAGCCAGCGTCTTGCGTTAAATATATCAAGCTCACCGAGTCGAGGAAATAGACATTGGGGTGGGTTTCTGTGATGCATCAAGGTCGAGGTAGCTTAGCTAAGCGAGTACGCGAAAGCTTAGTTAGTTAACGTATTCCACAAGCGAGCCGTCCACCCAAGCGAGCCGTCCACTTCATCATGAAAACCGGCCTCAAACGTTAATTGCTCCACAACGCCAATAGATATCAACTATATACAACTTGTAGCCTAATCT